TGGCTTTCTTTCTCGAGTTCCTTCCTTCGGATTCGCTCGTTGGTTTCACCGTGGTGAGAACGTTTTTCGCCGCATTGCCTCGCAAGCAAAAACCGAGGAGAACTGGTCGTACATTAGGGGAGCAAAACCCGTTGATGTTTTTTTCCCCCCTTTCGTGATTCAACGTGTACTCGCGGAGTCGAACTTCTCGATTTATGCGAGAAACGTCAGAGTGCGACCAGGCGAGCTTTGCGTGTAATTGCCACGCTCGAACACATTTCTCTCGCGATTTTTTTACTCCGATAATTGTGTCTAGTTACGGCGCTTAAATTCGTTATTGAAAATTGTCAACATACGGAGCGGTCCCTTGGACAGTTGGCCAGATTTGAAATTTACCAGTTCAAATGAATTTAATAAAAGCTGAATAAAAAATGGTATAACATATTTTCTAAGTCGACGATTATAGTTTCACAACTGTCAATCGAATTCAATGTTTGTTTGAATTGAGGTCATCTTTTATTTTGAAGCATCTGTTCGAAATATAATAAGCTTTTCATTGCACGTTAATAAATTATTAAACGTTCGACAATATTTATAGTTCACCAGCTCAGTCTCATCCGCTCTGATCAATTAGATCGGAATACATCATCGACAGGTGAATCGTTACATGGAATCTATAAACGTGATATCGTCTTTTCGTTTCGAAATAAATTACCAATGTTGCACTACAAAACAACGTCAAGTAAGTATATTCTAAAGAAATTAAAAAATATTTAATACTTCTATAAAAGCAATATCCTTTCTTATTTTTTAATTTCATAAGCAGACAATTAAGTTTCATACTTCTGTTAATTGTTTGATAAATTCCGAACAGATGCAACAATACAAAAGGAATAAAAACCTTATAACTGAAGCTAGTATTTAAAAAATTTTGTAAACGTTCAAACTGGGATTTTTAACGTAAGAGGAATGACGTCTAAGTCCCAGTTCCCTTCATCTGGACACGATGCTGTGAGTGGCAGCTGCAGTCGGAATAAATTGAAGCGGCGGTATGCACGAGCACCAACTAATAGAGAGCCCACTTTAACGATATTAAGTTATGAACAGAATCCTCTGACCAAGAGTACCACGTACTTTATCCCACTCATCCGGCGTTGAAATCAATTTACTTCGTCTAGTTTCTAACGGAGTCACGCACAACAAAAATTATGGGAAACTTTTGTCGCGTAACAAGTGAACTTTCATCGTGAGAATTCCACGTTTAATTCTGCGTTCGTGACAAGATTAAATTCCGGCAATAATTTATTATTAATTCACTGCACGCACTGCGCGATTTCAATCGCGAAAAAAGAGACGCGCCAGATGTATAAATTCACGACGATGGTGCAGATTTTCGAACAAATTAAAACAAATTTTAATCCCTGGAACCGTTTCGCCGCGAAATTGAAATTAATGTGCTGTTGACGATTTATCGCCTACGCAAAATATTGTTAATATTTTAGGTTTCGTGAGAAAAATCGCTACTTTAATGTTTTATTAAAACACGTTTTTTCTTTAAACACACCACGTCAGCCCAGTTTAAAAAAACTTTAAAAGTTGATACATTATTATGATATGAACAGAAAATAATACAAGGATCGAAAAAAGATGCGTCGAAAATTAAATTAAATTTTTATTAAAATTGGACTAACGCTGAGCGTTCAAAAACTCGTTTATTATTGTCCTTTGTCGAGGAACCGGCGAAAGGCCACCAAGAAAATAGGGTAAAATGGAAGGAAAATTCTCGTTAGCGGGTAAACGCAACGAACCAGCGAGTTTAATTTCCGCGCTTTACGCCACCCTGCTTTTTTCGGGGGTGACACGGGAGAGAAAAAGAGATGGTAAAAAAAAAAAAAAAAAACGGTGCGAGATATCGTCAGAACGATAACATTGCAAAAGCTGCACGGCATTTTTTTACGACCCACTTCCAGAGTACGCCAATTTCGAGGCTGTTGGCGTACGTGACCCAACAGAGAAGGAAAATTAATTCCACCCCCGTGTCGGCATACCCAACTGGTTTTCACCCGTTTAATGCGTTTTTTGCGCGTTCCATTCCGAAGTTTCCGATGTTAATGGAGAGAAGGGGATGGAGCTGCAAGTTCCCCAACAGTGGGGATGAACTGTTTATCGATCCAGGATCCCGACTAACGCGAGAAAGAACATTGTTTCTGTTTTCCCTATGTCGCTATTTTAATCACCACACTGTTACCGAATCTAATAAAGGAGAAGTATTGCTATCGATCAAAAGTTCACCCCTTCAAACTTCATTGCATTTCTCGATATTTTTAGAAACATCGACTCTTAAAATGCAAATACCAGACTACAGGATTCTGTACATGTACATGGATATATTTATGTTGACCTCTGTGTTGCCTTATATCTCAATTTTCCTTGTACTTTTAGAAGAATATGCCATGACAAATTTATGTCAAAGATAAAGTTAAAGAAAATCCACGAGTACCTAATCTTGGCGAGCTTTTTAGGCCGCGTAACGATTATCAATCGTTAGTTCCAAGGTTGCACGTCGCGTTTGTTATTTTTAATCACTTTTCGAGCATGGTGCGACGGTGCCCGTGATCACGCGGCACGTGTCGTTGCCACATAAGTGCAACTCACTCAACTTGCTCGCGGAACGAGCAGACGGCAGATAAAAAGGAACAAACGTGGGCAGACGGCCAGAGAATCTGACTCTCGGAGATTCTTCTACTCTTGGTGGCAATGACTCATGCACTGTCCGCCTCACCGCCATCGCGGCCAAAAATATGCATGCACGGGCAAACGCGGGCAAACGCTGACAAACCGTGGCAACGGAGCATTGACGGATAATGCGCGCGTGCCGTCATACTCTTACAGCAGAGACGGATAAAATTCTTATCTGACGCGTCTGCAAAATTAATGGACGAAACATTTTTCCCTCAGTGTCAGCTCATAAATCAGTTAAAGCGTTTACTGCTACGCCACACAGCCAATTAAATTAATTCCAAAGTAAATATTCTTTGTATTATTTGTAGTTACTTCACATTTTTTTTAAATCAGATCATTTGCTGTTTTAAATGTTATTCTTATTCCACGAAACCATCTTCCAATGTTTGTTCACCGACATTGTCACATGTTTTTTCTGGGTGTGGGCACCGACGCTTACGGTACATCTATTTAATTTAATTAAACAATTGCGCATAACGGAAATCGTTTGACTAAACACAATTTGCGCGATAAATTCTATGTAAATATTGGCACCATGACGATAATCAGTAGCAGACAGTAAACATTCCAGAATTAAACATGGATGAAGCACCTTCTGTTCATCGATAATGCCAAGTAAAGGAACGTATGAATGTATCTGAGAATGATCGGACAAAAATAAAACGATCGTTTGGAGTATTCCAAAACTCCAAACAAGTTAAAAATAGACAAACGAACTGTTCACTGATGGACTTTTCGATATTAAAACAGAAAACCGTTTAATGAAACCAAAAACGTTTCGATCCTGCATATCAATTGCAAATCCTAAAAATAATTATGCATAATAGATTTGGCCATAACTATAGACACGCTCGAAAACGGAAGACATTTTGCTGATGTCTTTAATTTTGCTCATACTAAGCCTGTTACTAATCTTCATTGTTATTTCTCATAAATAACAATACAATATGTAACTGTTATATAACAGAGAAATAATTAAATGAATTGAATTTAAAAAGAGAAGAAAAACGAGGTCTTTCGTTGACACAGATTCCCCCTCTGCTGACGTGTCCGCAGCTGACATATGTCAAATCCAAAATAATCAAAATAAAAGCTCCAGCCCCCGCCTTGTATATTTCGAGGGATACCTAAACATTGTAATTCGACTTGTTTCAGTCGACTTGAGCGTTAATTCGGTGTTTGAAAGTTCAGGAGCTCGAGAATCAGCGATACGTAGGAAAAAAACCGAGCTCGAGCAACTCGGCAAAGGACTCATTAAAAAGAAACCGCGCGATACTCGAAAGCTCGTTAAAAAGAGACACACATTGCTCCAGAACTTGACTCGACAGAAGCTACTTAAGACTCGTCACGAACGAACACGTGATGCACGAATGAAACCCAATGGCACCGCAGACGAGAATCTCCTTACGAGCGGCTGACAAATTGCGCACCATCGAAACCAAACGTCTCCGATCGTCTGGCTAAACAACGATTCTAAGAAGGAGGCGCTTCTTTGCCCCGACATTACATAAATACGCAACGGGCTTCGCGAACGGCTAACATATTGATCCAGTCGACGTCCTCGAAAGCAATGCGTACACCACTCCGTCGAAGGAAACGCAGAAGATTTCCGAATTTTTGTTAGAACTTGTTGCAACGACGAATCGTGAATGGTCAGGGGCTCTTCAATTGGCAAACGTCACGGTCAACTTTCTGACGCGAGAACGTAATTGAATGTACCGCCGTTGACCGCGTTCAATCGTCGCAATATTACATTCTACGATCTAACTGGACGATCTCGCGCTCACGCGACGCAGAAAACGTTCGCGGAATCGGTCTATCGGTGGCTCCCCCATTGCGCTGCATTTTTGGCCAATCAATAAACGCATCTATTACGAAGCATTGGAAAAGTACGTCGGAAAACCGTCGATACTTCGTCCAGATTTCTAGATCGATGGCTGTCCCGACAGCACGAAAATTCCCTCGAATTTTCCTTCGTGCCCGCCACGGTAGCATCCGATCGATTCGCGTAGGAAAAGCTACGCCGCTTCACGGTTATCGATGGAACACAGGATTCGTGTCCTGTTCGGCGAAGCGACACCGTAGGATCAATCACCAACTCGACCTAATCGCATCGACCTAAATTCCACGCGCGATCGTCATCGAAATGGGGCAGGAGAACGCGCGTATTACGAGGTAGTGGAAAAGTGTCCGCACAGCCCCGTTGTACGCGAACAAAGTCGTACGCGATCGCGAATCGAGAAGAATAAACGAAGAAAGGAAATCCGCAGTCGACTGACCTGGTTCTCGGAGTTGAGCAGTTTCAGCTGTTCGTTGATCAGGCTGTACTTGGTGCTCTCCTCCTTCCTCAACGCTCTCTCCTTCTTAAGCTCGGGACTCCAGAAGGTCTTGATACTGTGCATCGAGCTGCCGAGCTTTTGGTTCGTCAGCTCGAGCTCCTTCTTGAGGTTCCCGAGCTCTCGTTGGAGATCGTTGTTCTGGTGTTGAAGCTCTCCGATGTAGCCACCGCCATCCCGCAGCATGTGCGGGTTAGGGCTCTGCCTGGCCGATCTCGATCCGTAGAGCTCATCTTCGAGGTAGAGACCGCGGTCGCGACTACGTTCGCGCGGATCCCGTATCGGTACGAACTCGCGATCGTGATCGAGAATCCCCGCTGACGCGCGATCGAGGCTGGTATACCTCGCCGACATGCCCGCCGAGCTGGACATGGCGGGTCTCGAGGCGCTTCTGGATCTGTGATGTCCGCCCCCACCGCCCCCGGTTGACATACTCCTGCCCCTCTCCTCGAGCATCACGGGACTGCCGAGGTCCTCGTCACGGGAGTAGTACGGGCTGCCCAGCTGATGGTGATGGTAGCTGCCGTATCCGAGGTGCTCCGGCGAGTTGTTGCCGCTACGAGTGGCTCTCTTGCGACCCAACGGACTCCCGCGACCGCTCGCGTAGCTCCTCGACGGGCTACGGTCGACCGTGGGTAGTTCGCCCACGCGACGACAGCTTCGCGGCGAACGAGTGCCGCCTCCTGGCCCGACCACTCCGCTTCCGCTCGAGTACGGGTCCCTCGACATCCTTCCTGCTTCGGTTCACCACACCGACCCACCGTTTTCGTCGCTCTTCCGCCTTCTTGTGGACGACTTCGTCGGCTCGTTTGCTCACGCGGTGCTGCTCCGCGGATAACCGACCGTTTCCCTCCGATCGTTCTCAGTCTTCGTCGGATTTCGTGGTTTACTACTCTTCTGGTGCTAGTTTTGTGACAGTCCTCTCGATTTACCTATAGCTACTGGGACGTATATGCTCTATGGTATATCTTTATCCCGTTACTCCTCGTGTCCGTTCATCGTGACTTCCGGCCCGTTCTTGGAACGATCGAACACGCGTGGAGATCCTCGAGCTTCCCTCGGCGAATTACCCCGTTTCCTGGCGGATGTCCAGTCGCTTCGGTTCGAACGGTCGGTCTCCCGCTCTAGCGTACCGATCGCGTCTCGATTTCGGACGCAACGTGGCGCCGTGCCGGCGTGCCAGGTTTCTACTCTACGCGGAAACGTTCGTCCACGAGCCGCGGGCATTGACGACAACGCCTAACGCGTCGATTGACGAGACATCCGGTTCGCCGAGCGATCGATCGGTCTCATCGTTCGCGGATCCACCTTCTGCCACGAGCAGCCAGCAAAAGTCCTTCGTCACTTTTATCCTGTTCCTCCGCGAGGATCCACCTTCGCGGATGTGTCGCGCGCGTGGCTCGTTCTTGCTTCCGTGTCCCCGCGTACGCGCGCGTGTGTGTGTGTGTGTGTGTGTATGTGTGTGTGTGCGTGTGCGTGAGGTCACGACCCTCGTACTCGACGATCGATCTTTGACCTTCTTTCGCCGGCAAAACTCATAAAGCGGAGATGAATAGAGATCGAGGGGGAGAGAGAAAGGGAGGAGGATGATCCCGTTTCCTCGACGAATCTGTCCGCTCCAGTCCGATACGTATCCGTCTTCCCTCTTTCTCTGCGTCTCCCGGTCTCTCTCCTCTCTCCCTCGCCCTCCGTCTCCGGATCTTCAGGACGAGGGTGAGTCCCGGCGATCGTTTCGTCCCCGGTGTCCAGCCACGACAAAACCGACTTCCACGACTCTCTGTCCGCCGCGACGCGAGCGACGGGGCGCGTGCGTGAGTGCGTGCCTGCCTACCTGCCTGGCCGCCCTGCGTGAGTATTTTACGCGCGTATGTTTACCAGCCACGTCTCTACGCGCGCCGCGGCGTCCCCGTTTCGCGAAACCCGCACCTCAACTCCCTCCTTATCGATCTCATCCTCGCGTCTCTTCTCTCCGGTCCCGTCGTCGTCTCGTCTCCGTTGGTTACTCCTCCACGCGTCCCGGCACCGTATTCTCGCCGCCACCACGACAACGATGACGATGACGACGACGACGACGAAGACGCTTAAACGACCGATCCAACCTACCGCCCGAACCGCCACTACCCACCATCCACCGAGTCTCGCCACCGCCACTTCCGTGCACCACTCTCTATCTACCGCTACCGCCGCCAGACCAGCATCGCCGGCGCGCACACACCTACGCACCCTCCCTCTCTCTTTCTCTCTTTCTCTCCCTGTCTCTCCCTCTCTCTTGCTACCGTCAGACTCGCCCCTCGTTTCTCTTTCTTTTTGTCCACAGAAGCGTGGTCGCGCGCGCGTGCCAGCACCGGAATAACGCGTTTCGACCAGCCACCACACTAACCGGAGACCCGCGCCACCACGGAACCGCGCGCACTGACAGACTAGTCTAATATGAGCCGAGCGAAACACCCTTTTGCTTCGTCGCTGCCGGCTGCTCGCTCTCTCTTTTCTCTCTTTCTCCTGCTCTTTGCCACCACCACCCAGGGACGCTGTCAAAGCTCCCTACCCCTCGGTACACGAGCACGTCGCGTCTACGCACGCCACTACGAACTCCAACCACCACCACCCGGCTACTACTACTACCAGCGATTAAGTCGACCGCGCCGGCAGCGCCCTCCGTCGACGTCATCGGCGTCGTTACGTCCGACTACTACTATCACGATGACACCGGCGCGTCGTTCGCTCGATTTTGCCCCGTCGCCCCCACCAACCGGCCACGTTTCCCCTACGACGGACGCCCCACTCCGACGGACGGACGCCACCCCTCGCGCGCAGATGCGCGCACGGATCCATGCACGGACCCGACGTGCAGCATCAACGGGAGATTTTTCGACGGAAGATGCTTTCTTCCCGTGATTCGGAAGGTTAGGTCTGTCGGACCGGGGAGGGGGTGGGACGGTTACATCGAAAACTACCCTAATGTTTAGAAATTATTCCTCGCGACGTGGAATAAAAACAAGGCGGAACGAACTTTCGCCCCGGGGTCAATTTCCTGCGACCGTGTCGGGGATGTACTATTATTTGACTGCGTGGCCTACCGTCTTTTTTACGAGAATTTTGCACCATCGAATCAATGAATTCTCGGTAGGCACGTGAACCAAATTTGCAATATTTTGACCATTTTGACGCCCAGTTTTTTCTGCAGCTATTCTCGACAGTTTTTTAATCTATAAATTGTTAAAATTATAATCATAGGTTGATGAATAGGAACGGTAATTTTTTTGTATTCCAAGCTGTTCTAAAATTGCAAAATTGTGTTTTATTCTTGTTCGGTCGTGAGAACAATATCAGTGAAGAATATATATCTTACCATTGACGAAGTCCCTTTTCAGGCATACACGTTTCTAAAACATAAGAAATAACAGGAAATAGAATGATTTTATATATATGTACATTTAAATAATAAGTAAGACACAAACTCAAAATTAAATCCAAACGAAAATTGAAGTCCCGGTTTCGTGACTAGAATTTGCTTCTAAGTCAACATACTCTGTAGCTCTTATTTATGAAGCAGCTTTCCTTTGTTCGCTATCTCGTTTGTCATTCCAGTCACCGTTTTATTTTCTCACGTAGCAAGCAATCGTATGTGCAGTTGGTTTCAACGGTCAGTTGGTCCACTTCGAGGAAAAGGTGTTCCAGTCTCAAAGGGATGCAACAATGCATCTGTCTGCAATGGATCACGCCTCGAGGTCCCTTTTCTGAAGACTACCCTTGCGTATCCTCGCAACAGGATGCGGTAAGAAACGAGGAACCCGTTTCAGAGATGCGATCATCTTTCTCTTCGATCAGACACGCTGAAGCGTCAGTAACTACCCCAGGGCCACTTTCTCATTTTTGTCTCATTTTCTGTGATAAAGTAATTGCTCGACGGTTCGGTCTAAACGAAGAAGCTGATGAAACTCGATTCCCTCAATCTCTTTCGTTTAGTATAACAGGTACTCGATTGTCAAATTCACCTGATAAAGCAAGATCGATGAAACTTGACATTCCGTTTATCTTCTCGGCTGAACAGCTTCGGTTTGCAGTTGTAACGCGAAGGATGATCGATGTTGCTTTGATTCCACCTGTAACGGAAACACGGTTAGGATAGATAGAAGAATAAAGGCTAGGTTGGTGACAGCTGTACCTCGTCTCGCAGCATAAAGTTTTTCGTTAGTTAAATTTCGGTGATTAGTGTATTTATACAAACAGATGTTGAAAACATTGTAAGGGCAAAGGTTGCTGATTAAGTTTTATTGAAATACAACGATAAACTGGCGAGTAGACACTTTCTGAAAAAACACCTGTTTCCATTAACGAAACATCTTTGAAATCTTCTTAACAAACGATGATTCGCCGCATTTAAATAAGCTATTCATTATTATTTACCAGTCGTTAGGCTTTGTCCGCATTGAAGTCATTTCTGTCGACAGTTTCAATTGTATCGCGGAGTTAATGAAACGAGTAAAATTTTTATCCAGACAAGAATCTCGAGCGAGTACAGGAGAAATAAATTCTTTTGTGGAATAAAAACGACCTAGTTATTCGAACCTTTCGAGTGTACGGTGAAACTAATTATCTTTCATTCGGTTCTACGTTTAGATAGCATTTTTATCTGGATTATGCCCAACTCTGCCGTCGACCCGGCGTACGACATCGCAATCAATGAAGCTACGATTCACCGAGCAGTACCGTACCAACTTCTGGTCCCCTACGACCCGCGACTTTTCAAACGAAAAACATCACTCGTTTCTCGATTGTTTGATTGAAAAATAAAAACATGCTCCATATTCGGTCTCTGAAATGGTAACCTTCCCATTGTTCGATAATCAGTATATTTTCAGCCTCTTCTTCCAGAAAAAATTATAAAATTATTGTTACTAGGTATTTAAAACTGCAACTAAAATGTATACTGTTCGAAATAATACAATCCCTTTGACTTTGGCTTTTAAGGTACTTGAAACATTGTAACGTGAAAACACTAAAATTGTGAGTACATCGAAGCAATTATTAAAAGGTCTCAATCGATCATTACTCGATGCTTCGAGAATTTTTCGCGTTACGCGATCGAAATATACAGTAGAAATTCGACGGTATAAAATATAGGGTACTTGAGGTTCGTTCTCCGGAATCTGATACTTCGTTCGATCACCGGAAACGAGATTCTCCACTTATTTCGAGGCGTATATTACAGTTTTCGTTCGACACACGTTTCCAGGTGCCCCGGGCAATCGACGGGGATATTTCACTTTCAGTGCCTACGATTCTAACGAATAAACGCAGTCGTTCTCGATCCGACGGTCCAGCAGAAATTTCTGCTTATAAGACAAACCGCGATCGATAGTTTTTCCTCTCTTTTTCTCATCCATCGACTTGGCCCTGTTTGACGGAGGAACGCGTTTGACCAACGAATGCTCATCGTGGACGAAAAGTTGGAAATCGTTGTCGTCGTTCGTAGAACGCGAAGGAAATGCGCAAGTCCGTATTTTACGATCGGGGCAGCGTGGCTTCTTTGATAACACAGGCGTTACGAAAGCATTTCCACCGTTTTTCATTCCACCACGCTCGAGACTAATCTCCGAGGGTTGACCTCCGTCGTTTCGAGACTGGACTGTCATTTAATAAATTTTAGTTGACCCAACGACTTAGGGGTTCCAAAGGATCCACCGAATGCAGAGAGGAAAGACTTAAAATGTAACGGGGAAATCCCTTACGAGACATTGTTCTGCTCCGTTTTATACCGCTGTTCGAAGGACGTGAAAAATTCATTCGTCGCGATTCATTCGAGGAAAATAAATATTTGAGCCCCTCGGCGACCGATGCAAGCAAAATGAAATTACAGAAATAGTAAATATTAGAAATGCTTGTAGGTTTGTACACGTCATTCTAAATGTAGAAATATTTAACGATTATCGATACAATTCTCAGAGATTGTATATAAACTTTGGTATTTGTTCCTTCCTCTCTTATCGATGGAAATACATTTTAAAAACAATTCTGAGAAAATGTGGTTAAATTTTAATTTCCTTGCAAAAGAATGTCTGAAATCTTTTATATAAAATACGCCTTGAATAATTAATATACGCAAGTTTCATCGTAATTACTATTTTCTCACTTTTTTCTTTTAAGATAAAGCAACATCCTGTTGTTAATTGTGTATAAAATATTCCACCAAGATATAAGAATATTTTATGTTCGATTCTGCAAACAATAAATTTTGATATAATTGATGAATATAAAATTAGAAGACCTATTTTATTAAGTTACTACGCATGTGCAAGGCGAGTACGGTGTTACAAGGAAACAACTTGTTATTGAACGGGCACGAACAAACTATAATGAGCGAGAAAAGGTTGACTAAACTAATCTGTTTGAGATAATTAATCCAACTTCGCAACTCGTTCATTTTGTACCATTACGTAGGCGAGTTCGAGATAATTATGTCTGCCTGAATTTTCGGGATTACCTCGAGATTCCCGACACTGTTTACATCGAGAATATCTATTTTTCAAAACCGTTTCCTCCAACGTTACGTTATTCACAAACGCAATAACACAAGTCATTTCAATTTTTGCTTTTCTATATATTTTATCCTATTTATATATGTTAATGTCTCTCTCACGTAAACGAACTATGCTTGAGCTTCTGTTTGCGTTTAAAATAACGTTATTCCGTATCATCAAAATCCATTAGACATCGTTTGAAGAAATATGAAGAAACTGCACCGATAAATGATGATCGTGCAACGAACAGGAATTAAAAATAGTAAATCGAATTCACTCGGGTTCGTGACTATAATGGGTTCCACGGAAGTGGGCGCAATCTGCACGTGAATGATGCATACACGGGTAATAGGAAATTTTGCATTCAATGCAAATGCGTCTCTGTGCATCCAAGTGACACGCACGACAATGGGTGTTGCAGTACGCAGCGATTTATTGTTCCAGAAACAATCATACGTGAGTGTATTTTATTAACTAGTGTCGTTTCTACGTGCAAGTAATTTACCATCAGTGTCATCGGTTGCATCAAACTTGATATATTAACATAGCGTACGATTAAAATTAATTATATTGGTTACATAATATTATACTTCTCTGTCATTTTTGACACAGATTTATTTGATATCCCCACGAACACTGTTTATGCTCTAATTGCCAATAGACTGTTATTTAATACTTAGCCAATGATAAATATTTCATATTAAGAAAGTGACTATTTCGAGTCATTTAAACGACTTCTTTTACTTATTTTCATTGTTATGTTTCAACGCTTATGCACCCTTTTTATAAAATGTTTCCCTTCTTTATTATTCTCTTTACAAATACATAAATAAAAATTATATCTTTTATTTATTTTTCTATAGCTGTATAATCTGTATTTATATTCTTGCAGTAATCACAATGAAGAAGTAAAATTTTTTAGAAGGAGAATATGTGTTGCAGGGAAATAATCGTAACGATCCATCGACATTCGCTTCCAATAACTCGAACGATCGTCGACCTTTGCACTTCGCTGCTTCGGCGCTTCGACATTGGCGACGATATCGTGAACAGATCGCACTTGGCTGGGTTTCGTTCTCCAATTAATTTAGACAAGATAGGCAACGTGTCTGGTTCAAACTGCTCTATTCCTAATTCGATGCAAATGTTTGCGTGCTTTCGGCGTTACTTCGTTCAAAACACTATGTAATTAATGAAACGTGCCTATCTAGACTCTTAAGTTCCAGTAAACGCCTAAATAAGCGCTTAATCGAGTCCATTGCGCTCGCGGCTAAATAAATGTTTTTGCAAGATCATCGTATGATTATATACCGAACAAAATAATTGTCCACAATTCGATATTACCGTGGTTTTTATCATTGATCTATAGCAACAATATCATACTGATAACGAACAAAAAGAAAGATAGGAAGTAAATGATAAGGAAGGTAGAAAAATATCTGGGCAAGGAAGGTCTAACGCCGAACGCGAACAAATAACAAATATTAATATTTAGTAAAGAGGAAAAAATGGTAAAGATAGAATGGAGATGGAAAGAGACGGAAATAGAGATAGTGGAAGAGTTTGTGTATCTAGGAGTGATATTGCAAAGAAATGGTGACATAACGGAGTGTATAAGATAGCGGTGCACAAAGTCCAGCCGTTTCATCAAGTTCATCTGCCCCCCAAAATAAAATTAAAAACAAATTGAAAAATCTATACAAAAGAAATGTAGTCACCAGAAACAATAGACTAGTGATTAGTCATTGTGATTAAACAATGAAATGGAGGCGAACTTGCAGTCGGAGTAATAAGTGAGAAGCGAAACAAATTAAGATAAAAAAATGTAACGAGTGGAGATAATCCTTGGTGGAAAGGCTGAAGTGGATTAATAAACGTAAGGGTTTGTGGCAATGATATTCATTTATTATAATATAAACATTGCATCCTCATTTGCAAAGTTTCGACTATCTAAATTATACTCCTTTTCGAGTGTGAATAAAAATTAATGTACGTGAACAAAACGAGGCCAAACTTATCGCTCTTTCTCCAAGAATTTACATACTTAAAAGTTGGATCCACGATGGAAAAGTTTAAATTCAAGTTCATAAACTTAAATTTGCGACTTGGTAAACTTGGTTAGACATCTTTAAGATTATATGGGGGATGATGACGCAAACTTGGTTAACTGTTTTCCTGTATAACCAAACATGATTATGTGTCCACGCATAAATTGGGATGCCCGTCAAACGTTGGAGATTAAAAAGTTTACGCATGACGAAACACACAGGAAATACGGGACAAATAATCGCCACACACGCTCTAATTACCACTCGTTACAACTAAACCACACACAACGTTGCATATTTATTTGGAGGAACAAACAATTACGTCGCTGACATTAATTGATAAATATACTGGGTGATAAATACAAAATGTTTCTCAAAGTCATATTTTTCGAGATTCTAAGATCCATGTCACTCACTGTTTAGCTTTAAAAAAACAACACAATTCGACGATCTCGAGATGGGTCACTTCAGAACACTCCTACTCGTCACGAAACTTGTAAAATTATAAGAAAAATCATGCCAACTCACGGTTCGTGTGCTCGACACGTTGGTAAATATTTTGTTGCAGGAACAATGTTTAGGAATGACATTCTACCGCGTTCAGTGTGTAATGGCTCCACTGTGCGTCGTGTCAATGTCCCATGATGCCTGGCCTTTTCTAACCACTTGCAGTCCAGTCTCGTCTCGGTCCACGCGAATAAAAAATATACTTAAGGATACGGCTAGACCGTGGACTGGTTGTTTCCACTTGACCGTGAGCAGGTCCGCTCGGGCCAAGTGATGAAAGTTAAGTGGCGCTGACTAAGGTCGTTACCACTCTCCTTGCCATACGCATCGTCCGTCGCGTTCAGTAGACGATGACCACTCGGTGGCGTCGCATCGTTTTTCCCACGAATACCTGAAACGCTTCCGAAAAGGACATGTGGCCGACGCTGCGACTGGGATTATTCCCGTTGCTGCTGGCCACAATCGTCTACCAAACCGACGCCTTGAACTCGGACCACGGTGCCTGGACCCAGGCCACGGAAGGCGAACCTTGGCCTATGCCCAATCTGAGACGCGTTGGCAACTCTTTCTACTTGCTGCGAGCCTCAGTTTTCCAGTTCAACGTGAGTAAAGGAAGAGAAACAACATTAAACTCGAAAATAAAATTAAAAATTGGTTTTCATCTATTGTCTATCGTTCGAATATCTTGTGTAAGTGGTACGATGTGAACAAGTTTGGACAAACTTGATTCTTGACTGACGAATACAAATTTTAAATTTGAAAATCGGTTCGAAAACCCCATTAATGAATTCTGAGTTACGAAAGTTAATTTGTGAATGAATCTAAAATTTGTCTCGAGGTGATGAGCTGGTAGCAATTGCACCGTGTTTGGAAGTCTGATTATGAAAAGTTACGAGTATGAGAGTCGGCGTTTAGGTCTGTGATTATTTTTCTTTTTTTATCGAGTTTGTGATTCGTATTGTTATCGCGTGTACATTCACTTTTCCTTGCGTTTAGTTTTGCGATAACACGAACTAAGGAAACCACACACAGAATGGGAGGAACATGTTACGCGTATGAAGTGGCTCATTCTAATTCATGAATGCGCAGATTTCGGGAACTACATTGAATTGATAAAAACTAATTCAGGGAAGTCAAAGAACTTTTCTAGCTATCTACTAGAAATTTTGAAATACAAAATTTTTGTTAAATTAATAGAATTATAAGTTTGGACGAGATAGTTTTATATTATGAATCACTTGGTAACTGATACCATTAAAAATAAATTTAATTTAACCAATTGCTTGTTCGATCTGTGAAATTTAAATTGATCTTGACGTCCATTGGTCGAATTCCGACAGTACGCAAATGCATCTCCACCTGTTGCACATTTAATATTGTATTATGTAATCCATTATGCAGGTCGTTGGCGAGACTTGCGATATAGTGGTCGACGCGATCGAGAGGTACAAAGCAATCATTTTGACGGAGGCGCGAAAAGCAGCAATCTTTTCGCATGGGCACGATAGATCCACACCAGGAAGGGACAATGGCACCGCCAAAGGTACCCTCGCTGCTCTGGACATTTATTTAGGAGAACCTTGCGAAAAAGATGGCAACCACTGGCCCCATTTGCACATGAAGGAATCATGTAAGTTCTCGTGCAATAAACAGAGGTGCAACTGAATTATTACTATCACAATACTCGAGATTTTGATACCTTTTATACCTTTCGCAGAAATAACGAATTGACAGTTGTTTATCTTTTCTTTCGTTCTGATCGTTGGAAAAAGTTACATTCGTTCGCGTAAAGTAGTACGACACGATTACGTCGAGGTATCATTTACGAACGTCAGATGAGATACTTCATAAATTGAATGTACGCATAAATTGATGATATGGTATAAAATATGAATAACACAATTCAAAGATATGGAAGTAATCGCGCCGATTAAAACAGTCAGGGTCGATTGAGACAGAGGCCAGAAATGAAGCTTGGATCTCGTTTCATCTTTTCTTATTACGCTTAACTTCGAGGTCGAACCGAGTGATTAATAAGAGCAATAGAGGCTGACGATTATACGCATGCACATTCTTCCAAGATAACCAATTGTCGAATCAGTTTAAAGCTTTTGCACACATTACGACGTTTCATCGATCATTTTCAATCATTTTTAATCTTATCGCACCTTACTGCACAAAACTCGGGAATCGCGTAATCATTTTCAATATCTCCGTCGTATGATATTTTCTACCTATTAAAATATTCGTTTTATTATTATATTTTCTCTGTAGCAATTCTGGTTAGTGTTCTGGTTAGCCTGGAGAATGTTAAATTTAAATGGTTTCCATAGTTTAAGATAGATTTCGAAAATTCCGTAGCTGCTTCCAGAGGTTCTTTACCCAAGTTCTGTATTATCTAACGTCCAGTCAAATTGAATTTATTCGCGAACTAATAAGAGTTTAAATATTCTTCGAAACTATAACTTTCAACGTATAGAAGACCACAAATAATAAACCTCAAACAAGTTGGTTTACACAGATACTCTCAGCATCAACGAGACGTCTACCGTGGCTAATCTTGTGGCTGAATCGGTATGGGGAATTCTCCGAGGTCTCGAAACCTTTTCTCAACTATTGTTCCCTGCTGGTGACAGGCCCAATGTAAGTACATACAAAATATTTTATCGCGTTGATTCAAGACGATTTAAAACTTTATCCTCTTAAAATTATGTTAATCGGACCTCAGACTATCCAATAAATTCACTTTTAACATGAAAATTTTGTAATTTAACACGTTTACTGTCAAATGAAAACCGTACAATTCTCTGCAAGACAAAAATTTTGATTTTAGGCCATTGTAAACCACGAAACTTAAAATTTGTTTCGGTACTTATTTTTGTAACCTCGTTAAAATACACAAATCCTATCCAAATTCAGTTTTCTCGACATCTCAACTTGAGAATTCATTTTTCTAGTTCCATAGTAGAAAATCCTGTCACTTTCAACAAATATCTTTTGCTATACATGACCTTGTCATCATCCACAGCTGAAGATAAAATGTCAGACTATCGTAGACCGACCGAAACTACCCCATCGTGGTCTTCTCTTGGACACTTCGCGTCATTACTTGCCCATCCCCGACATATTGCTTACTCTGAACGCAATGTCATACAACAAAATGAACGTTCTACACTGGCACATCGTCGACGACAACAGCTTTCCGTATCAGAGCTCCAGCTATCCGACATTATCCGCCAAGGGAGCGTATCATCCCTCGATGATATATACCCCAAACGATATCCAGACGATCGTTGACTATGCCAGGTTGAGGGGCATTCGAGTAATGCCGGAATTCGATACCCCTGGACATACCAGGTCATGGGGTTTGGCTTATCCCGAGCTATTGACTCCTTGTTACGGTAATCATATCCCAATCTAACTTGTAACACTACAGTTCCATAAATATTTGTTAATTATTTAAACGTCTGTTGCCTATAAATCAAACTTTCTTAAGTAAAAAGAAAACATTTAAAAATTGATAACATTGCTGTAAAATTTTCACGGTATTAGCATAAAACGATGGCTTCCAAAGATTTATATGAGTGCCTCGTTAAAAGCTAAGGACATCGTACTGTAATGAAAAGACACGTTAAAAATGTTCCACTTTGAAAAGTACTAGTTTAAAACGTATGAAGTTATGAGACTATAAAAAGGAATAAAATTCTGTCTTATTGCGCGTTAAAGTATCGCCAATTTGAAGATAATATCCTACATTTGATATCTCATCCCGTATCAGATACGAAGGGCAATCTAAACGGCAAATTGGGCCCTATGAATCCGACGAACGCCAATCTCTACGACTTCCTGCGAAATCTATTCTCCGAGATCGTGCAGGTATTTCCAGATCAATATGTCCATCTGGGCGGCGACGAGGTGCCCTTTGATTGTTGGAAGAGCAATCCTGAAGTCAACGCGTACATGAATGCGCACAATATATCCAGGAATTACGCGCGCCTTGAGGGAGAATACATATCCAAGCTTCTTCAGATCACCGATTCGCTGCAAGCAAATTCCATTGTGTGGCAAGAGGTAAATGTCTCCTGTGTATTGTAACTATCCTTGAAGCGAATTGCTTGAGAAAACTGTCTACTAACATAGAAACTAAGCGTTGGGTTTCTTAAACCAGGCTTATTAAAAGTGCACAACTAGAATGGAGTCTCCAAAAGTCTCAAGCAGACCATTTTATTTTTTTACTTTTTTAAATAATTGCCTTGACAAAAATTTGGTGAAATAAATTTCGTGACTCTTTGCAGCCATCGCAAAACACCGTCGAGTTTTACGACATCAAATTCGAGACAGAAGTCCGTCGAACGTATAAGAATTTCAGTTATGCTAACATTGGACTTCAATCCGGCAGGTGTTCGACAACGGCGTCACTCTGCCAAACACCACAGTGGTCCACGTGTGGACGGGACTCTGGTCAAAGGAACTCGAAAACGCGACCAAAGCGGGACATCCGGTGTTGCTGTCAGCATGCTGGTATCTGGATCACATTGCTGGTGGTGGCGATTGGAAGAAGTTTTATAAATGCGATCCGCTCTCATTTAATGGCGCATCGAATGTAAAACATTTGATGCTCGGCGGAGAGGCCTGTATGTGGGGAGAATACGTCGACAGGTACACGTCGCTTATTTTGCAAAGAATGATTTTAATTTACGAAAAAATACTGACTAGAAGCTACGCGAACACCCTGTATGAAAATTTAAATTCATTTTCAGTCGTATAATCAATAGGAATTGCTGAAACTACTTTGGGTATGCAGAGTCAAAGTAAATGTAAAAATAAATATGGAAGGCAGCAAAAATTATAGTAGCTAGTCATAGGATAGAGGATGAAACACCCTTTAAAATGAGCGTTTGATCAAGTCGATAGCTTTATTAGTTCCGGAGATATAGAGATTTTAATTTCAAGTCGATGCGGTGGCTAGTTTCGAAGATATAAGGGTCCGAAGCGTTTGTTTACTACGGCCTTGTCAAGGCCGTTGACCGCACGTGACCGTAGTAAATAGTAAACGTGACGTCACTCGGTCACTCGGTCAGTGGGTCAACGTGCGACAAAGAGATCCGACGCGTCAAACGGAGACAGAGATAGTCAAATTAGAAAAATTACCTTTTACATAAATTACGATATCTCCAAAACGGAAAGTCGAATCGACAAAAACCAAAAGCCATTTTAAAGGGGAGGCTTTGCCACCTCTGACAGTGGATCAATTATTAATAAGATACTAGTAGTTTCGGAATTGCAAGCATCTAAAGTTTTAGTATTTTTAATACGCGTTAATGGGCTTTCGTAAGACGGAGTGCGAAATTTTAAAAATTACCCCTTTACATAAATTACGATATCTCGAAAACGGAAAGTCGAATCGACAAAAACCAAAAGCCATTTTAAAGGGGAGGCTTTGCCACCTCTGACAGTGGATCAATTATTAATAAGATACTAGTAGTTTCGGAATTGCAAGCATCTAAAGTTTTAGTATTTTTAATACGCGTTAATGGGCTTTCGTAAGACGGAGTGCGAAATTTTAAAAATTACCCCTTTACATAAATTACGATATCTCGAAAACGGAAAGTCGCGTCGACAAAAACCAAAAACCATTTTAAAGGGGAGGCTTCACCGCTTCTAACGATGTCTCAATTATTGATAAAACACTAGTAGTTGTCGGAACTGAATGCGTCTAAAATTCTAAGACAGTAGATTGAAAGAAATCCTTGACATTGAGTACAAATGTGATAGATTTTTAGAGTCGTTATGCGATTTTCCTTTCTTTTTCAGGAACAACGTGCATCCTAGAATATGGCCGCGAGCCAGCGCAGTCGCGGAACGTCTTTGGAGCAACAACAGACAGGACGAGAACAAAGCTGCCCAGCGACTAGAAGAACACGCTTGCCGCATGAACAGACGCGGGATTCCTGCTCAACCACCAAATGGACCTGGATTTTGCGTGACATGACAGAGGATCGATGAAAACGTCCACTTTCCAAACTCTAGAAATTCGCTTCCCGCGCATTTATTCTAAATGCAACGTATAACTCGTCGGAAAGAAATCGTATAGATTTGCACAATTCCGACTCTGTCGAATGTATCAGATCAAGTTTTTCCTATCGTTTTACAATTCCTTGTTGATTTATAGGATTTGTAAATAAATAAAGTGATTCTTCTAAACGTCGTCTAAACCAGTGTTATTTTGTTGAACCCATCTATGTATCAATTTTGGAGAAACGTTCAATGTGCATTTACCTACATTCTGAAATAAGATAGAGGACCTCCCCTGCAATTTCCTACTTATTTAAATAATCAAATAGTTGCACAAAATTCTATACTCGTATAATAGAACGTCAATACCTGTTATTAATTATTAATTACATATACCGAACACGTACATATAAATATTACATACGAAGGAATTTTAAATGCGAGCATCTTCTGCTTATTTTCGATTTTCTCGATGAACGAAACGATGCAGGAAGCAGGAAATCGCTGCCTCCTCGTTTAACTATTAAATCGATCGTCTGAATAATAGAAGATCGAATCGCCTGGGCAACGAACGAGCAAAACAAGTAAAACAATTTGCATCGTATCGCCATTTCTCGATCATTACCAGTAAAATTTCAAGTGACCACGAACGATCCTGAAGCACACTAATGCCGTCGTCTCTCGTTGGATAGGGGCTCATCCATCATCGACGGTTTGATGACAGTCCACGGGTTTATGGATCTCCGGTGGAAATGTCGACATAATTCCACTAACCACGACAGTGTTCCGCTGGCACCGTGATGACCAAGTAAATTCGCATCTTATCTCTCGTCAAACCCGTAGAATTCGATCACCGATCGCATTGATTTAAGGGAATCCGACGCTGAATAAAACTTAAACGATTAAACTTTTACGTAGAATGAAATTCATCGAAGTTCGATATAAAACAGTATAATTCCGACTACCCAGATAATTGACGATTAAAATTCCCATCTGAAACTGTTAATCACAAGTTCGTTTAAATATTCTTCCTTCGAGGGGCCAAAGTTTTGCGATAGATATCTATTTCAAGTTATACCGCGACACAGATAAAAGTCGTGTTAAAGTTCAAGTAATTCCTAAACAGACTTTATATATTTTCCTACTGATATCGAATATTTATGCGACCTACTGTAAATATTTTGTTTAGTTGTTCAAATATTTTTATTTCTCTCGTACAGGGGGTGCTGCGGAAGCGTTCCCAGTTGTACAAAACCTCCTTGTTGTTCTCCATCGCCTTGTTGTTTACCATCAGCATGTTGTTCACCACCACCATGTTGTTCACCACCACCACCCTGCTGTTCGCCCTGTGTTGTGTGCAGACCATCTTGCCCACCACGGTGTCCCCCTAAACCAACTAGAACAGCAGTGAGTGTCGATGAAAGAATAAGCGAAAAAGAAACACCAAATTCTTTGTAACTTTATGAATATTCATTTTTCGATCCCTGTCTATTAAAAATTCTCAGCTCCGTTTGGCAATTACTGTCTATTCTATAAATCACGAACCCTTTTATTTTCTAATCCTGTATAAAACATACTCTGAAACTCTGACACGAGAAGCAGTAATTTTCGGAATCGAGAAAGCATCTCTGTTTAACGATGCTTTCGAGGCACCGTTAAAAATGATCGTCAGACATGAAAGGAAAACTGAAACTCGACTACAGTCGATGTAATTGCTATGTAAATCTATTAAGCTTACGCGTTCTTGTCATAGTGACTAACTTAATAACGTTTCAAAATTAGGTTTACCTACGGCCTTGTCCGCCCTGTCCACCGTGTTGCCCGCTTCCTTGTCCACCGAAGGTGGTCGTGACCTGTCATCCACCCCCGCCGCCCTGCCCCCCTCCTCGACCGGTTGTTACGTACGTTTGTACCAAGAAACTGGTTCCCTGTATGCCCTGCCCACCACCCACGCCTCCACCTTGCTCGCCTTGTCGACCATCCTGCAGTTAGTTCTTCATAATAGCATTAATCTTCGACGCTGAGAACGTATTCTGGTCCATAAGGTCTAAAAATACGACTTCACATTTTCTCGTGAAATAATGTGCCCATAATCTGTCAAGGAGAAAACCATAAGTTATAACATTGACGGGCTTAATATAGGTTTAATACCGCACTATATTTTTAGCAATCTTAATCAATACATGCTTTTCATTATGTGGAAATAAAATATATTTAATAGGAATGTCGATAATAATTACTTGGAATTCTTTCCTAAAACCTCATAATTCATCTCGAAGACGACCATCTGGGCCAGAATATACAGGGTGTTCGACCAACCCTGGGAAAAATTTTAATGAGAGATTCTAAAGGCCAAAATAAAACTGTATAATACCTATAATGAAAATAATTACTAAAAATAAATTCTAATATCCTGTTTGTTTTCGTTGCGTAGTGCCCTATCACTCTTGCTAGTGGCACATTGAATCTAATCCTCGAAATGCAGTAGTCCATGTGCAATGTCAAGAGATTATATTGCTCGATCCAACGAGGACGACGGCCGGATATGAGGAAAAACCATTATGACGACAGATATGAATTTCGACCAACGCATCTGTGTCCAATGTAATTTAAACAGTGGTTCTTAATCTTTACAAGCTCACACGAGTGATAGTAAATTAATAACACGCAAATAATTGAACATCAAATTTAATATCGAATTAAGTTACTGAAATTACTTTTCCGATTTCAGAAGACCCATTGGACGAAACACCAACGAACGTGATTAACGCTTAAATATCTTCAAGATTTTTTTAAAAGAGTCTTTGGGATTTGTGAAACTCCAAGGAACAGAAAGAAATCTTAAGATACGCGATTTGAACCACGTCTCGACTAAATTCCCGATTTCTACCAGTTTCCTGAATTAGAAGTTTCACTAAACTCGAGATGTGACTACCCCGATCAGCCTTAATCCTGGATTCGACTATACTCGAACGTGTCTTAACACCAAATTTTTACGCTCCAATTAAGCGAAACGATTTGTGTCTAGCCCGAACTTGGTATTGTTTAATTTAAACATTATTCCCGGACGGTCTTCCCCAAAGTGACGAATTACAAATCTCGATTAATGTCGACTACCCGAAACGTACGAAAATGATTTTTAACGATGCGTTTATCCGATAATGGTGGAATCATTGATTCGCGATAAGTACGATACGCGTCCGTCAATTAACAGCAAGCCGTAACCATTATTGTTAAATTGATACTCTCGTTCCTCGTTAAAAATTTTAATCGACGAGGGAATTCATTTGTCAATGTCGATTTACAATTTCCGATAATGCGGATTTCGTCCAAGTTCGGCTCTGGCGAACACCGTTGTTTGATTTTGCGTTGCTTCGATACGTATTTTTCCCCCCTAAAAATATGTGATTTCGCGAAACAAGGCCCGACAGCGGCAGCCAAGCGAAACTCATTTTTTGAAAACGCTTCGACGCACTTTTCGAAACCTATTAACGAATCCTCGAACGCGATCACGACGCGCGTCAGCGTTTTGGCGGGTTGCTCGCAATAGAAAGCAGGTACCATTCATTTTTTTTACTGTGATTTTTTTTTTTTATGAATCAAGTCACGTTGTCAAGATTTTGGTACCGTTGCGGCGGCGAAACGACTGATCCGGTCGTGTCACATTCGAGAAAGGAAATTCTTCAAAGTTTATTTCGTCGAAATCGAAAATTCATCGACACTGACAAATGAGATTACGCTAATTCGGAATAGAATGTAGCTACGCTTCTGTTGTAACCGACGATGATGCATTGGTGTGTGCTTCTTGTAAACGATATTCAATAAAAAGAGCAAAATATTGAAATCAATTTTAAGTCTTGAGAATTTCTTTCAATTGTATCCTCAATGTTTCTACGTAATAACTAATATCGTTGCATTCGTATCTTATTTACCGAATGTATTTAAAAAATTGTAGAACAACTATTTACGTATTTGAAAGCTGTACTCTAAAGAATTATCGCGTGACGTTGCTTCCTCATTTATTCTTAAGCGTCGTTGCGTATACTCGTTTATTTCTCTTGTTTTTCGCAAAGTGAAACGTTTAAATAAACGAAATTATGATCTCGAAGGGAAATTCGAGTTCCAAATGTCTTAAAGTAGCTTGCTCCCGGTTCCATGCTTCAATTTACGCGACTAATTGCATCGCATAATCCGTCAGATTCGAATCGCGGAACGTAATTTTGCTACCAGTTTAACACAAGAACGAAGTTAGCAGAACATTCTCGCGCGAACTGCGAATGAAATCCGAATCGAGAACGTACCTCAAGACGTGCCCATGGCAACCCAGCCCACCGTCTCGTCAATTTTTCGCTCTGGTCTTTAAAACCCCGGTGAAACCTGACTGATCGGAGTTTCCTATCCGACGGTAATGCAAAATCCGCGATAAAAAATTACCTGAACCACCTTGGACGATGTTTCTCTGACCACAATCGAGATTCGAAGCAAAATTTCAAAGAACCATGAGCAAGAGGTAAGACAGAATAGCCTCGATTTTAAATTGTGCAACGAAAAACGTTTAATCGGCATATATGCACTTTTCCCTTCGATATTTCCTACGAAACAGATTAATTTTTATTTTCGAGTCGTCAAACTACTCAGTCGTATCGTTCTTACCGAATGTTGATCCGTGAAATTTTCTACGTGATCAACGTTTTATTTTTAGACTATTCACAGATGAGTAAGTTGTTAAATTACTAGTCTCGAAATCTAGAAAACTTGTCTATCCAGGAAAGCTTCGGTGGACAGAAATGTCAATCAAAAGGCGCCAGCGAGGCGTCCAAGCGCGTCCAGCCTGCGCGCGAGGATGCAGCAGATGCAACCGAAAGCCGAGAAATCGCCCTCCACGCAAAATCTTCCGTGCGTGGGGCAAACGGCCGCGGTGACCAATACCACCGACACGTGTCTCCCAAAGACCAGGTTCACCTCTCAGGACAGGTGCAGGGACCTGCGATCCTGTTCCTCGCCGAGACTGAAATACTTCCCGGCCGAGAAAATCAAAAAGTTGGAAACCCCCTCGCCATTCTTTCCCGATCCGATCGGCGCTGTTATCGTGCAGCAAAATCCTCGAGAAGCTGGCAACCTGTACGTGACAAGAGCCTCTGATCAGAGTCAGAACAATGGGCAAGGTGACGCGGCGGCCATCGCGCAACCGTTGCAGCAACATCGTCAGCATCAAGTATACTTAACGATATTATTCGAAAATTTCTCAAATTTAATTTACAACCTGATAAGTTATTAAGCATTATTACGGTTTAAAATAAATTACAAATGAATCACTTCACAGAGCATGCATACCGTGAGCCAGCAACAAGTTGTTCCTCAACGGGCGATCCATCAGATCGGAGAGACGAGCCCAAACTCCGCGTGCACGCTCCCCCAACAAGTCATTAACGGTCAGGTGCATCGTCCGTTCGTGCCGCACGGATCCTACGAATATCCTCCGCAAAACAATACCTACGATCCTCATTTGCCCTTTCGCGGACCCACTCAAACTGCAACAGCATCCCAACCGTTCGTGCAACAGTCTGCGAGTAACGTGGGACCTGTGTCGGATCAGGAGAGAACCAAACCCGAGGAGAACAGTACCGAGTGTCCTGACTACGACAAACAACCGGTTGGCGGTCGAAACGCAACGTTGTACAGGCAACTGGTGACGAACAATCGTCCAGGACACCAGCAGTCGCAGGCATCCGTGGTCTCTAACGCGGCAAACCCGTCGAACAGCAATCACCAACCTCAACCGAGTGTCCAGAACCATACCTACGTGTCTCCGTTCGCGAATGCCCCGAATCCTCAGCAGGTCTATCAACAGATGCAACAGACCATGGCCCAACAGCAACAAATGCAGCAACGAGCGATGCAGTATCAGATGCGAATGATGAACAACCAACAAGCTATACAAGCAATCCCAGGAACACCTAACTATTACAAAAATCATCAGTATAGCGCGCAGAGGATGACGTCGCCTCAAGACGCGACGACGAACCAGTTGAAAACGTCGAGAACGATGGGTCAGGTTCAACAGAACTATCCAGTGCATCAGAGGGACTTGGACTACGCGATGAATCCTCAGAACGGATGGGCAAGGAACAATCAAGTGGCCGAGTATTCGAGCGTGAAGGCTCAGTTGAAGCCTTTCAGTGTGGACGTGATCGACGGCAATCAACCGTACTTCGGGGCACAGAATCAACAGCAGCAATTAGCGCCACGGTACCAATCTGCTCCTCAACATCAGCAATTGTACAGAAATCCTGCACAAGGGAACGCGACCATTCAGAGTCAGCAGAACTCGATGGCCTACAGTCAGCCTGGATTTAATCAACAAGCTCTGCAACCTAATCCTCAACCAGTTGCGGAGAATCCAGTTGCTCAAAATGTCAAGCCGAAACTGCCGTTCACCGCTGGCATGATACGCGACCAGGAGAAACTGGTGGCCACGATGAAACAGCAAAGAATACCCGTGGACGTGATGAGAAGACAGTTCGAGACGTTGTTGAGCGAGCAACGGAAACAGCTGGAGTACATACAGGAGATTCGACGACAGGACGAGGCAGGGGAGGTCAAGAGACCAGTGGCCACCGCTCGCAGAAGGACACCGATAGACGAAAAACCAGAGTGGATGATTCATCTGACGCCGCCGCGTCTGTCTTACATGGAGCTGGAGAAGATGCACGAGGAACAAAAGCAGAAGGAACGTCAGCAATTGGAAGAAACGCAACAGCAGCCGAACGAAACGTCCAATATGCAGGTTCCTGTGCAACTCGTGAATCAACAACAGAATCAGTTCTACCAGCATATAAATTCACAGCCTTACAACAATATGTACGATCAACCTAATACGGCTCCAAGGAACACTGGAAAACCGAATCCCAACTCGCCTACGATGAACTATCAGTATTACCCCTATCAGCAAAATGTTCCGAACTATCAATACGTACAGTATCCTCATCAACAACAACAACAATCCCAGTTCCAGCAGTATCAACAGATATACCAAAATAACCCGCAACAAAATCAAACTCAAGTTCATTCAGCAAACGATCCTTCGATGCATCAAGAGAATAAACCAACAACAGAGCCGTCCAGTCTCCTGAAAATGCGTTTGTACAAGGAACAGATTCGCCCGCAGAAACGCAACAACGGATTGCAAGATCCGCAAGTACTGCGAAAGCAGCTGGAGAACATTCATACGTCGGCGGATGTCAAGAAAGAGCTGGACTATTTGAGCAACTTGGTCTCGAGGAAGCCTCCGGTCAGACTGAACGGAATACAAGATCGTACTGAGATAGAGGAGGAGCTACGAGAACGACTCATAATGTCTAGCTACGAACCGTCGCCGAGGAAAGCATCCGCCAATGGTCTGGAGAACACCAGGAACCCGAACAACCCTGCTACGCAGCGTTTCTCGAACGCGAACAAAGTGGAGCATGATTTCATGAGGGAGTATCCCAGACAGAAATTGTCCAATCCGCGGAATTGTTACAGCGTCCAGGCGGAACGGGAAAATGGAACGGTAGCCGTGGACCAACAGACTTCTGCCGTTCAACAGCAACTGCCAGGACACAACGTGGCGAACGTGATTCCGTACAACGAGAAGAATCCAATGGCGTCCCGGGGCAACGTGATGCCGTTCAGGTTCGAGAGTACTCATCCTCTGCACTATCAGCAGATGCAGCAATACTATCAAAACACGAGGAATCTTGCCAGAAACAACGGCGAAGGTGACATAGGATCGGCTCAGAGATCCGACGTTAAAAGCAAGGGAAGCTTCGATCGAGCTGGCGGCGACGCCTATGTAAATTTGAACGGTCAGATGGACGGGCAAATGGCCGAGGGTAAAATGTCATTCCAGGGTATGCATTACAGCCAACCTGACATCCACGAAGCCAGAACCATCGGGGGTGTGAGGTACTTGGCCAGAAAACAGGACTACATACCGAACACGCAATTCGTGTCGCCGGAAACTCTAATCACGAGCAGACATTTGCAAGCCCCGACGATGTACTGATGATGGAAGAAACCGTACGAAGGTCTCCGATCGTCCACTGTTTCGATCAATTTTCTACTTTTACTTTACGTTTTACGTGCATTTTTCGATACGTATTTTGTATACCTGTTTTTTAATTGTGTAATTTGTAGTGAACCGCGTCCTTTGAAGTCGTAGGGCGACGTCCCGACGAATTCGGAGGATGCGGTTCGTGTTTTATGATTTTGTAGTTTCTTTTTCTTTTGTTAATAAAGTGCTGGATTGGTTAATCTTGCAGTGTCGTGTAAAATGCATTCGTATTTAAATTTATATTTGATTGTTTCTTTGAAACTTCAAGTTTTTCTATTTCGGGGAAGCATTTATTATTGTTTGACAGCATTGATCAGCGGCAAAGATTCCCAGAAACATTTCGCCATTCATCGTAGGTAGTTCCCTTTCAACGACAAGCGCATCCTCGTTGCTAGAATTGCTGGTTTTTCTTCTTCTTCCCCATTGTCTGCGCCATTTTCGTTTCGTTCTCATCAGCAAATTGCTGTCTGCCAATAGAATACTATTCACTGACGAAGTGGCCCCCATCCCTGTATATTTGGTTCTTCGGTAACTTGCGATTGTAAACCATAAGAACGCCATCGTTCATCGATGTTAAGTAAAAGGTGTGATCAGGATATAGATGCAGAATATTCGAAAGTAGTTAATTTAGACACTTCAAGTGCATGAATTGTTGTTTCTTTTGTCTGTAACGACTAAGTTCACTTCTGTGTATTACATACCTCCATTTTTCCACAAAAATTCGAAGAAACTATCAAATTTCCAGTAAACGTGTACCCGAATCGTGATTAAATATGAATTATCAAAGAGAACAGTATCGTAATTACATGGACGAAATGGCCAATATTATCGGTGAAATCGAATGCCTGTAAGTAGAAAAATCTTCTCGTTGCAATAAATGTTATTGACATCTATTACTGAGTTTTACGAAAGAAATTAGCTCGAAGTTTCTTTATAATAATTGCTGTTTGAAAACATATAATACTATTTAAAACAATGAAAATCTAAGCTTATTGTGCAACCTACTTGACGTAATAATATTATATAATTTTTTTGTAAAATAATATTTAAAAGAACGCTTATATTTTGGCATTTAAGTAAAACTATCTCGTTATAAACAAATAATCTAACAAAATTCACTATAGATTCTAATCAAATTTCTTTAACGAAGAAACCAGTTAATTCTGTTTTTTGGCGTGTATCATTCAACTCAAAAGCAGATCATTTTCACAGAAAACCGGAACCGGAAGTCTGCAACGTTAGATGCCCACCCTTAGGTTGCCCGCGAGGACCATGTCCAGGGATGTGCTGTTACAGTGGAGTCTGCGACGCTTGTTGTATATCGAAGATGCCTTGCTGTCCACCGCTTCCTCAACCACCCCGTTGTCGAGCACCTCCGTTGTGCTACCTTCGAGCATACGCAAAAGCGGTCGGCTATCCCCCAGAGTCGTGTCTATCCCCCCAAAATGCACGCAACCGCCAGAAATCCAATTGTTTGCCTCGAAATCCGCAGAAGGATTGCTCTTCCCCCAAGCAACCACCATTCTGTACCACCGTACCCATCTGTAGATCACCCTGTTGTCCAGACACGGCGTTTAAATGTTGTTAAGTCATCCATTATCGACCAGTTTTCGTTTCAAATATTTTAATAACGAAATATTAACCTTTAGCACATTTCAGTTTAAATTTAATTTGTAACAACAGTGACTGAATTAATAAAAATAAAGTAAGCACAGTGTTTTATAAATTTAATTATTATTCCTATCTTCGTGAAAATCTCAAACGAGATTATCGACCTGTGAATTTTCAGTCAGCGATAATAAGTAAGACACATCGCGTTACGTAAGATCGGAAAGTAATATTTAGGAGCCGCCTAAACTTTGACTAATTTTGGATTAACCCCTCAGAGGGAGTGCTAGCAACGTGATCTATATATATCAACCACGATATTACGTTATTAACGAGCATCAAGTGGTAGCGTGATTCGTGATTGGCGAACTACCTAATTGAATCAAATTTTAATTTTTCTTTCGTCGAGCTCTTTAAACCTTCACACTGTTGGATCACTTTTTTACTTTGTCGCTCCCGATGCAACAATTATACGTATACGATTTCGAAAGCTATACTTCCTTTTTTTATCGATGCCTTCGAGCAAAAAAAATCACATAACCCTTTAAATTCATTATCGACATGCTGTCTATCTAATTTATTTCTCGTTTCCCATTTTAATTTCCTGTACCTACTTGTGCAATAAAGATGTAAAATAAATACATTAAGATCGAAAGAATTTTAGCTCGTGGTTCTACTTACAATTTTCAAAATTTTTGTACAACTTCGAGGATCGATATAAACGAATTCGATGTGCCATCGACGACTGAAAACAATTCACTTCTAAAACGATGCAGACCAAGACTGCATAAACAATTAACTTTAACTCTTATTTCTGTTTGAACTTTAATTATTATTTAAGGAGCAGGAATTCGTTTCCCAGAATATCGTGTAATCAAGATGAACGAGGAGGAGCAAGAACGAATAAGGAATCAACCGAGGATATCCAACGTCTCGCAGATTATACAAAGTTTGCTGCTAGGGCCACAGAGGAAGAGAAGCGAGGATGAAGAAAAGGTTCGTTCGAGAAGTTTCGCGATACCAATGAACTTCGAATTACCAAGATTTTAATTAAAATCGTCGGTATTGGTTCTTCGAAGACTTATTTTCATCTTTCGAAAGGAATCAAATTTAAGAGCTCTTAATATTCAGCAGATCGCCCGCCCATCCGAGTATATGAGACAAATGTCGATGACAACGGAAGAAAGGATGGAATATATACTGAAATTCAAGTACAAACAAGATTTGTCAAACTTTTGTGAATCCCTGGATCAGGGATTCCAAGTTACTCCCAGTGTAATTATTTTTCAAAAATTCACCCCTGGAGACATTTTTAACGCGAGCGTGACAATTCGCAACGCGACGAAGGTAACTCGACAGTGTAATGAAGAATACAATGAATGCGATTACTAATTAATATTTATTAGGCATCGCGATACCTGAAAACGTCCTACGAGCGCGATCCTTTTTTCTCCGTGGAGTATCGAGGAAGCTACTACTCGATGATGATCGCGCCAGGACTCTCTAATTCTTACAATGTGAGATTTATCCCCGAGGAGCTGACAGATTACGAGTATCGATTAAAGTTCGTTACGAATACTGGAGAAATTATAGTTCCGGTTATAGGTGAGATTGTGTAGAATTAAATAGCAAGATTTCCAACACGTGTGCATGATATCAGAAATTGATTAATTTGGAATTTTAAGTAAAAAGAATTTATATTTTGAGTGATTTTCATCGTGTTCCGTACCACTTTGTAAATTAAATCACGTCTGTGGAAAATCATAGCAAAATATTTTCCTCTTTTTTCTACAATTTCGTTGGAAATACTATTTAGAAAAAGTTGTATTTATGATGAACGATAAGACGATACGATTTAGCAATTGGACCCAGGGGAATCTTGGACTTTCCCGATCAAATCGAAATGCCATCGACAGCAGTGAAGATTTCCTGTACGAAGACGATATTTGTCCGAAACGTGGGTGACGCGCCAACTGATTTTGCTCTCTACAGTGACGAGTAAGTAGCGAAGAATTTATTAAGACAATAAATAAAGAAAAATTTATAAAAAAAAAATATTTTAACTTTTGCAACGAATGCCAGTCCATGTTTCCGGATCGAACCATCGAAGGGCAGAATAGAAACAGAAGAGACCCTGCAATTCTCCGTTCACTTTTTATCGAACAAATCCGGCGATTTCGAGGGAAAGATCTTCATCGAATACGAAAAGGGTGACTAGTAGAACAAAAATTAATTTGAATTTATTTACCTCATATTCATCTAGCTAATTGAAAACTTTCGTGCTTATCAGGGGAAAAACTTGGGATAGATGTCCGATGTTCTGCGCAAAACTGTCCAATTCGTGTCGACAGAAGCAGTATAAGGATGAAAGAAACTTATTTAGAATTGTCTAGGAGCAAGACTCTGACGATTCACAATAGAAGCGATTACATCGTCAACTATAAATGGATGCTTTACAAGGATATGGATACCGATATTCAACGAAGAGAACAGTAAGCTGGAAGATAATTGGAATCTATATTTAAATTTGATAAGATCGCCAGTGCCTATAATATTGTCTATTTACTGTGTAAGTACACGAGAAACCGATAAGAAATTCTCCTCGTCGCAGATACAAACAACTGTTTCAATCGGTTTACGAAATGGAGCTAGTTCGAAGCGTCGATCTTGTTCATTATGACGTTTGTACGCCAGACATTCATCAGTTGGTTTACCAACGAATTTACGGGGACGAAATCGAGTCATTGAAGAAGGAAACTTTCCGATACAATCACATGTGCTTCATGCTCACGCCAGAGGTACGTATCAGAAATTCATGCAACTTGAATCTTTCCTTGATGATCCAAAATAATTAAATCATAATTTAAATGCATAGATGTGACTATTGTCTATACTGGAATAAAAATGGTTCTACTTTCGCGATCTAAATTGATTATTTCTCATTGAATATTTTACAAAAATACAGACAAATAATTTTATTTGCGACCTTTTAATAATCTGAGAACGAAAGGGTTGATTGAAGAAATATTTGATCGAACTTCAGGAAGGTGAGATTTGGCCACAGTCGTCGACAGACGTCACAGTTTTGTTTCGCGCAATGGAAGCCGGAGAAGTAACCAGCACTGCGTTCTTGGAGGTAACTGGTCTCGAGAATAGAATACCATTGAGGTAAGAAATTTCAATTTCCTGTAGACAGAAATAAATTTCTGTGAACGCTTCGCGTATGCTTTTGACACTTTAGAATGTCGGTATAACGTTTCTCAGAAATGCTTCGAAGCAACGAAATGTCCAATTTCTTCTACTCAAGGTATCGCTGATAAGAAATATAATAAAAGAGAACAATAATTTAGGTTCTACGTGCAAACCTTAACTGGTAAAAACAATTGATTAATTCGAATAAAAATTTATTGCTTCACGGCAGTCTGTACGGAACAGCCAGGGGACCATTTTTCCGCCTAAACGTCATCTCGATCGATTTGGTCAACATTTATCTTTGTTCGGTGCACAATTATGAGGTAACTTCCGCTCTATAATAAATTGATCGCACTTTCGAATACTAATTGCCGCTAACGACCATGATAATGACAGGTAATAGTTGCCAACAAGGGTCACATACCTGGCACGCTTATTTATAAGGCAACACCAACGGACTTCGGTGGTACAATTGAAGTGACACCCCCTAGTCTCTCGTTAAACCCAGACGAGCATAAATCTTTCAATTTGACGTTCTCCACGAACCGTAAGGGCAATTTCGTCGAAAGAGTAGATTTCATCGTCAAAGAAAGCTTCGAAATACTCAGCCTGCATATCAAGTACGTCATTTCATTCATAAAAATAAAACAAATTGATCGAAGATGAAGCACAGCGTAGTTCATTCTCGAAATTTACATAAAACCTCATATTTCTTGATATTTCAGGGGTTGCGCCATATGCCCCACTTTGCACTTTGACAAGGAGGTTCTCGATTTTGGGACAACAGCTTTAGGTATATTTCTAACCTGATTCCAATTGAAAGAAAAGATAATTAATTCAGCTTTAAAATTTGTCTTTTATTTTCTGTGAGTTTGAAAGATTTACTTATTACATTTCAGGATTCGATAGTCGCCGAGAAGTACGTCTGCATAATCTGTCGCTTGTACCTGTAGCGTTTAGTATAACAGTCCAAAACGACGGACACCAGACGCCTCTGACTCACGTAGAATTTGCTAGAGCACAAACGAAACCTCGTTTCCCAACCGACCCTCGAGAATTCGTCGTCACCCCTGAGACAGGGGTGGTTTCTGCTCAAGAGTTCCTCAAAATTAAAGTAAGCTATCACTAAATTTCAAAATCCATCTTTTGAACACCTAGAACTAAATAAACCACCGGATTTGTTGCTTTGAGAAAATAAAATACGCTCTTCGATACACTTTGACAATCATTTACATGGTTTAACCACTTGTATGGTTCACGCGATGCTTTATTTTTAAAACATAATTCACAGGTAATTTATACCGCTAATATCGCTCGTGTTGGCAATACAACGCTTCAAGTGGACATGTGGGACTCTGATTCAGATCCAATGATATTACCGATCAAATTCTGCGGCAGTGTGGCTTCGATATCGATCTCGCCACCAGAGATCGTCGATCGATCCTGCTTCATCAATTTCCCTTGTTTGCAGTCCTTTGACGTAGTGAACGCGTCTGACCTGGACGGATACTTCTACTTACTGCCGCAACCGGTAAGTGGAAAGTTAGGCGTTCTCCCCCCTTAAACGACGCTATAGGTCACGATAATTTATAAACAAAATTACGGTTTAAATCGACCAATAAAGTATCACAGAAATATTAAAATTTCGTTTCATGAAAGTTATTTATACTTGAAAAATGAAAACGTAGAAGCTGTGTAAGTAGAAGATCAATTAAAATTTTGATTTGTTTTATGAATATTTCCGTACAAATTACTTCGTGAAGTCAAAGAAAAATTCTGTAAATTAATTATTTATCCCCTGGAAGACTTCCCAATTTGTCATATAAATAAATTTAGGTTTCGGAAGACTCTCCAGTGGTTTATTCTCTCTCGATGCATCAAGGCCTTATCAGAGCACATCAGTCAAAAACTATCGATGTGACTATCATCACGAGGTCCTTGAGCACAGAGACAGTCACACTGAGGTACAATTTGAGAATTAATATTATCATTCGATCGAAATTAAAGTGAATTCGAAAATTTGAAAAGTGTCTAAAGTTGTAGTGTTCAACGAGTTCGTTAATGTTTGTCAGTATGTTAATAATGGGAGAAGAATCCCCGTACGCGGCTTGCATCATCACGTACACCGGTCAAGGGCCCATCGTTTCCACGGAACCGACTGCTTTGGACTTCGACGAGGTCCAAGTTCTCGAGGAACAGGTAATGGACTTCCTGCTGATCAACGATTCCCCGATATCAGCGCACTTCAAGGCGAGCATGGTACGTAGAAGATTTTGTCAATGCAGCACGAACTCCTCGTTAAGTTTAATGAAATTTCTATATTAATGGGTTACACTCGGACAGAAATCTTAAAAAAATTAATATTTGGGTTTCGACGTTTCTTGAATGGTCAGTGAATATGAATTTAATTGGAAGCGCCGACGCTCTTGTACTTGCTGTTTATTTTATTTCAAGCACAAGAAAAGATCACCGTGGAGTGTCAGTCCAGAATCAGGTGACCTCGAGCCGCACGAATCGATAAAGATCGATGTCAAATTGTACCTTCGCGACGTCGGAAAATACAATGACAGAGTCATGTTATTTATTATTAACAGTCAAACGATTTCCGTCCATCTGAGGACAATCGGTGTCGGATGCAGCGTCGTTTTCGAGCCACGAATATTCCCTGTTTACGACTGGGGTCTCCTTTTCAGGTATAAATCCATTATAAGTGTCACCCTCTTTTAAAATAATTGGTCATAGCACAATAGAAATTCCGTTATCCGAATGTTCAGCTATATTTTCATATTTTTGTCTACGTAGCCACGAAAAAATCAATCGGACGATAACGTTGAAAAATTACGGAAGTTATCAGTATCAGATAATTTGGTCAACCAAACAGGACATACAGATCAATCGAGGTCAGGTCGTACTGGCACATAGGCGAGTGAAAAATATCTCTTTTCTTGCTAATTGCAATTAAACATTTACGTTGTTTACACCAAATAAATGTATTTATATAGCTCGAAGTTTCAAATTCAACCTCTGATACTGGAAGTTCCGCCTGGAGAAACGAAAGTGGTGCAATGCGAATTGCTATGGGAGGAGTGAGTATAATTACAAAAATTATGCTACGACAATTAATAAAAACACGAGCCAATAGAAACCTTGAATTTTAAGCTACTGATGTATTTACTAAATTGATTTGCTAAAAACTAATAACGATACATTCGTTTATCGATAGAAACGAGTCCTTGCTGGAAGACTGGTACGTTTTCGGTCAGATCCAGGGAATCGGAAAACGCGAACTGATCGGTACTTCGACATTTAAAGTCACTCTGACGGAACCACAGGTTTCGTTCAGCAAAAAAGAATTATTATTCATCGTTAACATTTGTCCCGACGGTGATAAAATGCAACAAACAGGTAACAAAAAATTATTATCGTTACAAATATTTCTATACGGGTGCCAAAGTTTTCACTAATGTACCGAGCCTTCGAACAATTAATTCGATTATCCTGAAAGCGTCCAGTCGTCGAGAATAATCCGCGATAGGATTCACATCCGTCTAAAATTTACTGGTCTCTCGTCGATAAAGTTTCTTTATTCCATTATCGTTGATTGCACAGATAAATTGTTAGTAACAAATCGGTCGAAGCTAAACCTGAACGTGCAGCTTTCGGTCCAGCCACCATTTCGTTTGCTGACCAACGCGAATGAGCACGTGCAGAGCATGAGAATCGTTTTAATCGACGGAGCTACTACGACGATTCGTGTATATTTCTCGTTCGACATCGAAGGGAACGATCTCTATTCTCGAAGCTACGTTGAAACGATTCGGTTTGAATACGACGAACATCCTAATCAGGTAAATTGAATCTCTCGATTTGCCGGAGAGCAATGTGGATCGTTCGAATCCCTGACTCGAAAATTCCCAAACTTTTTTCGTTCATCTCATAATTTTCATACAGATTTATCCTCTGCTTTCTCCATTCGCGTGTCTTATTCGTTGAATTTTGAAAGTAAAGACGTTTTATAAAAAAAAGAATAATTTGTAAGAGTGTGACGTTCCCTGTTTCATAAATATTCGTCGTTTAAACAACGATAAACGATTTGTCCAGGACAGAATTGAGTGCAAGGGGTTCGTTAATTTTCCGAATCTGGTTTTGGATCCCAGGGATTTCACTGTTAATTGCGAACTTGGCTCGAGCGCCGAGAAAATATTGACGTTGACCAATAATGGGCCCGTATCGGTCGTATACAAATTCCAGTGGTTGGAGGATTCCATCGAGATAGAACGCGACACGCATAGCAATTGCGTAAGTTCCAAAATTGGCCGCAACTGTAAGTTTAATCGTCATCGAATTCTCAGCGAAATGTTTACTGACGTTTCTCGCTGATTGCAAGCAGATTTTACAGCGTCACTGTTTCAACTTGCCGACTTTATCGACGAAAATAACTCATTGTATTGTAAACATTTTGATTACTTTTTCAAAGAGCAAGTGATTGCAAAATTAAATTTAATATTAAGTTTAATCCAAAATGAACGTTCTCGATTGTAGTTCGAGTTATTTTCAGTCTGACAAAAAAGAAACTATCTACTTTAAGAATGTGAATGTAAAGATGTTCCTGATACGTTCAATCAGGAACGTTTGAAATTTGATTAAGACGTTATGCATTTGCAGGAGTGCATGTTGCAATCATCGCGTCACGAGGAATTAGTAATTTCTAATGTTTCTGAACCAGCTGCAACAAACGAGGATATTTGCATAAGCGACAGACAAGATGGAAGCGGAGATGGGCCACTCGAATCAATACCACCACCTACGAATTGTACTGAACGTTGCAATTCATTATTAATTACAATTCTATCAGTCCTAACTCAAAAATATTCAAAAAATACACGTCATACACTGAGATTCTACTATACAACATTTCTTGTGTTCTAGCACTCGCTTCGGTTACACAAATACAGAATGATCAAGCAGAGAATGGAATGGATGATACGGAAGAGAATTTAAAGACGAAAAATTGCACGGCGTCCAACAAAGAAATAAGAGAATTTTTAATGCCGTTGATTGGAAAATATTTCAATGAGGAAAAGGATCTCGCTGCACTGGAAATGTTAAGCTCTGAGCCTCGAAAGGATCATTTCATCAATGAAGTTAGTGATAGCTTGTTAGAGGGGCATTCTAGTCTGAGTATAGAAACATTAAGAAATTTTCTAAATTTTGTGACGTGAAAACCATTTAAGATATTAGTTTAAAACTTTGCACCATGCCTTAGCAAGTTACATAAATTTAATAAAATAAAAATAAAATCTTTCTGCAGGTGTTAGATATTGTTCCAAACGAAGGAACCGTGCCTCCATATACGATACAACACGTTCACATCGGATTTCACAGTTTTGAACCGCTTCGGGTGAAAGCCACGGCCATTTGTGATATTTTCCGCGGCCCCGCCGAAGAAATTAAAATATTCGCGCGTGGAGACGCTATACAATTTTCGATAGACACCCACGTCATTGATTTTGGCCAACAGGTAATAATTTTATCGTAGGTGAATTTTAAAAAGGAAAAATGTATGATCATTGCCCAAAATAATAACAATTTAAGTCTGCGAAATACAAAAATCGGTTTGAGAAAGCATGTGTTGCAGCTATTTTTGGAATCCAGTCGGAGGAATTTCGTCTTAAAAAATAAGAGCAAGATAGCATTCGAATATAAAGTAATTGGGTCGGTTTCTACCACCGAAGATGCGATCGATCGTTTCGATATAAATCCTCTGAAAGTCGAGCCCCGCGCGGGATTCGTGGACGCTCAGTCATTCGTGGAATTTCACGTGGAGCAACGCTCGACGATGCTTGGTCCCATCGATCACCAATTTCAGCTCGAGGTACGCCTCTGTGACGCTGAACTCTTGCGAATTCAAATTCGATACAAGGAATTTCCGTTCCCGAATTTAAAGATACGTTCACGATTAAATCGCGTCCCGTAAAATAATTCCATTCACTTTCTACGTGATTGTCACATTCTATTAAATTTAACACTATTTCTACCAAAGGTGTCTTTCGACTTCTTTAAAAATTTGAACATAAAATTATTTTTACTTCCAAAAATTTAATGTAAGGACCGAGAATTAATTTGTAGACCTAATAATTTTTACTATAAAGATTTCTTTATCGCTTGGATCTTCCAGATTGGCCATTTAATGCCTGTGACGATAACAGTGAACGCGTTTGGAACCTTCCCACAGGTGTATCCGTGTATTTCGAAAGGGAATGCACATTCTATCGAGTTGGAATACTCTGCCATTCAATCGTTGACCGCCGAGTTCATTACTGACGTAAGAAATCCAGAGTTTCGAATATTTGCACAATTTTTCGACGACTTTGTTCTGTAGAAACTGAAGTCCCTTCCATTGGAGTGTGACGCGTTCGCGAAGAAAGACGATTTGGGCATGGTAGATATCGAAATATTGACCGGTAAGAACGACTAAAGGAATCACTTAAAATAGTAATAAGCAGTATCCTAAAATAGGATACAATATACTTGAAATTCCTAAAATAGGATATAATATACTTGCACTGACAACTTTCATACATAATTTTATCTTGCAATCCATAAATATTAAACTAAATTTTAACTTTTAGAGTTAAAACGAATATAATTGACACGTTGAAGTAGACGATCTCGTAACTGTTTTGAGAAGCGTAATACCATAAATTTTTCGTTGCGTTTATGATCCAGCCGAGGAATGGAGCATCGTTTCCTCCGACGAATTATTACCACGTACCATGGACATAGAAATGGCCGTGGAAAGACATTTGGCAAAGAGGTTCGTCGACTCAAATTCATTCATCCTGATGCAGTGCAGTGGAACTCGCAAAAAGGAACCGATTCCTCGTCTCCTTTCTTCGGAGTACGTTATAGGTACGTTAACGTCTACGATCCCATAAATTAACATTATGAGACCTTATTTCTCTCATGTATGAATCGTAAAGAAAGAAATGTTCTCTACAGACATGGGGTACCTGATCGTAGAATTTTCCTCTTATTACTCCACGGTGGTAATTAACTACGGCCCTTGGAACGTGGAAATGCGAATGAAGAAATTGGCAAAGAAGAACGCACTGGCGAAGTCTGGCATCTCGGTGCAATTTAAAAACCACGTGAATTTAATGGTCGGTAATTGTGCCATTCTTCAAGTAACTTGGTCTCCAAGTCGAGAAAAGTATAAAGAGAGAGTCACGCATATCGTGCATACTACATTCATAGAGGTGATTAAAAAGTCTCGTTGAAACTGAGAATTATATTTCCCAATTATAACACGATTCAACTACACGTAAAACTCGTTAAACATTATTTATGCAATAATATTCAGGTGATACACGGATGCACAATCCCGATAACCATAAAAGGAACAGTGACCTACCCCTTTGTCACAGTAAATACAAAATTTTTGAACTTCTCTGAAGTCGTCGTGGGAGAGTGCTTAGTCATGTGCATTTTAATAAAAAATGAGTAATATTTCCAAAATCTTACGTTAAATTCAAAAGTAAATTTTAATCAAAAGCGATATTAATTTTAATATGAATTTACTTCTTAGTGGATTGATCGATTGCAAGTGGGAAATAAAAATATCAAACGTTCGTAAAAAACAAGAAAAATGCCCGTTTCACGTGCAGTACGAGTCGAATCACTGCCCACCTGGTTCTGTAAACATCGTCCGCGTGTGTTTTGCGCCACGAACAATGGTATAAATAACGAAGCAATATGGACATTCATTCTTGTAAATTTATTTCAATAAGAGAAAAAAAATCCGTTCGTTTTCAGTGCAACGCGGAAGCAAAATTAAATGTATTGGTGGAAATGGGCCTGGAAACGCAGATCGTTTCCTTGACGGGTCATGGTGTCGAGAAGAGTCTAAGCATAATCGAACCGGTTGTTCAATTTTTGCCGACTGTGCCATTTACAGAGATCCAGGAGACAGTTTTCACGATTCGAAACGCTTGCAATTATCCTGTGGAATTCTTCTGGCATCATCTGGACAAGTAAGAAGCATAATCGACTTGAATTTCGAATTTGACTTTTCGCAAGAATTCGATAAATTGCTAAAAATGTTTCCCGACGTGGTAAAGAATCATTGGGAATTCTCATAAAGTAACGACGCTTTTTAAGCTCCTTTCAGGCGGAAGATAAAGTTATAAATGCGCTGCTGGATTATTACCAAGTCAAGGAAATACTCTTGCCTCCCAGAAAGCCTGGCGAACCGTTCCCTCCGCATTTAATAAACTTTTACAACGATCTCGTCGATGGGACGTCTCTGGCTCAGTCGGAGGGATTTGCAGTCGAAGACGAAAATGAGGTTCAACTGGGAACGAAGGCGAGTAAGTGTCGATATTCATTAATCAAAGAGTTTTCTGTCGAAACTCTTCAAAAATTGTTTGAAACGGAGACATTTGTTGAACGAGTTTCGCTGACGAGTTCGCCGACAACGAAATTACTTCTAGAAAACGAAATGTTTCCCAATATACCATGAAAGTTAAAATTCGTATAATTTGAAACGAATACCAGTAGCAACAATTAAAATATAATCTTTGAAGCAAGACCGAATAAATACAGAATATTTTCTTTTCTACACGATTCACTGTACCCGTTTCTCTTGACTTTCTATTATTTCCTATCCAAAGTGTTATCGTTTCTACTGATAATAAATAAATATAGAAATTTTAGCACGTAGCTAATGGTAGATATATTTCCTTGATTTAAGATTACGCGGATAGTCTGAAAGATACCCCATACTTCCGGGATAAAACGAGGGACCCCGTGGGAGAACTTTTCGAGGGTATCGAACGGAAATCCGACCCTTTGAAAGATCTTCCGGATCCTACGAAGCCGGAGAGAAAAGTCTGCATTATTTTCCACGGAGCTCCTTTCACCGGTACTTTCTCGTAATATTATATGTATATCCCTGCCATTCATGATTCAAGATCAACTCTCGATAGCAGTTCCAAACAACTAACGATAGACATTGCACAATGGCACTGATACATAAATGTACTTTACCACGGAAATCATATGATTTTTCACGATGATATACTTTACTACGAATATTATAGTTTACTATGATTTTAATTGTACACGTTTCATCGTAGTCAACCATCAAGTACCATATTTATATACAAAAGTTAAGAAACAAGTGTTTGTTTATGTTATTTCACTGATAAAATCACAGTCCTATGATACTCGTATCACACGTTAGTAAGATTGAATTTAATTCTTTGGGCTTTATATCAGCACTAACTGACAATTTATGTTGTTCAGAGTATCAAGAAACAGCATGCAGAAGCGCAAGAACCTTAAATGTCCCTACGCTTTCTATCGACAAAGCAATCACAGAAGCGATAGCTCTCGGTGAAAGTCCCTCTTCGATTACAATACGACAAATCATCGACGATGCTTATCAGAATTACATAGAAGCTTACGAGAGGCACAAGTACGATGTACAGTTTCATTTTACAAGATAGCTCTTAACCGATCGATTGAAATTGCGCGGTAAAATCTCTGGATACCTTGATTCAATCGTTTTATACGACAATTTTCACCCATCCACTAACGTATATAAAAGAACTCAAAAAGGGGAAAGACTAACAAAAAGTTTGGAATTTTGAGAATTTAAGAATTATATTCCTGGATATTCCATATATATATAGAAATAGGAATATCGAAGTTTTGATAATTGTTCAACATTTGTCAACGAACAAAGAAACCACTTGAAGCATTACAAGTGCTCGACTCTTGTAGCTCCCCTTTGTATTCGCCACTGCACCTGTCCATTCATGGATAAATGGTTTTCATCGCGTATAAGAACCATTTGCAATGCAAATTATCATAGATATTTGCAATACAAATAATGTTAAAAATCATTTAACATTTTTAAAATGTGAAATTATCGATTATTTTGTCAGCTAGAATGCACGAGAGTGAAAGTAAATATTTTTTCCTGTGATTTCATAATTTAAGAACGGAAGGGTCAGCGTAGAGTTTACAAGATCGTTAATGAAAATAGGAAAAAGTAATGGCCCTGCAGAGTCTCGAGAAACGTTCGATAATGATTTCATTTTCATAACTCATCGAAGATTCTCGCCATTAGGGAGCGTCTGGCTGCCCAGTCTGGTCGAAAAACCGACGAGATCGATTCCGACGCGACGAGGAGCGCGTTGAAAGGAAGAGGAAGTCGACGCGAGGGAACGAAATCTTCCGTGAGTGAAAAATCAACCAAGACAGAAGGTACCCCGAGGAAAGGGAAAACGAAAAAACTCGAAAAAACCGCTAAAACTGATAGCCCAAGCGCGCAGAACGAAGTAACCTTCCTTCGACTTCGCGAAGAGCCAGATCCTTTAATTGAATTCAATAAAATTCCTGCCACCGAGACAATGGAGATCTTGGATCCTTTGAGCAGATACGAGTACAAGGTTCAAGCCATTTTGCAGCTGGAGAAGATAATTGGGCCTCGAACAATCGCCAACGAATCACCGAGAAATAAAATTAGTGTAAAGACTACTGACAAAAGTGCCAGGAGAAGAAAAGGTACCTCGTTTCTTGGAATGGAGTCAGATTTGCTTGCCGAGGCCCTTTCAAAACGGTACGATATAATTATAGATTTAATTTCTGTAAATTATAATTTGCACAAAATAATCAGGAACTGACATAGGAGTGACTAGAGACTCCTGATGAATACAATTGTAATGTTATTTTATAATGCAATGTACTGTTTATAAATTTATTTATCGTAGGTGCTACAGAATAAATGTCTGCGTGAAAATTAGTAGCTCAAAACTTAGAAATATGTAAAAAGCCACCAACTTCCTAAGGGGTAGCTAAAGATAATAATGATGATGAAAAGTCGGGGTGTGCTCTACCAAAGTTTTGGTTCCAGTTAATGCGTGCTAAATACTAGTTACAAAATAAATGTACAACGATAAATGGGCGTCTGTAACACTGTTCGTGATAAGCTACTGTGCTTTCCTACGGTGTCTTCTTTCGTACAATTGCTTTCCTAAGTCTGTTAATTGCGCTAACTCTTGTTAAATTAATCTTGTGCAGATTATCCGCGGCAGATTTTAAACGAGGATTTGTCCTGCAGAGCTTAGGAAGCAATTTCTTGCGCGGCAACGTCGTCGAAAACTTGATTTTCCTGCTGAGAATAGTTGGTCACGCGGAGTACTTCCTGTTCGTTACTTTTCTTAACTCGATGGCTAATTACGATCGCAAAGTCGACGAACTTCGCCAGGAATACGGTAACGTGCATTAAAAATACAGTTGCTTGTGGAAATATTCGAAATTGTACTCGATTCAGTGTACAAAAATATTCAATATTTTTACTCTAAATGTATATCAATTGTGGCTCAATTATGAAGAAAACAACACTAGTAGTCTCTCCTTTCATCTTTGTTGTTGGCAAACGGTATATTTTATTTGTTGGCAATTTGAGACACAAGCGTTCCAATACTTTGACAAACAACTGTAAATGAAACTTGAACATTGCGGGTATATTTATTCAATTCCTATGGATACGATGCACATGATCGACGCGAATACCTTCAACGTCGAGCTTGAAAATAAAACGCCAGAGAAATCTCGATTTCACGATGCTTCGTTCGCCGAGAGTGCCTCTGATATTGCGCTACGCGAAATTACACGCGTTACAAGATACAGAGAAGGTATTGTCGACGACACACACAAAGTGAGATTCCATCTTTGCAACAGAGAGAACGACCGATCATACCGAGAGGATTCGAGACATCGACGACATGTCGTTGTCCGAATACGATCTGCTCAACGACGAGGATAAGAAGATGTATCTGGAGGCAATTCTGCCGGCTAAAAAGGAGAGGGCATCGCTCAGACGGACTCAATTTGCTCAACGGATGATGCAACGAAGAAAAAGAAAGGTTTGATCAAAGGCTTGTTATTCAAAGAATACGTCATCACATTAACCCTTAAGTAGACTCGCTCAGGAGTCCCTCAAATACTACTAATAGAAATCTACTAATTCATAGTACCAGAAAAAGGTTTTAGATCGTTTGAAACATAAATAGAAGAAACACAATTCAAACTAATAAAAAAAAATATCTGAATCCTGAGACAGTTATAGAAAGATTCATAATGTTTCATCAAAATGGTCAACCTATATCCGGTAATAACACGTAATTTGCCCCAGTGGAGATCTACTAGCCTCCCGCGCGCCTACTTAAGGGTTTATTGAATTTGGCGAGATTCTCAAGGAGAAGGAAATAAACAGCTAACAGCTGATTTACAGGAAAATCCTTGAGAAAGAGATTTGTAGCTTATAAGAGGTTGGACTAGGTTTGTTACTTAATTAGAACCATACAAAATAAAATAAAGTTGTGCAATGAAACATATCAATTTCAACAACAATAAATAATTTTTTGGAAAAATTTTACTCGGGATAAATAGTTCCTGGTCTAAACACATTGTAAAGTTTAAACGTTAGAAAAGTTTGAAGTTCTCGAAGCACGCGAATATTCCGTCAGAGGAACGCGAAACGATACGATGCTTAATTTTTTGGTCGAACGTAACTGTTCCGCAGGAAAATCGTGGCCGCGTTTCGAGATCAAAGACACCCAAGGGAAAAGGAAGCATAAAGTCGTCGAGGCGCAAGCAGACGGGCAATAAAAGGTCCGCGAATTCGAGGCCAGCTTCCAGCAAACGAGAGACCGCCAGTAAAACAACGAGGAGCAGAGACAGCTCGAGACGCGGTAAGATCCGCTTGAGAAAGAGTCGAGACGATGAAATTGAGGAAGTAAAATGGCACGGGAAATGTCGCGAGCCAATTTGTACGGAACAAGAACGATATACGAGCCGCGATGCTTGCAGACACAATTAAATTACAACCGAACTAGACAATGATGTTGAAACGAAATACGATCGGGCAAAGAATTATTAGAAGTAATTCTCGAAAGTAGCGTTTCCCGAACACCCTTAATCACGGAACACTTTTCGTTTCGCAGTCTACAGCTGGGACAAAATTAAGTGGACATCGAACGACAATAAAGAGTCGCACACAATTTGAAAAAAAAAGATTTTCTTCTTTCTGACCAAAACGTCGCATTAATTGATTGGAAACAAATAACATTGAAGATTATAAAAGTACAAAAGTGGTGTACACGCTTTATTTATTCTATTTTATTTTTTCAATTAATGGTTACGATTTTTTTATAAAAAACACTGTTTGAGAAACTCTGCTCCATACAAATGGAACTCGATTCAGTTTAACGTACCTACGTTTATTCTGTAGGAAAACAAACAATTCCGAGCGAAGTTAGAAAAATCATGGTGGCCATGGATCAATATTATTCGGATCTTTCAGCTATAGAGAATATAATTCGTAATTGGAATCCCATAAAAAAGACAGTCGTAATTATTATACCTATATTAATGTGTTGTACGTATTCATTAAATCTCGGCTATAATATCAAGTTTATTGTTTTCTTCTCAGGAAGGACCTTCTGTGCCAAAAACTAGAATTCCAAGAAGTGCCAAGTCCAAAGATGCAGGAGCTCTAGATACTGCTAGAGAGGTGATATTGTTTAAGATATAATAAATCTGTCATTTAAAATGTAACGTAGAATCTAAAAACTTCACCTGTTGAACGCATGCATTCATAATGAATATTTTAAAATAAAATCTTCATCGTAAATTGCGTTCACCATTATTCGCAACTATTGTTGGAGTGCGTTATGTTGCTACTACGAAAATTTCCAATAACAACGTTTAAAAATTAAGAGTTAAATATAGATATTTAATTAATTATCGTTTTTAAACGCAGGAAATTGTGAGCAAATTTCATATATGGTACGTGAAGGCTAGCAACCCCTGGCTGGACACGATGCACGATGCAATAGTTGCTGGAATGAGAGACAATTTTTTAGCAAAATCTACTCTTGGTAAGCAGCAATAGTTGTACAATGTTTATTGTAAAATAATTCTAGAAATCTAATTTCATCTATTTCCAAAAAAAAGATTTCACCCAAACAGCTATTCACTTTTAATAAAAATATTATTCACTTGCAGCACCCGAAACTGTACCTGAACCAGATCTTCGACCCACGCTATACTCTGTTCTCGCATCGAGAAACATTCAAACAAGAAACACGCGTGTTCATGGAAGTACGTTTTTTAACAATGCAGCTAGCCTACGAATATTTGAATATATCATAGAATGTTTAAAATCATAAACATACGTATAAATTACAATTGTATAATAATATACCAACACAGTGAGCTACATATGTGAGACAACAAAATTCATTGCGAAGAGGAGCAAAAATCAAGTCTGTGTTTGCAATTATAATTATTGTAATTTAAATCGTTCAGATGTTTATCAATTGGTCTCGATAACACCGATACCTGAAGTCCTGTCGATCAGCGAATCGATGCAAGTCAGCGACCTAAGTGTACAAGAGAATCGCACAGAAAATCGAAGAAATAGCAAAAGACGCAAACGAAGAGCGTCGAGCAAACAAGAACGAAAAATGACGAGCAAAACAGAGGATCAATCGTTGGTTACTACCAAAAGCAAGGACACTATTAACGCTACCGTTTCAGATACTATTTTGGAGGAGTATTTAAAGCCACGATGGATCCTTCAACCGAACGAATCGCAGAAATTCAAGATTCGCTTCCAACCGGAAGAAACGGGTCTCTACGATGAAACTTACGCGTTGACCATCGTGGACGGGAATAACCTAACATACGAAGTGAAAATTAATGGCATCGCGGACATCCCGAGAGTGGACATGAATCCTAACAACATCTATACGAAAGTAAGAGCGAATAATAATTTTTTTTTATAATCAATTATTATCGAGAAATAATAGGATATAATTTGAATTCAGTTATTAAAATACTAGCAATCACCAGTCTCTTTATTCTGGTATTTAAGTGAAAAATGTCAGTTATCTAAATATACAGAGAAAATATATGCAAGATTTTACGTTATTTCATTTCCTAAATGTTTAAGACCGACAGTTTGCTATTCGAATAACTGAACTGGAGTTTAATTAACATGTCACAGACTGCAGCCATTAAATTGGATAATGCAGATGGTCCTACATACTACTTGAACAGCGGAATTTACGATTTTGGATCGATGCTGGTCCTACAAAAAGACAAAAGGTTCGCTCGTTTTCGTCGATTAATTAAATTACGAATCGAAGGGCTAAATTCTATAATTGTATAAGAGGATAAACTCATCGTAAATTATCGAGGACTATTTAAAAAATACAGAAACATACCGAATACCGAATTAACGAAATAAATAAATAAAATTGAAATCATAGGTAGTTGAACTTTTGACTTGAAGTTACAAGTTGTTCGGACAAACAAAAATTCTCGTATTACTAAGGATTACGTGTAGTTAATTTTTTTATAAATCATAAAACGAAACTGTCCTCTCGCGAAACTGAAGTAACAATCTCGACGCGAAAGTTTCTTGAAATCCGAAGTGTCGCTCGTCGCTGAGTTCTCGAACTCGCGAACTACATAGACTTCTTCTCTGCGAACAGGCCACATCGTCGCGAAGCCGAACTTAAGTTTCGAAACGTTTCCAACGTGGACGCGGAGATGTGCTTCTCTCTAGAGGAAAACAACGCTAGCTGTTTCTCCATCCAACCGGAGAAGCTCCTTATCGATGTGCGTTATCGGTGCAAGTAACAATGCACTTTTAGTTTAACCCTTCACAGACACATCTTCTACGACTGTTTCTCGATCTTTTTTTGGTCGATGGCCAATACATGTCGATGTTATACATTTATTTCTCTATAGTATTTTCATAATATTTTAGTAATACTTTTCGTAGATCACTTAGGAAGTTTTATAATCTTGTGTACATCTTCTACTAATGACTCTTAAAAAATACGACATGGCTTACTAAGAGGGCCAATATGGCTTTCACAGAGAATTACTTTCTTAAGGAACAGTAGATTCTTCACTAATAAAACCCCTGAGTTTCAAAAACCCTGAAACTCAAAAATTTCAAAATTTAAAACTCTTTGTGTTCGTAAAACATTCGATACATTTTGTTAAAGCACTGGATGACTAGCGATAAGTAAAATACTAACTTGCAGTGCAACTGTGAAGGGTTAATTACCGTTGTAAACAGCCAAAGTCGAAATATTTTCAAATCTAGCAAGAAACGATCTTTGTATAGCATGGGAATCACGGAATCCTGATTCTATCAGCCATTACCACGAAGCTTGGTCCAATTTCAGAGAAACTGTACGTGTGTCTGAAGAATAACCCGAAAGTCGAAGTAATCAAGGTATCGGTTTTCACATTTTTCGACAAAAATAAAAAACTTCAAATGGTTCTGAAAAAATTATTTTCGGTTGTGAGGGTCAACTACAATTACCCTCGAAATCCTCCATACCCTATAAACGTTTTAATTAATATATTTCCGAAAATATTATTGCGACATGTACGCTTGTATTATTGCGTGTTTGCCTGTGTAATTTTTTGTCATTCTTCCCAAAATTGTTCGTAACAATATCTAATTATATGTAATTTTCGAACGAATCAGTTGGAAAGCGAGGGCGCAAAAGTGGACATTGAACTGGACGAGAAACAACTGTCATTTGGTCGCACGCTTCTCTACCGAAGAGAATTTCGAGTTTTGACAGCACAAAACAAAACCCCGGTGGCAATTTCATGGCAAATAGAAACCGAAGAATCTTTCGAGCCACAGATCACATATGCACCGGATAGAGGTGTGATTAAACCGTGGAACGAACAGAAAATCGAGTTCTGCTATCATGGCGGCAAGGTAACGCGTATTCCTTCCGCGACGAGGAACCGACATTTGCGAAAATAATTTCCGCTCGCGAATAATGTTAATTATTTTTAAGAAAAATCTTGATTACAAATTACTAAATATTATTAAAAACAAACTTGCTCGACTCAAATTGCTCGATGATTCAGCCGTTAAGAAGGTACAAAATCGGTATAAAATCAGTACAAAAAATCTATTACAGGTGGGCGTAATCGAAACGCAAACAGTAACTTTCAAAGCATTTCTATGCGAGGAAAACGAAGAGCCGATTTTCGCAGACACCGTTCGTCTATCAGGCGAAACTTACGATGTCGCGGTTGACATCGATCACGCGAACCCTATAGATCTCAAATGGATAAGAGTCAATTCTCCTGCGAGAGGTTTGATGACGATAAGAAATCGCGGCGACTATCAAGTGGAATACGTGTAAGAAATCTTTTTTTTCGTGTCTTCAAAATGGGGCACTTGATACATTTCTATTTATTTAATAAGAAAAATTATAATACATTTATATTTATAAGAAAAATGGCACCACGGTTCACTTTTGAATCATACGAATTCTATTTGAAAAATTGTTTCCTATCTGTAAAAGTGAAAGAGTTACTACATGTGAAGTGTACTGCTTTAAGTGCCTCGCTTTGAATAAAAATAAAATCTATCTTCTCTTTTCTGAACTATAACGAGGCAAAATGAGCACAATTTTCACAGTATTACGCTAGAGGACAACGAAAAATTGACAAAACTAGGTTTGCCCGCGAATTTGAAGAAAAATTTGGAGGTTTCGCCGGTGTCTGGTTCTATTCCACCGTATAGAGAGAAAATCGTAGAAGTTCGTATTTGGCAAACGAAAATACAAATTGTACATCGTGTGTAAAACGTATCGCGTGTCGTTACAGGTGACATTTATACCAAAAGACGAGTTATCGCTTAAAGAAGTTCCGATATTAAAGTGCCACCTGATCGATACGAATAAGGAAACTACGATCGTCGCTGAGATTCCGCTCGCAGTTTCCCTTAATGCATATTATACCAGGTATAAAATTATTTAATCAATTGGTCAGTGCTTACGATTTTGAATATTCCGTTGACAGTAATACTTAGCAGACAAAATCGACTTAAAAATGTTCAAAAATTTGATTTGAAAATATGTATTCCCACTGTAGATTCCAAGTTCATCCATACCCTTTGATGGACTTTGGACCAATGGCAGTATGCACCGAAACAACAATGTACCTCAACGTAGAAAACACCGGAAAATTCCCGTTGCATTACTCTATTCGTGTCGCGAGTAAACATCCATCTGTAATTTATATGAGTCAAACAACAAAAGCAGATTCGCGTAAAAAGCAAAATTTAACGGCAAGGACGAACACGTCGAAGATGGGCAAACGATCCATCAGAAGTAAAAAAGCTGAAATCGAGTAAATTTTATTTTATTTTATAATAAGATACTTAATTTCTTTGTCTTGGTTTGTCTTACTTGTACTCGTTAAATATATTCACGTCTATCCCACATTTTTATCCTAACAATTCAATTTACCATATTCAATCTGCTATCATTGTAAATTACAATTAATTACGTATTTCCACTTATTTTAAGAGTGTCAAACAAATTCTATAAAATATCGAATGGCGCAAAAGTAAACATAAAGAACAGTTTTTAATTTTTCATTATGCAGAGATCATTCAGAACCGGAAAAGTTAATAGTAGGCCCGATGACGATAGCCAAAACCGAGGGTGACGTCGATGCAGGCCAAACAGATAGCATCGCCGTGACTTGTTATCCTGAAATCGTGGGTACCCAGGATGAACAGATAGTTGTTTTCGCGAAGGACAGCGAACCCGAGGACGGAGAGGGGAAAACAGTTACACTGTTCGTGAATTCATTGATGCCAAATATTGACTTCGAGGACCTCGACTCGATATTTCGAGAGAATCACGTGGTCGATCGAATCCAAGACTTTGATTGTCCCAAAGAGGTTCTTATTGCTCGAAAAATATAATCCTGAACAAAGTTTCAAAAACAATTGCAATATTTCGGACGCCACTTAAAAAATTTTCTTTTCCAGCAAATACCAAAAATAGTTATTTTTTAAATATTGTCCACGAGGGTAACATATGATCATTTTCAACGATAGAAGATCCAGAATTGTACAAAATATTTTTGTGCAGATTGGACCGCACACGGTGTTCGCGCGTCAAGAGAAAAGCCTTTACTTCCGGTACGTCAGCGTAATGACTACCCACGCAATGTGTTTCAAGCTGTACAATCGAAATATAATACCCGCGAGCGTGGACGTATATTTCGTTCCGGAATCATTGATGCCAAGCACAGCCAAACCTGATACGTTCGTCGTGAAACCACGAAACGAACGCGTTCCGCCTATGAGCTACAAAACGTTCACGGTGTCTTTTACTCCAACCATTATAGAGGTAAAACATCTATACTTTGTCTTTGTCAGTGACTAAAGATTAATCATGGTTTTCCAATTTCCCCACGTGCCTGTTCGAAGACGTTTAAATGTACTTTGGAAGCAACCGTAATTCTGCCACCACATTTGGACGAAGAAAAACTGTCGATCAAACTAGTAGGGGAATCCTGTGTACCGGAAGTTGCAATTATAGAACCGATCCACGGAAACAGGGAAAGGACTACATTGAATTTCGGCCGTACACTGATCAACGAGTTCAGTTACAGAAAATTTGTCCTAGAAAATATCGGGTTCATCAAGGCAAAAGTCATTGTTGAAATCGACGAGGATCAGTACAGAGTGTTTACTTTTGAAGCCTGCCCCGATACGCGGCATTTGCTTCAAATCTGGGACAGTGGTTGCGAAGGTAAATTTAATTAACGTTGTTAATACATTGCCAATATGCCAAATCTGACCACACTGCTAGTGGCAACGTCAATTTTTAATTTTACGTAAAAGAATCTTCTTTGATTGTTCAACGGTCCAAGTCCCGCACTCTCGACGTAATTGAATATATTTTAGAATCGAACGATCGATACACTGTGGTTCGTCTGACGCCCGGAAACGTGGCTTGCTTCAAGGTAACGTTCTCCCCGAATGAAATTGGAAAACGCACCGGGAAAATTCGTCTATTTGTGGTTGACAATCCTTACGAAAATATGACGATCAATCTGGAGGGAGAATCTTACATGGAACCGCTCGTTCTGGAGGGTCTGGAGTTCGAGGATAACAAACGCAGTGCCACGATTGGAAATCGGAACTCCGTTTCTAGAACACGAAGACTCTCGACAAAACAAAATTCTCTAGCATCAGGTAGACGATAATATTATTCAAACGACGTTAAAATCAGTAATTTTACTCTAAATGTGCATACTTAGTACTTTAAGGGTTCGAAGCATCGGCGCGAGTTCATTGACCTCCCGCGTAAATAGTAAATTCATTTAAATTACGATATCTCCAAAGCGGAAAATCGGATCGACATAAAACAGAAACCCTTCTAAAGGGGAGACTGTCGCTTCTAGCAGTGGATTAATTATGGAGAAAATACTAATAGTTTCGGAACTGCACGCGTGTAAACTTTTACTATTTTTAATCGCGTTGTTAGACTGTTCCAAGAGACTCGAAACTGGAGATTTTCCCCTTTCATATTTGCTAAATACTTCCTGTTCACATCGAAAGCTAATCAGAATTTGATACCAAATATTGTCCGGCTTTTTATGATAAAACATAAATCATTTCTGTCACTGGGCTAGATTTATTGCCAGGAACCATCACGATTATAACGAGTTTGTGATAAATAAAACTTATACATGCTGTAGTTTTACCCAATGAATAATAATCGTTGTCTGACAGTTCATTATTTGTAACATGGATGGAAATATATTTCAGCACCTGCGAGCTCGAGTTCCACCGCATCTTTGACCTATATTCTCAACTACGGGCTCTGTGTCGTTAGCAAAATGTACAAAAAGACGATCAGAATTGCCAATAAATCACCGGACCGTTGGTTTCGTTTCCAATGGAGCGAACACCCCAACGTCGTGTTCGTGCCAACAATTGGACACATAAAATTTCTTACATGCAAAGAAGTCATTGCTACTTTCCTGGCATCGGAACCTACAAATCATGTAAACGTACGTCTCTGAAATGAAGTCTACTGTCAAAGTAATAATTTGCAATGATCCGTTTTCTTTGTATATCCCCGTATCAACTTTCAGTAATCCAGATATTTATAGACGTGGTATTTATAGTTTAATGCAAATTATTCAGACTCGTATCGAGTGCATCGTGTGGGAAATCGTCGCTACGGACGATAACGAGGCTTGGGACGACAGACAAACGGAGGTGCGATGGAAAAGCTTGCAACCTGACCTCGTCGAAAAGCCCAAGGAGGTAGAAGTGCTATCGAAAAGAATAGTGCGTCCAGCTCCAGAGCCAGAACGCGAAAGCGTGGCTGGAACGACCAAAACCATTCTGGTTTTGCTCAATGCCACCGTCGCTTTCTCGGAGTATTTCTGCCCAGTTCGAGAAATTTATTTCAAGGACACGCTGATGTTCCAGGTTCCTTACTCTTTGTCTTTTAAAAGAAAATACTGTACTTCCGTTGCTACCTTTTTAGCGACCCAAGACGATCTTGAAGCAAAAATTGGCGAAGATCGTCATGATAGACGAATAATGATTGAAAAATTTTGTCAAAGACTCGAGAATACACGTTCACTCTATCGAATCCTGGAACGATGAACACGCAGTATGTGTGGAAGGTAACCATGGACGAGCAATATCCGAAACGACGGATGGAAAACAGTCCAATCGGGACTTCGAGACCGAGGACCGCGGACGGTTCGCGTACTCGACCGAATTCGAGATCACAGCGAGGAATTTTCTCAGCAACAAGTGATCCACGTCGCGTAAACTTCGACGCTGATGGAAAAAGCGCAGGGGACAGCGGAAATCTTTTATCACTGCGTTTCGCGTCGTCCGTTTCTGGTAAAATGACGAGTGAATATGATGGCAGATTTCAGGGTGCCTGTAATCTGATACTGCAGCTCCGTAATACCAAAATTCAATTAAAAGAAATAGCTTCAAGGAATGATCCTACTACGTGTCAAAATAAAACAAAAATTAAAAACAACAACATTCTATTCGTGGTTTTTTAATTTTCCAATTTGAAATCTTACTCGTGTTTGATCGAACTATATGGTTTTATGAACATAATCGCGTCGAAACGACTAAATAAATTTCAATGAAACTATAATTATTTTTATTTAATTAACTAGTTGGAGTTGCAGTACAGAGCTCGGTACCGGTGAGAATTAATTTTAAAGTAAACGATTTATCGTTTGAAAGAAACGTTCGCGATTGTAGATACCGTCGAGATGAAAGGTTCGAGCGCGAAACGGACGGATCTATTCAGCAGCAGCGCCGGTTTGTCAGAACGAACCACGGATAGCTGGTTGGAGGGTGACGATCTACCATTCGCGATGCACCCTGACACAGGAACGATATCGCCTCAGGAATCCGTGGAATGCACATTAAAATTCTCTCCTATAGACGTGTTTTATTACAAGTCGTACCTTACGTGCAGGTATAACCTCAGAATTTAGAATAAAATAAAATAGTAACTCTTGTATTAAAAAAGGGACACGTGAATTGGATTCATACACAAGTTCGAACGATGATTTTTAGTACTTTAAAATAATTCGATTATATAAAATGTATCTGAAAAATCCTGCCAAACACTAAGGAACATTCCTCACGCGATTACAACGTAGATTAAATTCTCTAATTTTCTTTCCTCTATACGCCTTCTCCAGACACACAAAATGAAAATATTTCTTCTCTAATAAAAAACTGATAATCAAACGGACTGTATAACTATTTGTAAAAGTAAGAAAAGAATATCTTTTTCAACAGGATAGAAAATCTTGATCCGAAACTGCCGGAGTTGACGATTCCCGTCGCCGCGAGAAGTTTACTGCCATATTGTCATTTCGACGTGCAAGAGAGTGACTACATAACCAGCGGCAGACGAGATCCAACGCGACCCGGACCGCTGGGACGCGGCATAGAGGATCCCGCTTTGTGGCAGAATATCAGGGTAATCGAATTTAAAGTGGTCGGCGTCGGCGAGACACACGCGAAGTAAGTGTGTACCGTGTCAAACTGCAATACACCCGGTTCTAACATAGTTCGTAACAAATTACGACGGTTTCATTTGCATACGCCGCGGAAACGCGGAAAATTAATTAGAATGAGGAGTAAAGTCACGAGCCGAGTCTCGAGATATTTTTTTAACGATCATTAAATCCCTCGTCACGGCTGCACGGTTCGCCATCAATTATTATTTTTACTTTTCATCGCATCGAGCGTTTTTGTAGATTAATGCTCGATACTTCAAAAAATATTCAGAGTGGTTCGCTACAAAAACAGGTCATCCAAACCGTTTTCGTTATTTTAACGGCTTGTTCCATTGATAATGGTTGAATGTTGTTCAAGCACATATTGATTTCGTTCGGTTAGCAAGTAACTGGTAAAAGTAAAAAGTGTAAAAATCCTGTATGGTATAAGAATAAGAGGTAATTGAAAATATTTTGAAAAAAAATAAGAAAATGTCCAAGTATACAGTAACCAAATGTTCGGGCACTAATTGTGAGGATGCTTTGTCGATTTCAGAAAATTCCACCTTATCAATCCGACGATGGACGACTATCGGTTCACCTGGAAGGATCGAACGCCCCATCTCGCAGACGAGATATCGAATTTTCACTGCACAGTGCCCGAGGGCATCGCGGAACGCGGGAAACAGACCGACCTGGCTTTCACGTTTTTGGCAAAGGACGTCGGCGTCTTCGAATCCTTCTGGCTCTTCTCCATCGAGAGATACAATCTGGAGAGCCTTTTTCTGGTCGTCGCGACCGTAACCGAGCCCTCGGTGCACCGTCTCACGGTCCACGTGAAACTAAAGCCAACAATCTTGGGTTGAGTCTCGAGCATTCTCGCTTTGAAGCACCAACGTGATGATTTTCTTTATTATTTTCTTTTTCCCGGCGTTAATTCTGACGAGCAAAAAAACCAAATCGACCTTCTGTCTTCTATTTCTTAAGCAAACGCTCGAATTATTTCTCAATTAAATTACTAACACGAACATTCAAAGCATTTTCTTCGTCAAACTCATTTCATAAACACGTTCGCGTTTTCCAATGTACGTTTCTATACAAAAAGATATTTGAAACAGTTTTATTTTACTATCCGTTTATATGGAACGTTTCCGAAAAAACAAATTTACTTTCAATTCACTTCCAGGACATAACGTTCGAGATTCGATTAGGCTATTGAACGATGAAGATTTTTCTATACCGTTCAAAGTGTTGGAAGAATCCTTATATTCGGAAGGTAAATTTCAGAAGCTCGCTGTGACTCCATTGTCTGGAAGCCTGGCACCGAAAAGCGAACAGCTTTTATGGTGATTATTATTCCGAATTTGTGAATTTACGATCTTATAAAACAAAAGAACGATTCACCGTTAAAATTTGACATTGTTCGTAAATACGAGCAGAAGTACGAGTGGCTAGAATGATTGGACAAACCAAACTTCGAAGTATAGAAATTGTTTTGCGATTTAAATGAAATAAATTATAAAGCTTGATCGTCGGAAAGTTTCACGTCGCGGATTCGTAATTTTCGCAAGCAGAACGAATCGACGAAATTTTTAACTCGCCCGCAGGGTCGAGTACCATCCAACCCGCGTCGGTGAATTCGACTTTTCCATTCATTGTGCCGTGAAGCTGATGAAAAGTCCTCTCGCCATTTTTGTGACCGCATCCGTTTACGAGATCTTGTCCTCGGTTTCTTACTCCGTCGCGACCGACGAGATTGTACGAGCATGCGAAGATACGGATAACGTCATCGATCTGGGCAAAGTATACAAATATATTCACCCAAAATTAAAAACCAAATCTATTCAAAGTTCGTTTACTGTTTTCAAATTTCCACGACTTTCTAGCGGATCAGACTACATCGTAACTCCATTGTAATCGAGATGAAATGCACGAGCTACTCGTTAAATAGTTTTTAATCAAACTTTTGCTACCTAGAATCGAGCAAATTTTATTTCTGATTAACGAATAAAAATTTTTAATTCATTCGTGAAGTAGCTTTTGTCCGGAGCTTTAAGATGGAGCGAATTTTGACCTATATCGATACTTCCGTTGTATTTAATAATGAGCGTAAAAATAAAATTGCAGTTACAAGAATTATCGATTGTCTTTCTTTGTTTCGCAGTTGATGCCCAACTCACCGATCGCCATCAAGTTCGACATAACAAATTCTGGCAAAACGGCGTTTTACTACATCTGGGACATCGGCATGACGCCGGAAGTCATCAGCAGAAACGCTTACGCCGTAACGACGCCTCAGAAACAGGGATACATGATCAGCGAATCACGATCGACCTGCAATTTAACGCTTACGACGTTTCGCAAAACGACGATCAAAGATCACCGAATTACATTGAAGGTAAACTAACTGCGATCGATCGTTTTGTTTCAATTAACGTATGACTGAAATCTCGATTCGATTAATCTCAGATTTTGAATGGTCCGACTTATCGATTTCTGCTGAAAGCTTCATCGAAGAAACCCGGCATCGAGTTCAACTTCGATCGATACGATTTTGGGCCTTGTTACATCCAAGAGAACAATGCTCTGTCTTATTATACGGAACTGTGTTTGTCGAACTCCGAAGACGCGTCATTCATGTGAGCATTCGCGTATTAATAATTTCAATGCCTTGGAATAGCGGTTCTTATCACGTTTCTCGCGACGGAAATGTTGTATCCTTAATTATTGCCAATGTTTCATAATATAATTGTAACGTAGAATCGAATGCAAATTCGAGGAACAACCGCATCTATCGGTGGACCTGAACTCCATCTCTGTAGCCCTGGCTGCTCGTTCAACGATTACTATCCCGATCACGTTTCGACCACTGAAGGAAACAAAGTATAACGAGTGTCTGATCTTCACAATCGACTCGAGAAACGAGAAGAAAATAACAATTACTGGCGAAGGAATCACCTATAAGGTAAGTGCTCATCGTGGAACTTGAGATCGAGTTGTTGAAACTTAAACAGTCTGCTCGACCTTTTTTCATATTCGCGAACAAATCGAGTTTCCGTCGAATCCCGTTCCAACTTCGTTCCAACTTGCTATAAAATTCAAAGGTGATTTCGAGCAAGTGAATTAAAAGAAAATCGTGGTTTAGCTACGGAGAACCTGTAGTATTTTTAGAACTTTATAGAATGAAAATTATTCAAGGTATTGAATGACTTATTTGAATATGTTGGATGGTTTTCAGATCCGACTGGTGAACCCTTGCGACAAATTGATCGATCTGGGCAGCGTTTCCGCCTCCAGAACCGTCATCAGAAAGATTCCAGTGATAAACGAGGGCTTGGCGCCTATCGAAATAAAATTCGATTTAATGAACAATCTCAGCGGCTACGAGGAGTATCGCGAACGCGCGCGTTCCTGCGCGATAAAAGAAATCAACGAAAACGAAATCATACTGAAGGAAGCATCCGTGATGGAAACGAAACGTTCCTGGACTCGAGACGTGATTCTACAAACCGATGAACCGAGACTCGCGGACGTTCTGCGAATCGAACCGTCGTCGAGCGTCGTTTTGAAGCCCAAAAAGAAGATAAACGTGACTGTGAAGTTCAGACCTACGTCCAGGATGAGACCGTTCACTGGCAAAATAGGACTGCAAACGTCCTCGACGGTTCTACCGCTGTTCATGGTGAACGGAAGCTGCGTTGGAGCGGACTTCCGTCTGAACAGGACTTATGTTTCCTTTGGGTCGATCGTGGAGGGTTGCACCGAGGAAGCTAAGATAGTTCTGATGAACGTTGGAGATGTAGGTGCAAGGTTGGTATTGACTATTAACTCTCAAACGTGACTACCTAACGTCCTAAATATAATATAATATTTATTGCAATAACAGTTTTTCTATTTAAAATATGTGCAACCCTCTATTTTATAGCTTTGATACGTTACTTTACAATTGATCGAACAAAGCATTGCAAATATGCTTCAACATTCCTTTCGGTCTTCTTTCCGTGACCTGAATTTCTTCAAAATACCTATTCCTGTCCTCGGCATGACTAGCGTTGAAATTAATTAAATTCTTCGCGAGAAAAAGTGTCGCAAAAGTCGTTAGAAATACATTCGAATCGGTCAAATAAAGTTAGAGGACGAACGTAATCTCAGTGTGATTCGCGTGAAAATTAATTAAATTGATGTGGACAAAAAGTATCTCAATGATAAAAAAAAATGAATTGAAAGAAAGACTTTCAAACAAGGGAAACGAAGTTGCAATACGGAAATTGATTTAGATTCAAGTGGAACACGTCGAAATTGCCGGCAGATTTTCGAATCACCCCTGTGTCCGGCTATTGCTCGCCCACTATGGATGTCAATTTCATTATCAAGTTCCAACCCTCTCAACGGCGAAGTTTAATTCAGGGTGAGGTGAGTGCTCGACCCCATCTTCCCATCGCGGGCGTACAAATATTTCATATAATTTTTAACGACACTTTCTATACATCAAAAATCCCCGAGACACCTCAAATTTATCGATTCCCCTAAAATTATGAGCATATCGTACAATACATTGTGTCGACTTTAAATTATAGTTCATTAACTTAATCGAGCTATTCGTCATTATCTAATATTTTTCACAAACCAAATTTTACAGTTGCATTTACGTCGATTAAGCTAGGTAAAGAAAATTCGAAAAGTTCTTGATCAGAAAAACAATACAAAAGATTTGTTCGAATAGTTTTATACAGCGTGCTCCTGGGAAAAATTTTAATGGGAGATTCTAGACGCCAAAATAAGACGAAGATCAAGTATACTAATTTGTTGATTGAGGCTTCGTTAAAAAGTTATAGAAACATTTCCACCACATAGTATATTTTCAGTAAAGAATTTTTTTCTCGAAAGTAGGTAGGATTTCGGGGGTATGTGTATTCACCATAAATGATTGTAATTAACCCCCGCAACTGAAAATAATTTTTTCAGAACGATTTGGAAAATTTTTTTTCGCCGAAAAATTTCAGGGAAACATGTCAATGTATGGTCAGACATTTTTGGTAAAGAATTTTTTTCTCGAAAATGGGTAGGATTTCGGGGGTCAGTCTACTCGCCAAAAATGATTGTAATTGCCCCCCGCAACCGACAATAATTTTTCCGTGAATGATTTGAAATTTTTTAATTTAATTTTTTAATCACTTTTTAACGAAGCTTCAATCAACAAGTTGATATTCTTGATTTTCGTCTTATTTTGGCCTCTAGAATCCCGCATATATAATTAAATATATTTCAGGCAATAATAGACATTGAGAAGTTTGGATCTTTAGAGGTGAGAATTACTGGAGGATGTTGCAAACTACCAGAACCGGCTGACACCATATTCTTCGAGTCTGTTGTACGTGCACAACAAACGCAAACTGTGAGTGTCCTGAACGATACAAACGTCCCTTGGAAATTGAAACCAGAAGTGACTGGCGATTATTATTTCGTCGACGAAATCTTGCACGTACCTGCCAAAGAATTAGCTTTTTGCACTGTCACCTATGCTCCTACTGCCATGAACACCGAGAACACTCCACACACGGTAATAAGATTAACATTGAAGGAATTATAACTTCATTCGTGACGTAAAAAATTCATAATAAATTCTGAAAACTAGGTATTATTCATTTTCTTTTATACAATTTCAAATTATGCAAAAAATAAAGCTGAATTAAATTCCAAAGCCATCTTCTAAATCCTAAAGACTTACTCTTTCCAAACAAACTTATTAATCAGCTGATTACCTGTTCTAATATTCAACACAAAATGACATTTCGTATTTCGTATAAAATAAATCGAATAAAGTATTGTTTGTTTTCATTATTTCCTTAGAATATGAGATATTAATTTCATGTATTCGAATTCGTGAAACTAGAAACATTTTCATAATTTCAACTAATCTGATGCTGTACTGAAATATTCCAGTCTCTCTCTCTCTCTCTCTCTCTCTGATTTAATATCTTCATAAAGTATTCTACGTTCTACCTGTTTCGCTAATTTCGCTATAGAGATAAGATGAAATTTAGAATATTTTCTTAACCTAGTAGCATGGATAGAAAATACAACAGAAAATCTAGTTAAATTCTAAGAATAAAGAAAACATACAATATTTTATACATTTCTAAAAATTGAAAAACAGGTAAAATTATGTTTTTAACTGTTACAGGGTACGCTGTTATTGAAATTACCCGACGAAAAATCGCCTTTGTTGTATTCTCTTCGTGGTAATAGCTTGCCCCCTGAAGCTCTAGCTAAAATTTACCGACGATTTCCTGCGAAAACGAAATACACCGAATTGTTACCTGTTCACAATTGGCTAAACAGGCAGCAGCGATTTCAATGCAAGATTTTACCAATGATAAGCGACAACGCGAATACGAAGGTTTCGACATTTATTTGGCATCGTCGAAAATGTCCTTTTCAGAACTTTGTTTGCATTTTAAGCGAGTTTGTCCTTTTCCAATAGGAAATTCCTCTTTATAATTTCATCGGTAACAATAAAATCGATGTTCCATCGAACAGCCAAAGGGACTACCGTGCAGTGTTCTACTCTTACGCGGAATCGAGTTTCCACTTCAAAGTAACTTGTTTCGTAGTTGTATATTAAAGGAGCAGTCTGGTAGTTCGGACCGAAAATCAAAGGTCCTCTGTTATTTTTCTTTTCACGAATGGAATAATTGAATCAGAATGAAAATTAGCAAACATACATCCGTGTATAATACACACCATGCAAATTTTGTTTAGAAGAAAACTAAGAAAACTTGTTTTCTTAGTTTTCTTCTAAAATTACCAGACTGCACCTCTTAACAAGAAAATTGTATTTTGTTTCAATTAATCGACATTCCACGTGTGACTAACGAATAGTCACGTTTCTGTATTTTATTTTATTTCTGTCAATCGAATAAAATGATCAATTGTTCGAATCGCTTGTTTCGAGGTGACGTTTACGAACGAGGACAAAGAATATCAGTTTTACGAGATCGAGTACGACGTCACGGAACCGGAAGTGTTGGAATCGATCAAGTTGACAACCTCGGTGCGGTCTCAGGTGTGTCACAATTTGAAACTAAAAAATCCCCTGGAATATGACTCGATAATATACGTGGCGAAATGTGACGATCCTTTTATATCGATTCGTGATATGCCAAAAACTGTGCCACCGTTATCCAGCGTAAGTTAACGACACGTTCAATATTATTAATACAATTACAACATTTAAGCATATCCGCACGATTTTCTTGCACAATTTCAGGAGTACGTCAACGTGAATTATTACCCAATGCTACCCACCGAGAACTCTATCGTCATGCTCGACATTAATTGCCCAGAACTCGGACATTTTCCGTACGAACTACGATTAAAAGCTTTACCAGCGCTTCCGGAAAAAGTGACACGCGTAAACGCAACTCTCGGTTCCTCCTACGTATTTCCGCTTTCCGTGAGGAACTGTACCGAACATAAAACCAAATTCACAATCCAAGTAAGTAATCGTAAGAAACGAGCAACAAACTTTCTTCGATATTCTATGGCAATTTCAAGTGTCGTCGACAGAAAGGCAAATAAGAAACTACGAAACGCCAAAAGAATTCCGAAAAATTGTATTTTATGTTGCGTTACAGATTGATAACGACTGTTTCACGAGTCCAAGCAGCATCGAAGTATCAGAGATCAGCAATGGAATAGTCGAAGTCGTTTACGAACCATGCAATATCGAGAATGTCACTGCGACGTTGACAGCTTCGTCGGAAACTGCTGGAGAATTTATGTATGAACATAAAATCCAAATATCCTGAGACAGGTTACTCGAAGTTACCGTCTCAACTGTCATCAACATTATTATCGCTGTAGAAAAATGGTTCGGTTAAAAAATTGCATTCAAAACGAATGTTAAACGAATCGAGGTTTTACAAAGATGGAGGAAAGAATGAAACTTTTTTTTAGTAAAATTTAAAAAAAGAAGGCCTTCCATTAAAAAATTCCTAGTAATTAATATAAAATCCTTCATAGTTTGCGCAGTTTTTTCAAAACTTTTCTTCGTTCCATTCTTTTGTGGAGATAATAACGCTGATGTAAATAAAAACGGTAATTTCGGAAAACATGTAATGAAAAAAGTTACGAACAAGCAAGTAATAATCGAGAAATTAATTTGTTCATTTAAAAGATTTCCTTTAATTGGAACCTGTTCCTTGCCAAAAATCATGGGACCCTACACAATCACGCAGAAAGAATCGACATCAATACGCTTTAGAAATGTGTTCAAAGAAACGAAACCTTTCAATTTTCTCACCGATGTTCCAGAAATATTTGCAATTGAGACACTATCGGCATCACTAGATCCCAAACAGGTATCTTTTATCAAAATTTATGTGTTCACTCAGCTTGATTTATCATTTTAATATTATTTATTTTAGTACTTGGTATTGTATAATGTTCTAACCTTTTATCGAGATACCTTAAAACACCTAGCTCTACAAATAATTGAATAAATTATAATAACCCATTTTAATATTCTATAATTATTGCAACTAAATTTGTGATAACTTTATTGTAGTAATTGAATATACGATAATATAATCGCTTCATCGTAATTTATAATGTTGTTATAGCAAGCTATAGTAATGTCGCTATAAATTAATCTAAAGAAATTACCGAAATTTTCATACAAAATATCTTTTTCAAGACTATCGATATAAAAGTGAGCCTCCTCGACGACAAACAGGATGACGAAGACTTTACAGAAGAGAAGAATGCAGTTACGGGAAAACTACTAATATATTGTACCGACCATAATCTTTCTCATATTAACTGGGTGTATTACTTAAGAGGAATTTTTGAATAAATCAAACTTGGAACAATGTTTCTCCATTTTCTCAAACTATGGCTCACTAGATCTTTTACTAACTCTCCTTTATCGATTTGCTAACACATTTTTTGTATTTTAAACTCTACTTGAAAGTTAATTTTATTAGTGGCTATTGTTAGAGTGAATCGTTTGGAAGTTATATTTGTACAATCTCGTGTATCAAACGATATGCATTCACGAATCATAAACTCACTGTTCTTTGCTTATATGAGAGATTGCTGTGCAAAAATTAGTATTACTAATATTAGTAAAATTGTGAACCAAACACATGATTCTGGAGACTGTAGAAAACCTCCTTACCACATCAACGTTATTGATTTAATATGGAATAAGAATTCAACGCCGTGCACGGTGAGAAATAAAACTAAGTATGCCGAGAGTTAGATCTGTATTCGACGAGTATATCTGAATTTTTCTGGCAATGAAATATTTTTGTCGATTGTTCCGAGAAATGGAATAGTTTCTGAAGAACGTGTGTGAAACTACAGGAAAAAGATCGCAGCCATTGGCTCATATTATTTACTATGTAATTAATAATTATATCGTATAATTACGAGCGATACAATAATTACATAGCAAATAATAATCTCCAGGTCTCACCACGTGGAGGTTGCTGCGAATGGAGACCCACCCTAGCCTCGCCCCAACCACCCTCCTTTGGCGAGGAATCCTAACAACACCTATGGATATTTTCTCCTAAAAGAGAAGCGATCGAAATTCGATCGTTGTGAGAAGCGAATAATAACAATGAAAGAGTTTACAGAAAAGATGCCTGATGAACAGACCAAAAAACTAACAAAATCACGACACATGTGAGACAGTCCACCACATGTTTTTTAGAAACGAAATACGAATGTGCAACAGCACGTACGAAACCAGACTGTTTGAATACCAATATGTATCCTGATATTAATTGTCCCAACTCAAATGGACGTTTATATTTCGATGGTGCCTAAGAAGACACTGAAGAATGCAGTAGAAATGTGCAACTGCACGTATGAACCCTTGTTCCCTCTTTAATGTGCGCTTATTTCCTTAATACTTAATAAGATGCCGCAATATTCGTACATTTATCTTATAATCTATAATACATTTATACTTAATTCTAACGCAATCTGTAGAAACATGAAGTATGGGAAGATATTTTCTTCTTGGTGTCTTCGTTAATCCCACGATGTTTTGCTAAAACATATACTCATACACAATAGATAGAATTCACATAAAACAACAAAATATGAGAAGATATTTTCTGTATCTTGTCTTTGTTAATCCCACGATGATTTCCTGAAACATACACTCATATACAATAAATATAATTCATATGAAACACAGAAATATAATAAGACATTTTCTTCTTCGTGCATTTGTTAATCCCACGATGTTTTTCTGAAACATAAACTCAGATAATAAATAATTGTATGACATAGTTATTTCCTTAAGAAATAACTCTGGTAGTAACATTTTCCGATTCCACTCTTCTACGCCTATATACTCTGTAAAAAGAACTTGTTCAAAAGATTAATGGCTGAAATGAAAATGTATTAATGAACACAAGAAAAAGTAAGTATGTATTATCAAGATAAACTGATCTGTGTCGATCATAGTAAAACTGATATTTCAACAAGACCTTCCGCAAGCAAAAATTGATATTAAAGAATTTAAAAACATAAACAGTACGTAATAAAAAATTTTTCAACGCGTATGTATTGGAATAATTATATTTTGCTGCATTGAAAACTAACAAGTTAAATTCATAAACAAAAGCAAGAACGAACACAGACGTCGATTCTTCGCGGAAATTAATTCACGATATGAAATGCCGTATTGCAATTTGCACACCCTTTTGATGCAAGCAATTTATTTTCCATCATTTAAATTAATGATCGCGAACAAACTTTCGTCTATGCAAATTTCGAATATTTATAAAAGAATCCACTATTTGCAAATAACAATTGCGGTTGGAAAGGTCACTATATCCCGTAAAAATTAACAAATCTAATAATGAATAATTGCTGATATATATTTCAGATGAGTGAATTGAATCTATGATCAATTTAATATATCATTTTTAAATGCATCACAAATCTGTGATAAAAATATATACATAAAAGTTATAAAGTTGTACACGTTATAAAGAATAAGACTTTTGATGTATATATAACAGTACTTTCGAGCAGTATTTCCATTGATAAATATATAAACAAAATATATATGTCACGTAGTTAGAATAAATTGTCCACTCTTAAATTCAAAAAACAACCCGTGAGTGGACCATTCTTTCTTTCGCAACGCTAATATATAAAATACAAAAATCGCGAGGGGTGCTTATTATTTGTAAAATGAACCACACGGGGTTGCTTTATTAATTAAATCGCGTGCACCCATATTAAATAATACGCAACACTAATTTTAATAATAAAGTTGAGCCTTTTGAGGCATTGTAGAATTCCCTGCAGCATCTTTGATCCTGGAGCAGTGGACAGCATTAGATTTTGGGCATTGAATCGCAACACTAATTAATAAAAAACGCGATATATCAAGATCGCAACGCTAATTTATAATAGAAAAATTCCAAACGCGATTTATAACAATAAAAGCAACCGCGAATGGTGATTATTCGCAACACTACCCTGAAAAGCAAACGCGAAAAATAGATATTCGCAACTCTAAGAGCAAACCGATCAGTGCATTCGCAACACTATTCTTAAATAACAATAAAAGCAATCGCGTATGGAATTCGCAACACTACCCTGAAAAGGAAACGCGAAAAATAGTAATTCGCAACTCTACAAGCAAACACGATTATTGTATATTTTTCGAAACACTATGTTTAGTTAAAATATTATACTTATGTCTCGCAACGCTAATGCAAATCGCGTTCTGCCCAAAAATGCTGGATCTAAATAAACTAACTACTGCAAACTACTATTAACTACAATAGCGTGGCACATGTTGGGATGAAGTTAGATGTTTTAAATATCGCAACTCTAAAGGGCAAACAACGCGATAAATCAGAATCGCAACGCTAATTTATAATAGAAAAATTCCAAACGCGACTTGTAACAATAAAAGCAATCGCGAATGGTAATTATTCGCAACACTACCCTGAAAAGCAGACGCGTAAAATAGTAATTCGCTACTCTAACAGCAATCGCGTTTACTAATAATTCGCAACGCTATTTTTAAAGCAAACGCCCGGTTCCTAGGTTTGCATAAAAACAATCGCGAATCATGTTTAGTCGCAACACTGACATATCAACGCGATAAATATTTATTCGCAACTCTACGAGCAAACGCGAACATTGTATATTATTCGCAACTCTAACTTTAATCAGGGGTTAATCGTACATGTAAATGCACATGTATTGGCCACGTAAATGAACTAACTACTTCTATTACTACAGTTAGGGTTGAATTTGGGCATTGAAAATATCGCAACGTTAAAGAAAAAATCGCACGATAAATCAAGAACGCAACGCTAATTTATAATATGAAAATTACAAACGCGGTTGATATCCATTGTATGTATAAAAGAGTAAAAAAGCAACGCGAATCGTGACTGTTCGCAACACTACCCTGAAAAGTAAACGCGAAAAATAGTAATTCGCAACTCTACAAACAATCGCGTTTATTAATAATTCGCAACGCTATTCTTAAAGCAAACTCCCGGTAGCTAAGTTTGCATAAAGACAATCGCGAATGGTGATTATTCGCAACACTACCCTGAAAAGCCAACGCGAAAAATAACAGTTCGCAACTCTAAGAACAAACGCGATTATTGCACATTCGCTACTCTATGTATATTAAAACAGCGAGTTGCTCTGATGGCTGGCATCTATGAGCCAGCCAAAAGAACACCGGGAAGGGATGTCTGGCATGTATGGTGCAATCATGTACAAAGTACATGCATACATGAACCAGCCAAAAATACAAACTAACTACAAAACTACAGGCAAGTAAAGTGACATGATAGTAACTGGAATGACTCTCCATCCTCATCCGAAGTTGAAGATGAAGAGCCATTTGTTGCAGCCCACTCTTGAGACAGTTTGTCAGGGCCTCTTCAGCTCATATAGAGCCTTTTCTTTCTTCGGCGGTCCTGCCGAAGCCTGAAACTTACTTAAGACCGGGCTCGAGATTTTGTGCAATACGTAGTCTTCCAACAATGTACGAATTGTTGGAAGAGCGTACGTGGTGAATCTCGAGGGGGACGAGCGTTTCGTAAGGGATCTAACCACGACCGCGAGCGCGAGAGAGCGACTTTAAGAGTCGCGCGATTCGAGGAGTCGAAAATAAAGCTAAAACAAACTAGCGTATACTGTTTGAATCAGCAAAATTTCTACTCTTCAAATCGTAACTACAGGTACAGAACTGCCACGCGAAACGCGCCTACCCGAGTGACTAATGTGACAGTCCTGCCCTGACCCTACCTACTTAGATCAAGGCACACACACACACCAGAAAGTAAGTTACCTACCTACCTAACCCTATATTTAAAAAATAGCAAAACTCAATCTCGCAAACAAACACTCCACGGTTCTCATTCTCAATGTCCGGGCGCGACCTAAACTAGAGAGGACTCCCCGGGGTTCCTCCGACACCCGGACACAACTAACTCCATTCATACTCTAAATGTACAAACCAGATTCTGAAATCGTCTGACAAAGGCTAGCGACCATTGCGTATTTATATTATAGATAACATTTTAGTATAATATAAAATCTTGATATAATTTAATATAATACAAAGTCATTCGTCAAGTATATTGTATTTATTAGTTTATTCTAGTATGAATTACTAGAATTATCGTGTATGGAAACGAATACATAAACAGCAAAATCAATAATTAATTTGATAAATTGGTAAGTAAAAATTGAATGTTGCAGTTAATAGAAATCTAGAGAATTGTAGTGAATTGTTTAAACGACGCATTTCCACAACCTAACCACAACACACACATGTGGACAGTACGTCGCGCACGATTCACTAACCAATGTCAGTCGCCAATATTATTATAAATTATAAATAAAGTCATCGTGCCCCGTTGCCTTCGCTCATGCAAATAGCACCTGGGCATGTGCATGAACTCAGGCAACGAACACGGAAAAGTATCCTGAAAATCCTGACTAGAAAAGTTAAATAAATATAACTAAACGGCATTTCTTGTTTAATTAGTTAAAACTCGATTTCATATATTTAATATATCAAGAATAATATAGATTAATATTGAAAAATATTATTATTCAAGAAAATTATTATGAATTTAAGTTAATTATTTGAAGCGAAAGACTTAAATTAAGATTTTGTAATAAAATAATTCACTTTGAAAATTTGAAATACATTATTGAAATAAATTTATCAAACTGGTATTTAAAATATTTAGTTATCCTTGGTCGACTCTGTCGTCAAAGTAAATTTTTCAAAAGATGAAATTAATATACAATGCAAGTTACTTTGACTCAAAAATCGACCAGTCGCGAAATGCCTTCTTGCACGTAAAATACATCGTACGATGTATTAATTGGGGAAACGATTGATATTTAATTATTGTATTAACATGGAAAAATTAGCGTATAATAGCATAGTAATTGATATTTATATTTTACTCAATCATGTGATTAATATAATGTCTCCACATTATATTAATTCATATTGTATTCAATCATACAATTAATATAAAGTTCATGGAAATATTTCATATATTTTCTAAAAAATATTTATTATACTGTAAAACATTTATTTGTTACATTAAAAAACGCGAGTGCAAGAAGATCCTAGCCTGCGCTAAAGAAATATAAGAATAGATGTTACCAGGCGCGGGTATGAAAAATACCCGCGGTCACTAAACTTGCCAAAAATACTAAGTATACAACTGGTCACCCGTGTTGATTCGGATCTTTCATCCTACAACATGGTTGGGGACCAGAGGAAACAAAATAGCATGCAACTCACCAATGATGAACTTCATGGGATGTACCTTTGGGATGCTGCTGCCTAGTGGGAGTCATCGAGGAAGTCATCAGGATCAGGTCCAGGAACTGTAACAAACCAGCAAGAAAACAATTATAATCTATTGTTAAAATTATAGAGATTTTTAATGAAAAATTGAAAGTATAAATTTATACTTACGTTGTTCGCTCGTGGTCCACCGCCCGATACCCCCCCCGGGTACCGCTGCTGGTTTTCAGGATCACGTTCAGAGACTGTAAGAAAACTGTAAGAAAACAATTAGAATGTATCGTCAAAACTACAGAGATTTTTAATTGAAAATTTCAAAGTATAAATTTATGCCTACATTGTTCGCTCGTGGAGCACCGCCGAATAATCCTCTTCAGTGATGCACTGACTCTAATTCCGGTAACGAGGAGTTTATATTGAAAAAGTAATTAATTTGATTAGAAAATAATAATTAGATTACCGCGACCGAAGATTGAAATCGGCGAACAAATGACTCTATTCTCGCGATTCAGAAAACAAGGAGAGCCACGATGCTCTGTAAATAATTTTAAACTACGTAAGAAACACTGCTTCTACTATCGCGTTTGCCTAACTACGTTGTACGACAACCTACTCAGGGTCACTTTACCCTGGAAAACAAACTGTTGCTACGCACAATCACTGAATCTACCGGCCGCATTGCGCGCGGCCAACAAATGTCCTGAAAAAAAAAGCTGGAAAGAAAAGGACAGGAGACAAGAAATACAACAAGCACACGTGTGCTTTTCCTATCGGTTTTCTTTTTTTCTCTCCTTAGTCAATGTTCGTCAACAGAAACACTGCTTTACTTAGAATTGTTATGTAGTTCGTTACGACTAACCTTAAAAGGTAAATGCCACAAAGGCGAAATATTCCAAAACGATGTGAATCTCAACGATAAAATATCATCCACGAAAATAATTACTTTAATGTAATTATTCAGTTTATAAATATTATATCACCAAATTTCATTGTTAGAGTTGTAAGCATGATTATGTTTATTTCATCGAATATTATAAATATCCCGTAATTTTTATAAATATTCCGTAATTTGCAAAAATTAAAGTTTGTTGATTATTCATGCTTGAATAGCATATTCCAACTGCGCAGTTTCTACGTTTTCTTAAACTTGCATCGAAATATGTACGCAAATTACAATTACAACAATTCATAAAGACAGAAATATAAACGATCCATTAAATAAATAATACTCGGAAATGTTAAATCGCGATCAGAATACAGTTAAATATAAACTATTCTAATTTACCGTGAATGTCTACAGACGCCATTTCTATATACTTCGATATTATATCGAAGTAGATAAAAAGTTCGTTAACGATTTTCATGCTTGCAACGAATGACTCAATAAGTAGATAAAAATATATAAATATCAATATGTATGTTAATTGTTATTATACCAATGTTTATTTTATTGTTACCAATATTTCCTTTGAAAGTCGACTTGCCTGCCATCTATCATGGCGTCGTTTACGCGGCAATAAAACATTCCACGGTCTCGAATTCCAATCAGAGTCTGCAACAGAATTAAAATCAAATGCATTAAATTAGACATATATAATCATAATTAAACAATAATTGATAACAATGAGGAAATATCAAAAGGTTAGAAATACGTACTTCGTTGGTCGCGAAACGCCGGCACGTCTTGACATGTCTAGACATGTCTGAACACGTCTCGTGAATTGGGGGTGGGGGAGCTTCGCTGTCCCACGAAGCTTGTATTTCGAAAACGAATTCCAATAAGAGACTGTAACAGAAACGAAATAAAAATGCATAAACGATTATTATAATCAAGTAATAATTAAATTCAAACTGTATTGCAAGTGGTCGTAATTAAATTCAGAGAGACACGTTAATAATTAACACCGGTCGAATATCAGAAAAAAAGTACGAAACCGATTCAATATTTATCACGATGTCGATTGAATTTATAACAAAAAATGTATTAATATTATGCAAAAGCATCGATAGAAAATGAACACGAGAAGTAAGAATGATAAAATAGCAACAGGTTAGAAATATGCACCTCGTTAGTCGCGAGACGCCGACGCGTTTTGATACGTCTTCCCGCTTCAACTTTCAGACTACGAATGACGACCTCTCGCTGTACGCAGTAACGCTCGCGAATTGGGGAAGGGGGAGCTCCGATCTCTCGCCGCGAGACTCTCGCGAAGCTTACACTTTTGTCGATTTATTGTAGCAAATGATAAAATTCTTGAATTTGTTAACATTATTCACTTCAATTTCGTAGCATTCATCGATTAGGTTACAGGTTTTGGTATAAATATATCTCTTATAAACAATAGTTTAATTACCAATTAGATGTTGTTTACACCGCCAATTCAATAAGAGTTTGTGTTTTAACGAACCAAAATACTGACCACGTAAAAAATTAGTAGTTACAGCGCATTCTGTGTTTAAGGACAATGACTCTGAGAATTATATTTAACTCGATCATCAACATCGATAATGTCAACAAACTCACGAATTTTGCTTCTAATGCGATATCGACAAAAATTTTGATCAAAAACTATTTACGTAAATTCGAATTCCAATGTGAACCGATAACATTGAAAGTGACATGGAAATGTTAAGGAGCCTCGCTCCTCCAAATTGCCATAATCCGTGTGACAGAGAAAAATATCGTATGCAACATGCAGCGTTTATTCTGTACGTTGTCTGAGATATGTTTTTGCAATTTTGCTATATTAACCATGCAAAATCAAAACATTTAGCTAATTAAGTCTTGTATCAATGCTGCTTTGCTAAAATATGTAACAATTACATTCAAATAAGATTTTATTACTTAATAAACATTAAATCTCATATACTGTTCTCGTTATCAGAGCCGAGGTTATCATTATTGTGGTACTAAAGACAGATGGTACACCACTGTCATATACACAGTCAATTATAGCCAATCAGCTGTTTCTATTGCGTTCCTCCAAGTAATACATACTATTAAAGCATTGTTGGCTTTGTGTCAACTATCACTCTCACTTACGAAATACAATCGTCATAGACTTTTGTTGTCACAACGATTTTTTACAATTGCACGCTACGATAGTGCAACAGCACGACGATCCGACGGCGGTTTCGGCGAAAGCACCTCTACGATGAATTCCTAACCTCACTTTTTTACTGGTTCAGCGCATCCAGCAACCATGTAAACCGTCGAAAACATTCCAATGTATCGTACAAGTCGATCATTCCACATGGAGGGTGCATTTACGTTCATTTCTGCCAAGTGTTGATGAATCTCACAGATTCAACCCTCGGATTTGTCTCGATGAGACTTCTCGCGAAGACGAGTCCGTACATCGTAGATTGGTAGTACCGGTACGCGGAGTCGAATCTTCTGCTAAATCGACATCACCATGTCTAAGAAGTCGAGGAAGTTGGTGACTAGGTTTCACCCTACCCACGGGTCAAAGATTTTTTTCCACGAGAATGGCACGGTAGCATGTCGTACTTCTAGCTTTGCACACTCCCTGGTCTTCAGTGAGAAACCACTGCAGCTAGGTGAAATCTTCCTGGTGGAGATTGAAAAAACGGAAAGAGGATGGAGCGGGAATATGCGACTTGGACTTACCATGATCGATCCAGATTCTGTATACGATAGGTTGCCAGAGTATGCCATGCCTGATTTTGTCAGATTGGGTAATACGTGGATATTTGCCATTGATACGAAGACCCACCTTCCATGGGTTAGATCTGAACCTACAGCAGACACAATTGATGGTGAGAACCCATGAACTCAGTTTAATTAAAGTAGAGCTGTGTGACTAATTAATGTATTGCTGTGTGTCGCAAGGTGAAGGAATACCATTCGGGGATAAGAAACTGATCACGGATGGAATTAATGTGCAAACATCTCGTGGAGTTATTCCATTCAAAGCTCTTAAACCTAATGCAATTGACACTAACTGTATTCTTCCTACGGATGCTGGTAGCCGTATTGGGATCATGTATGTGCCACAGGCTGACTCTGACAAGGCAGAGTTACACTTTATAATAAATGGGGAAGACCAAGGAGTGTATGGAAGGGATATACCTTACAAAGAAGGATCCGTGTATGTTGTAATAGATGTATATGGTGCTACCAAACAAATCAGGATAATTCAACTGTATAGGGGTAAGTTCCTTGCAGTTCTCCCGTACGATATTTTTGGTAAAGTTCTCTCCTTATTTTTAACAATTATGTGTTCCAGATGCACCAACACTGCAAAGTGTCTGTCGTGATGCTATACTACAGTATACCAAGAAAAATGCAGTCGATTTGCTTCCACTTCCGCAGGTTCTGAAAGATTATTTACTGCACAAGTCATAGTGAAGACTACGTCATTCTATCGCGTCTCTTGACTTTATATTTTACCATTGCAGTTTCAATACTCTCTATTGAGAGTTTTTTCATTCATCCATTACTTTAGGAAAAAAAAGATAGTTCGTGCAACGAAATTGCTTTTATTTTTCCAAATACAGTAGTGCCCACATAAGTGACCATGCTCGGGACCGACCGCGGTCACTTATGTGGGCATGGTTACTTTTGAGAATTGAACAGAGATAAGGAAAGAGGGTAAGTACGAGTGAGATACAATAGTTGGCACCTAAAACCATATATACAATGTATCGATAACGACAGGAATCAAATTACGCTTGACATGCTCGATGTTCGAAGCCGCTTGGCTTCTAAGAATTTGTGGAGATAACCGCGGACAATTATGTGGGCAAAAATGCGGTCACTTATGTGGGCACTACTGTAGTTGTTACTTTCTTTTGTACAGTTTACTGTGTATGTAGTATTTGTTATTTACATTACAATTGTAAATTGTCGTTTGTCATTCGCATAAGTGCTACATTCTAACATATACATAATGTAAGAAATCGTTGATAGAGCACCCGCAAGTTCTGACAAACTGACGACCAGCATCTTCATTGTGTTAACGTGTATTGCTACTACATTTTACAGTTAACAATCATACGATTCTCATTAAACCTACTCTTTCAAACCATAAATATATCACTTCTTTTTACTCTTACAATTCATTGTATTCAATAAAGACTCTGTAGAATTAAATTGAGCGCACTGTTAACACATGCAAAGACGGATCTGATTAAAGTAATCAATTAAGTTCAAGATGTTCTTTCAAAATAAATGTATTTATAAAAAAAAGAATACAGAGAAAAATTATATTAAACGTTCCAATCATCGATTATCATTTAACACGAATTTGCTGACATTTTCAATACACCGTAAAATATAATTTCAGAATTGAAACATTAATCAAGTATTATTTTTGTACATAAATGTTCTTTTTAATGTAAGAATTCAATATATTGAATTGAAAGACGCACTTGTCGGAAGAAGAACAACCAACAATATTATATAGGTAAATAAAATACTTAAAAACGCAAACCACCCAATTAAAATCGACGTGTACCTCCACGTAGATTCTTTCCGATTGAGAGACACAAGATTAGTGTTGTCGTCTGCATTTAATTCTATTCTAGCCGATACTTTTGGGTCCAAAAAGCTCACTAAAAATATTTGACCCACTCTGCTGTTCAAAATGTAAACCGAGATTGATGATATCCACACAGGTGCATCAACGGTTAATTCTTGCAAATGGCGCAGAATACTGGTGAGAATGAGCGAGAAGCCAGCCACGAGGAAAGACTTTTCATACAAAAGAACTAAAAGAATAAAAAACGCAACGATAAATTAAATTTCCTCAATTGATTCGATGCTAAATCTGTACAAGTCAAGTGGACTTGAGAGAAAAATAGTCGTCAATAGCAAAGTCTTTGTAATTTAAGAAAGAAGAATTATTAAAATTAAATATATATGCAATATTGCGTTAACAAAATGTTTTTCATGATTCTATTCTACGATTTATGAGCACCCATCGACCTTCCGTGTTATCCGAGGTATTTATTCCGCTGTATTTTTGTTTTTTAACGATTAGAGAAAGTATTTAAATCTGTGAACCATCGTCATTTAAATGGTCCCGTAATCCTTTAACAGTGAATTCTTCAAGAGCTTGGAAAGAAATTTAAAAACTATAAAACCCAAGGATTTCGCCGATCATAAAGGAATGAATTGTATAGCGGAAAGTTCAAACCGATAATGCAGCTAGTTTTCATATGATAAACTAATAAATGTTGATATAAATGCCGGTCTAGTGATATGAATACATGGTAAAGTATCATTACCGGACTTGAAGTGCTAAGCGACTTTAAATGATTACCTTCAATTAGGAGACTTACATAATTTTGGGACACTGGTTCCATTAAAAGGAAGCATCCACTGTAATTCCAACATACCAAGTAGATGAAGAACGAAATTCAAATTCGCAATTATCATCCGTTCGATGGATTTTGGCTCCAACCAAAGTACCATCAGTGTCACTATCATAAACACTGTACATACGTAAATGGAAAATAATTATCAAGTGCAGGTGTTGTTATTATTTCAATAATTTAAATCTTACTTTCAGTACGATGATTAATTGTAATTAATAATTTTAATATGATATTACAAACCTATAGCCATCGTTATAAAACTTATGTGATTATTATCACCATATCGTTTCAGAAGAATATTGTAAGATAATAATGTTGAATTTCTTGTTTCGTATTCGTTTGCGGAAATTTGTAACACGTCCCATTGTGAATTATTATGTTCCATTTGCATCAGTGACTGAAGATTGAAACGCGTTAATAATAATATTGTGTTAATTTGCTTCTCTTTTTTACTTATTTGTCGCGCATAGATTCTCACTTAATCTTAAATGTTTTTATGAAAAATGAATTACAACAATTTATAGTACGTACATTACGCACTATATTTATTTGTCCGCCGTCGGCAGAATAAGAGTGACAACCAATATATACACTGCAATTCATCACGTCGTAGGGCCACCACGTGCGATCTGATGTGCAATACGCGCTGTACACTATCCTTGGTTTGCAAACTATTAGACCCGAATAGTGTAACGAGCATTCCTGTCTTGGTATATCGATACTGGTACCTATATGCGCCCTAACACAAATGAAATTAATCCAACATTGAAATACAAACAATATTTTTACGATCAGAGTAGGGTAGAATCACTTGGCTTCTCAAGATCATTACTTCCGCCATACCGTTGAACTACTCCATAATTTCTCGCGTCTTCGCTCCTCCCATATTTGAAAGACAAAAAACCGCAAATACATTACCAATTAAGAAAGTTAATAGGCACTTAGAATCTACGGTGTATTTTAAGTTCAAAAAGTTTCTAGAGCACATACATTTCTAAATAAAACACAAATGACTGTATTCCGTTGATTAACTATTAACTTGAAGCTCGTTGTCAAACTTACGATTCCCCCAGTGTGGTTTTCGGTATCCAAATATCGCTGGTCGATACTTCCATCCAATTAATATCGTTGTAACTCGATGGTGTCCATGTAAGATATTTGTCTTTCCATTCCTATCGTGAGTTAAAAATGTTACGAGTTCGAGCGTTTTTATGAATTAACTATCCGTGCACAGCTGTACTCACCCATCGCATCCAAAAGTGTAAATCTATAAAGCCCAGGTATTCATCCTGATAAATAAAAAACAGAGAAAACCGATGAGGAAAGATATTCAAATCGAGTGGCAAAACATTTAAGATCTGTGACTTACGACTGTGAAGTGTTGCATGTGGAACTCAAAGCTGACAGTGGTGTTGGGGGCTGGGACCTTCATTCGGTCAGTGCAGAATACATAATTCCTCAGCTGCATCAGCGGGGAATTGGTCATTATGTATTTGCACGCATCAAACACGCACGTCGCCCGATGAGAGATGCCGAGGATCAGGAGACAAACGAAAAGGAGGCTTTTCATTTTCGTTCACGATCACAAAACGACCCTGTAGATCAGCGTCAACTAAACTTTGAAATATCGAGGAGAATAGTTGCACGCCCAGTGAAATATTAAACCGAGAACCGCCCCCCTTTCAGCATCAATCTTATCAGTTTTAGGTATTCAAATCGCGCAATAGCGACACGTCATATTTAGAAAAAAATAGTTCTGTTTCAATTTCGTAGATCATTTTCAATGCATAGTATAATTCATAACATCGTGAAAACTGTTTCAACGACTTGTCCTAGGTTTGCAACGATCGCTTCAGAAGATTATGCACGACATTAAACCCATAGACAAATTAGATTTGACTCGAAACGACGAGTACACAAAACAAACACATTTATTTCGAGGCCTGAATTATGCTATCGCAAAATCCACTATGATTTAATCGCGAAATTAACAGAAAGTAAAGAAACTTCTTAATTTCGAGTTTAATGCCTTTAAGTTTAAAATACCTAACTTCTAGATTTGTTTGAATCATTAGATGACTATTAAATTTATCAGCGAACCCTAGTGCATATTTGTCATCGTCGATGTTTGCTATGTGCATACGAACACTTTGCGGACAATGAATGCAAATCGAAGAATCAATTTTGTTGGAACCTTTATAGATATCTAGTGAGGATTGTCAAAGGATTAAAGAAAGGTAGTGCAACATTAACTTATTAAAAATAAGAATGCAACATCGTTTATTTCAAAGTTATAAAGTGACAATAAAATCTTAGAAAAGATCGTTCACCTGTTGTTTAAACATCGAACCGAGGCGAGCCTAAGAACAAAGCTTTGTAACGTAAAAGTTCGCGACCGAAGGAAAATATTTCGAACGCAGTGACTGGATTCACTTTACAGAATATCTGGCACGAAAATCGATATGCATGATATTTTTATTGAAAATGAAAATCTACAACGGACATCTGATAAAATGTAGAACAAAAAGTAGACGCGTTTCAGTCGATGTTTCTTTTAAGGGGATGGCATAAGGGTGATCAGCAAGATGACGTAGGTGAACACTACGAGGAAGAAGGACAACCACTCGATGATGGCTGCAAAGTGTCTCCATGATGATTCTTTAGATATTGTTTCGGTTTTAGGACTGTCGGAATTGTCGTCCATCTCTGAGCTGAGTATTCTGCTAGAATCCTCTTCGGTCAGAACTAGAAAGCGTCCAGCTTTGTTGCTCAGAACGAACGACGTTGTCGAGGAGATCCATCGAGGCACTTCGATGTTCGTTTCTTGTATTTTGCGCAGCAGGGCGGTTAAGACGAACGCGAACACAGCTAAGGCTAGCGAATCTCGGTAATACAGCACTGAAAGACGAAAAATAGTGGTAATTGTAAACTCCGCGCCTACAATGATGTAATACGTTCGCGTAAGTATACAGGGTGTCCGGCCACCCCTGGAAAAAATTTTAATGGGAGATTCTAGAGGCCAATATAAAACGTAAATATAATTCAATTTTTCTGTTACCTGATATATTTATTCATTTCAAGTACTTACTTATACTAGGCGGATTTGTGCCGTTGTGCGGTAATTGCCAATGCATATCGAATATGCAAAGCAGGTGACAAATTAAATTAACACCAGCTATAACAATACGTTCCGTTGATCTAGAATCCAACCACAGCACCGTCAACGTAAGCAATATCATTGCTAAAAATTAAAGAAAGGAGTAGCAAAACATACGAATTAAATAAATCTTCGTGTTAGAACGTCGTAGAAGATACACCGCATTTTAGTCACCTTTGCTTCTTTGTTATTTTTCAATTATTTACCAATATAAAGTATATTGATGTGTTATGAGTTCATGATAAGATGAAGAAGTGTTCGTACCTATAGCTGGAGTAATGTATGTGGTTTGCAGTATGCCGTGATGCCGGACTATGGAAAATTCGTAAACGATCATGGGGTACGTATCGTTTGGGCAGCACGCATACATCTTCACGACCTTGTACGCATTCAGAATTTTAAAATCCCAAACGCTATTGTTCACGAATCCAGCCATTTGGTACTGAAGAATCATACATTGTAATAATTGAGATCAAAAGAATTAATATTATGGTCTAAAGTAAAAAATCCGCCTTAAAATTCTAGAATTCACAACATTTGTGTTTATACAATTCGAGTAACGTGTAATTAACCGCGTAAATGAACTCACTGTACACGATTTCGACAAGGTGATCAAGCCTGCGATGCGTGGACAGTTTAAGGGATAATACGAACGTATCAGATTGTCGAGCTAATTACCCCTTTGTGATCCAGATGAAAATTTATTTCCTCCCCAGAATGCGACCAAGAGCCAAAATTAATTAGACACCGGTGGCTGTCGTAAGGCCACGACACGTAATTCGTGACGCATTTAGAGACGTGCCTTAACGCTGGAACGCAGCTCACCTTTCCAGATTGATCGATCAAGCACATTGTTTCAGGTATGGACTGATCGGCCGACATATCACCCCTGTACGAACAACCCGGAAACATTTGTTACTGTTTGGTATTTTTAGCAAACTGGCCAGTAAAATAGACATCCCTAAACGCACAAGTGTATTATTGTATCTTGGAACTGTGAAAAAAGTCCTAAACGATGCATTTATACGGGGAATAGACGATTAGAAACCCTTACGAATTGTAAATCGAAAGATCGGGCACCCATATCTCGTTGCTGCTCACATAGATGTACTTAATCCCCTCGAAATCGCTGGCCGACCAACTGAGATGTTTGTCCGTCCAAACCTGCGGAGAAAAGGCACTCAAGATTTTCAATTTCAAACGACAACGATCGCCCCCTAAACGGTGGATAGAATGAATATTACTCACAAGCAGCATCCAACTGTGCAGAACCATGTTACTTAACGCTTCGTCCTAAAGAACAATCGTGGCGTGAGCAACAGAATAATTCGATTGAAAAAGAAAAATACGGGAATCTCGATGTGAGCTTACAAATTCCATTAGCTTCGGCATCAGTTTTATGGTTACATTGTTGACCTCTTTATGGGAAGTGACCGGTCGAATGGTGCGATCGTACTCGCAAAAAAGATGCGACTTCAGCCTCTCCAAGGGCGTCGAATGTCCAGACCTTTTGCACTCTCGGTCGTCCCAAAATAAACTCTCTGTTACAATGTTAAATCATATGACAAATATCAATGGTTAAATGTAACGACACGGTGAAGAGAGAAATAAAGTGATCGGGAGGCGGTAATGGAATCAAAAAGGTAAACGAGATCAGAATACTTTGCCGAATCTATTTTCTACGTTGAAATTAAATTAATCTCCCGGTTTATAGAAAATTCCAGTTAAGAAACTTAATTACAATGAAGAGTAACAACATCTTTGAAAGAAGAATCGCGATTTGATCGGGGTTTAATTTTCTGTGAAGTAACGTTTAAAAATCGGATGATCTCAAAGATTCTGTTCCCAAATTCGAAGGTTCACAGGTACACTTTACGACACTTTACCGCAATAACTCTGTTGCAGAATAGCGAGGAAACCGAGCACCGTTAGAATTCTCATTTTGATGATTGAAATGAGCCAACAGCCACCAGTCGACTGAACGATTTCACGGATTGTGACCGGACGATTATCAGACGCCCCATGAAATTCGAAGCTACAGATAGGGCGAGACGCCCCCAGGGTGGTTCAATGATTTTTAAACATTTTTCAGATAGAATGGTAATCAGGAACGTTCCTAAGGTACTTGTCGCTCCTTTTTCGCCAAAAATTATTTTGCTCGGCAATAATTATTTTCTTAGACATACACTATCGTCCATAAGTTACCAGATATTCTGCTTGCCGACCGTACCGAAGAATCAATATCAGAATTTAAATTAACAATTTATTATTTTAATGTTCTTGTAATTTTCAAGTTAGACTTCTTTTTTCCTGTATAAAAACAACAAATTTGTTAAAAATAGTCAGGTTTATTAATTGCGAATTAATTGTTACATTAAATCATTACATTACTCGTAACATTACGCTGCTTATTTATTTATATTATAGTTTCAATACTGTCGCCGATATAATTCTTTACTAATACGACGCGCTGTTTCATATCAACTACCTTTACAAACATTCGTTATCGTCTTCCATATCGTAGTTACCTAGGAATGCAATTTCGATTTAAAATTGTTTCAGAATTATTATTCTCGGCGGTTGCTCGCTCGAGCCAGAGATAAACGAAATTCTTATCTAAATAAAAACTCCGAAGAACAAATAAAAGATAAACAATTTATCCATTGCTCATCGAATAAAAGTTATAATTCGATCCAACGAAATTTTTAAAAAATCTGACTATTCAAAGGAATAAGCAGTAATACATTGGTTGTATTTATTGTCTGTTATAAGAATGAACTCGAGTTCATTGGTACTCTGTGCTCGATGTACAACCATGATCTCGATAAACCGGCTGACCGAGCATGCGTACTGCTCTCGTTCGGTTCAAGACTGCCAGCACGCAATAAGTGGCCGTAGTCTGCCGCGTGTCTTCATGCGACACGTCGATCGTCGTCGTCATTGTTTTTCGCGCGTCTCGTCGCTCGATTCTCTACGAGACGCCGTGCGTCGATTCGTTTCTGGCACGCGGTGACTATCCATCACGGACGATTCGTGACGTTTGAATGACAGGGAGAGTCTCTTTGTCGTTCGGGAACAATGAAATATATCGGAGCACTCGATGTCGGGACCACCACTGTACGGTTTCACATCCTCGACGAGCAAGCGGTCACTGCCGCCTCCTCCGTCGATAAGGTACGACGATTTATGCGATCTATACCTTTCGTTGTTCAACCCTTCGCTGTCCACGATATTTTTAATATTATGTTCCAGCCGATCCACGCGCAAGTCGACTATTTCCACTTGTAAAGCTTCCGTACAGTGGATGAAATTTCTATAACACTACTCTGTTGTAATAAAAAATGGAAAAACTTCGATTAGATCAGTCTAAGAGTATACGAACGTCAACATAGACGATTTTAAGTATTTTCTACTACACGAAGCGCAGGATATTTGGAATACCAGAAGATAAATAACGAATTAACTGAAAACGAATAAAATTGCATATAGGGAAACTAATTAACTTTTGGTAACTAAAATCCTACTAAGCCTTTGAAAACATTTTTAATAGAAAAATAGATTTTGATAATGAAGAAAATATTCATAAACACATAAGTGGGAGCATAACTGCGTTATAATCTGCGCAATTCAGGAACTCATTTTACTCTTGATACGCGCATCAAATTCTCGGTGCAAAGTAGTTCAATGAAAACGTTTGACGATAGTTACGCTTTGTAGATCATTTAGAAGAGATAGGATTCAAATTTCTCGTCAATAACTAGCCAATCATCGATATAATTCAAGACTCGATTTGTCTTCTACGCTATCCGAAATTAAAGTTCGATACCAACCAATACTCGTTTCGATGCTCTGTATTTATGTGGTAGTGCATCATTCTACGGGTATATTTATCGTGTCAATGCACCCGACGGTTGAAACTATCGCCTTACTAAACGATTTTTCGAACAACCTTCGTAGTAGCCATATTAATTTACGAGTAATATTTTGAACAGCCATGATCGATGCTCCATTATTGTAAAAATAGATATGCTAAGGTATGTTTATTGGATTCTTAGATAAGAATCGAGGAAAACATCTTTGATTTCGAGCTATGTTATACCTTGTATACGAATGAACTGTTCGAAGTTCGATTAACTTTTCATCGAGTTCGTAACCATCGTGATTCTACCATACCACGATGTAAAATCAAATACATTTTCGCACATACATTTGCATGCAAATTGAGACCTTTTTGACCATTTATAACGTCAGTATGTTTCATACATGAAACGAAATCTTCTACGTTGCATTATGGAACTTATATCATTTATAAATTCTTCTTGTATTCTGACCAAAAATATTTCGAAGATTTTCAAATTATTTTCACGTAAGCATTTGCTCCCGTAAGTGCGTGTAAACGCTTAAAAAGTTCGACCTTGAGGTATTCAGTAATTTAATTAAATTTAAAGGTATTATGATTCAGTATTATATTAGTGATAATTATTTGTAAAATATCAACTATAATAACATTGGGAAGAGGCTTATTTGGGAAGCCAACTGTATATACGAAAAGCACTTGTGACATAATTTCTTCAAAATTAAATTTAAAAACCTTTTTCTTCTCCGCTAATTTGATACATAGATACAACTGAAAAAAAAATGTAAAAAATTGTCGGGTGATACGACTTCAACGCGGACGAATCAGCGTGCAATAGCTAGTTATGTAATATATTCGTGATGCATGACATACCTATGATTGTCATAGATTATAATATTATTATAGAGTGGCTTGCGAAAATATTCGTCTGAATCACGTTTCCAGTCGTTCTGTCTTGTGAAATCTGAAACTGCTGTGGTTTTCGTTTGTTGTTTATTTGTTGCGACGATAGTTCGTTCCTGAGAACCGGTTCTGGACAATTTACCGTGCAAGTTTTATAATTGTACGTGGCTCGGAACGAAATATCAACTGCACGGCTCAGTGAGCCATTTAATAATGCTTTAACGCACTACCTATTAACGCAATTTTACTTGACATTGAACTTAAAGAATGTTATTGAACGTGGTTGAGGAACAGAAAAGTATTCAACGATTAAGATAAATATTATAATCGAGTTTAAATAACATTTAAATATTAGATGCAACTGGGACAAATGTGAATCAGTTTGTAGTCTATTACGAATGTTATCTAACTACATAATTAAAAATGTTTAACTTTTGTTTTCGAATCGTTAGGTCCAGCTCTTGTATCCGAAACCTGGACACGTGGAAATAGATCCTGATGAATTATGGAGGATCATAGTAAAAGTGATCAAAACCACCATAGAAGGTATCAAAATTACAGTTTTCCTGTTTTTTTTTCTCAAAAATAGCTGATCCTAAACAAATTACTGAAAATTTTTGTCGTAACTTTTTAATCAAGTTTTCAAGTACCTATGCTTATATAAAATTTTTTTGTTATTTAAACCAATATACTGCCAAAGTTTTGTCGTTAAAACCGGAAACACAATGCATAATATGCAGTTTAGTAAAAGTTATACTTTCACCAATTGCAGAAAGCGGGATAAAACCGGAATCAATTGTTTGTCTCGGAATATCTACACAACGCGGAAGCTTCACGACATGGAACATGAAGGACGGAAGGCATTATCATAAGTCAGTCTCATAGTACCTATTATCGTCGCTATCCACGGATTTAAATATCAACCTTTCATTCGAATAACCGGTTGTCAAATGTTTTAGCTTCATAACGTGGAAAGATTTACGCGCCGATGACATGGTAAAAGAATGGAACTCGTCGTTGACAATGAAAGGACTGCGAATAGGGTCGCAAATTTTGTACACACTTTCTAGAAGGAAACGGTTCTTGGCTGCGAGCGTTTTCAAATTCATGAACACGCAGGTACGTGTTTTACATTTCAATTTGTACATAAATAAACATTTCAGGCACGTCTGTAAATCGATTACGAAACACTGTAAAAATTCTTCACAAACATTTTTTAATAACGAGTGAATATATCAGTACTTTATAAAATTTAGTTGACTGTATTAATTTATTGTATTAGTCAAATATATCCAGGGCCTCTCAGAGATCGAATCGTTTAACTTCTAATGGCCATTCGTTTATAAACCACAAAAAGAACAATTTTTTATTTAATAAGTAACAGTCCTGGTACAAGGAACAACATTATTGCCTTTTGTCCTGAATCTGGTTAGTGGAACTGTTAGTCATGTCTTAGACACCAAGCTATCACACCAAGCTAACACATTCGCTATCACCATTTATTTGGAAAATCGTTTATCGCTGATAATACCAGGCTTGCAGTAATTTTATCTAATATAGTATATGCTTTTAACTCTGTACAAATTAATGGTATTACATGGTACAAGTGACTGTTCTGAATAATTTGTTAACGATGTAAAACTAAAATGTATTAAATGGGTCAACGAAATATTTTGCCCATGTCTGATTATAACCAATTAAATTTGTTATTTATTATTAATAGTTAGTAACTGAGTTTACAGTTTGCAAACATCATTTATGAATAGCAATTACTTTTAATTTTCCTTCCCTTGATTTGGAGATACTTGAATGTCGAGTATTTTTATTTCCGTGCTGTTTATTTTTTATCGTTTATTTTACACCGAAATTTAGATGTCGCTGAGGCTATTATGGGCCTTGCAACACGTGCCAGGTTTACAGGAGGCGGCGAATAATGGAAATGCAGTTTTCGGAGGCGTTGATTGCTGGCTTTTGTATAAACTCACCGGTACGATTCCAGGGAAACTTTTGTATAATCGGCTTGGCAATCGATGCGTTAAATATCAAGGGTTGCTAAATTCTGTCGAGCAGCGTTTCTTGCAACGTGTTCTTTTTGTAGGAAGACACGTGACAGATGTTTCGAGCGCATCAGCGACCGGAATTTTCGATCCATTCACGATGACTTGGTCCAGCGTCTTGATAAATCTACTGAAACTTCCGTACAACATCTTTCCGGAAGTGGTGGATACAACCGGCGAGTTTGGCGTGCTTTCGAAGGAAGTATTCGGCGTTGAAATTCCGATACTTTGCTCGGTAAGTTACTCAACAAAATCATGAAGCTTTGAAACATTGTATGTAAATGAAACCATTTTTCGTGGACGCCACAAGGTTTGAAGTGGTGAAAACGTTCCTTTAAAAAATGTATTACACGTTTTTCTTTCCATAGGTGTGTCTCCAAAGTAGTGAGAAATATCAAAGAATATTTCTTTGTAATTGTAAAAAAGATTCAGCTTTTATTTAAAATTTATTTCAATATCCTTCATTGTTCTGGTGATGTTGCACAGAAGAGAAAAATCTTCAATCTTCTTGAAAGATGATTTTAAAAACTATAAAATAATTTTCTATTATATTATGGACTATTCTGATTGTACGCAATGTTTAAAAATTTTCTGAATATCTGGACGTAAAGAAGATATTTTTAAGATGTATGCTATATGGCCGAGAAGAAGTACACTTTATTTCGATTTCTATTTACCCAAGTACGATTTGCAATATCATTTTTGTAACAATAATATTATTTAAAGTAGATGGCAGATCAGTCTGCTTCGATGTTTGGTTCAGGATCTACGCAACCGGGAGATTTGAAAATTACAATGGGAACGGGAACATTTGTAAATGTTAATACAGGAACAAAAGCGCACGCTTCCGTTACAGGTAACTGTATTCGCCTAAAAATAAAATTCTTAAGCATTCTCTTTTAGAAGCAAATTTTAAAACGATATCGTAGAAAATTCTTCGCGTATCTTATTAGAATCTGTTCGATTTTTCAACAGGGTTATATCCTGTGATCGGATGGGGTATTGGCGATGAACTAGCGTACGTAGTAGAGGGTGCATCAAACGACACTGGAGTTCTCGTGGAATGGGCGAAAAAAATTGGTAACTATTTTAATCGCACTACAAACGCAGACTGCTTACGTCTTTATAGCAAAACTCGACGTAAATAATTTCTGACAAGCCACTCGAATTTTAAAAACGCAGTTTGTTTCAGGTATCATTAACGATGCTAGTGAAACCTCGAGTATCGCAAGTGCTGTGAACGACTCCGACGGAGTATATTTTGTGCCCGCGTTCAGTGGACTGCAAGTACGTTTGATTAAAATTATTTTTTAACTTCGTTCGTCTATTGTGTTGCAACACAGATTCGAAATGATTCGAAGTAATTCGATTTTTGTCGATACGAAGCGTTCCAAATACCATCAACACTTGCAAAAGATAATCCTTTCGAAGAAGAAAACGAACACCCACGCTTTACTCGTTCGAAAACGTTACTGCTGACTGCTATCTTATAATTTACGATCTTGTTTACAGGCTCCTATAAACGATTATTCCGCAGCCACTGGCTTCGTGGGGATAAAACCCACAACAGAGAAGAGTCACATCGTTCGATCGTTGTTGGAAAGTATCGTCTACAGGATACTGCTCATTTACGAGTCTCTCTGCACGGAAACTTGCTTTACCTATCGTAAAATACGGTCAGAATACGGCAAAGAATATTTTAAAACGATTATATAGGGCGTTCGGCCACCTCTGGGAAAAATTTTAATGGGAGATTCTAGAGACCAAAATAAGACGAAAATCAAGAATACCAATTTGTTGATTGAGGCTTCATTAAAAAGTTTCTAACGTTTAAAGTTCCATACTGATCGAAAAATTTTTCGGTGAAATTAAAAAATTTCAAATCATTCTGGAAAAATTATTTTCGGTTGCGGGGGTCAATTACAATAATTTTTGGTGAATAGACATACCACCGAAATCCTACTCAGTTTCGAGAAAAAAATTCGAGAAGGTGTGAAATTTTTCGACAAAATTAAAAAATTTCAAATCGTTCTGGAAAAATTATTTTCGGTTGTGGGGATCAATTACAGTAATTTTTGGTGAATAGGCCTATCTCCGAAATTCTACTCAGTTTCGAGAAAAAAATTCGAGAAGGTGAAATTTTTCGACAAAATTAAAAAATTTCAAATCGTTCTGGAAAAATTATTTTCGGTTGCGGGGGTCAATTACAATAATTTTTGGTGAATAGACATACCACCGAAATCCTACTCAGTATCGAGAAAAAAATTCGAGAAGGTGAAATTTTTCGACAAAATTAAAAAATTTCAAATCGTTCTGGAAAAATTATTTTCGGTTGCGGGGGGCAAATACAATAATTTTTGGTGAATAGACATACCCTCGAAATCGTATGCACTTTCGAGAAAAAATTTTTTAACAATAATTTTGTTAATAACTTTTTAATAATACCTCAATCAACAAATTATTATTCTTGATTTTCGTCTTATTTTGGTCTCTAGAATCTCTCATTAAAATTTCTTCCAGGGGTGGCCAAACACCCTGTATACTGTAGAAAACCTAAAACAAGCCACTGAAGTGATCTCTTTACTCTGATAAACAGAAAATACTGTTTTAAACAAAAGTTGTTTGACTTAGAAATTTTGAACACTTACATTAGCAACGTATACGTAAATTGGCATACTATCAAACTACTTGATACATTTGTTGATATGAAGTATTCTTAGTAACAGAATAAACTTGGACCGTACGTCGTTGCACTCATCTTAAGAGTCTTTATCAGAATAAACAACATATTAGAGAATAAAAGAAGCCTAAATATAAAGCATTAAAATTATTTGTTTATGGTGTACAGCCATTTAGATGCAATAATGTTGGCAGATGTACACACGTATGTACATTCAGACAAATTTTATTCATGAAACGTGTTTTTTGTTAAAAAATTGTTGAAATTTTTCGTGATCGCAATGTTGTATTGTATTTTTCTAAAAGCTACATTGTAGTAACTAGATATATTGTATTTATCGAATATAATATAATACGTTCAACTTGTTATTCTGTCTTTTTCCGCAGAGTCGATGGGGGAGTGTCCACAAATAATTTTGTATTACAATTGCTGGCCGATCTGACGGGTCTCGACGTGGAGCGAGCTACCAGCACAGAAATGTCTATTTTAGGAGTAACTTTTCTCGCAGGTTTACAATGCGGTATGTAAATTGATGGATTCTATTTAAATCGCGTATCGCAACAACGAGTCACAATGGCGTACGCTGGGAGCTTGACTCTCGTTAGCATACAAATAGAAAACATTTTTACCAAGATCATGTAAGATTTAAGTGATCAACCTAATTTGAAACAGTAGAACATCGATTATACAAGCTAGTACTAACGAGAGAAATTCTTTTTGAATAATCCATCCAAGGCAAGTTAAAAACTATCAAAGTTATGAACTGTGTTTGTGTAGGATTTGTAATGCTATCGATACACACATGTTTCGTTTTGTGTTCTGATAATCGACGTTCTACTGTAGGCACATTTTTATCGCCATGGCGAAATCTCGATTTATTTCCAGGTATTTGGAAAAACAGAGAAGACGTTCTTAAGCTTCGTAAAATAGAAACGATATTTGAATCGAACGAAGAGAACCGATTGCGATACCAACCGATAATTGCTCAATGGAAACGTGCTGTCGAACGACTTGGTCAATGGTATTAAAAACGGTACAAATGGTACCAGAAACTATTGTTTACCAAACCGTGACTTGCCGAACAAACACACCGAATATAGTTAATACTGTATTATAAATAAGACGAACTTTTATACGTATTCGTACTCGGTTGTATATTTCGTAATCGTTGTAAATAAAGATCATTGACTTTTAAAGGACGTTAGGGAAACCATTTTTAATGGTGCATTTAAAAAATCAATATTTTATTAAAAATATGTGTCGAGTGAAATGAATTCTATTCTACGAGCAATTTTCAAACGACTTCTTTTCTTTAACACTTTGACTGCCACGTCGCCCATATGTGGGTGACAGAACTTTTAACAGTGGAACTAAAACAATCAATTCTCAAGTTGAAACGTTAAAGAAAATAAATTTTAATATGCTTCGTAAATTTCAATGAGGTTACGAAAGTAACTATTAGAACAACTTTTAAGTTGCGCAATTTACTATTGTTTAAAATCAAAGTTTTGGTCTCGTAAACAATTTTAGAATTTTAGACTAGTAGTCAACGTGTTAAACTTTGTGGTCTTGAAGAACTCGACTATTTCACCTATTGCATACAAAGCGGTCTCGAAACGACCTTAAACTGTCCTGTTCAGAAAATTAAGGTGAAGAATTTAAATTGGCAGCTTGGTCCGAGCGTAAAAGAAAATTAAACGTTTAACTTCTAGAACGAGGACACATTGTGCGTACATTTGAAACTCTTATTAAAATTGCAATCGCTTTCGGCATCGATTTTCACCATAATACGATGGTTCAACCCCATAATCAGAAGTTTCAATTCTCTGACGTGGTGAAGTTACACGAGTTTCACGTTCAATGAAAAACCAGACGTTAAAACGATCGATTTTCTCGTGGAAAAATAACTATGCATTGAAATAAAAATAATGATGAACCTTTTATGAAACAATTGGTTCTGTTACGATGATCAAAAAGAAATCAGTCGAAAAAATAAGCCTGCGTGCTATCAGAGTATCAGAAAAAAAATTGTAAACAAGATTATCTGTTGTTCAATTTGATATCTGATCTTATGTAATCAGATTTAAATAAAAATCCAATAAAGGAAAGATCGTATTTTTTACCGGTATTTGAACGATGACAAGTAGCAGATACATTCGTTCAGAATGTCGCTCATGAAGAACGTTGCACGTGCACGTATAATTATTTCAACGAAGTTGAATATCCTCGACAGAGATTACGTATAAAACTTTCTCGGTTACGACCACGCGATACCTGGTTACTATAATTGAAACATACACGCGAGAGGCCGGATAGATCTCGACCAGAGGAGAAAGTTCGAAGAAAGTCAATGAAGCACGAAAGTTAGAAAGAATTCAGGAAATCTATGACGAAAAAGAAGAACAGAGGAAAGAGAAGCAAAGTGGAACGACCGCAAGAAAATGGGAAAGTATCGATTAATAGTCGTTAATTTTGCAATTGCACCGCGTGTTTATTGCATCACTGCTTAACGCAATAACTCGAACAATTTACACAATTTTAATGTCGATTAGAAAATATGTAAAATCGATAACGGCTTCATAGGGATATACCGTTCCGTACGATTGTTCGCTTTTGTAAAACAGTCACATTCAAAGTTACGCTGATCAACTTTATTTACGCAATAAAATAGTAAATTTTCATTTTAAAATATATTATCGTTGTTTCTTTTTCATACGTTGCACGAGCAATGCCATTTTAATACGAAAGAATATTTCCAAATAAATATATTTGCAAAGATCGAAGGATAGTTCTAAACTTTTGAGCGACGCGTTGCAAGTACATTGTTCTACGTACAAGAAAAGGCAATTGTGTATTCGACGGTGCTATGTAAATAAACGCGACCCTGACTTTTTTGACTCGATGCATAAGTTATGTACGTTGAATTCGTCCCTTCTTCCCAACCACTGTTTCCGTTTCAGTTGCTTCTGGAATAGAGTCAATCGACGTTCGATATCCAGTCGACGCGATCTACGTTGATACTCGTCGAACGATCGACTGCACGGTGTTTCTTATCGCTGCGTTTTTATAACCGCGTTTATTATCAACAGCATTCGTGAAAGCACGTGATCTTTAGTGATCGAATCAACAAACGAAATGGTGAGTGTCGATTCAATCTCAACGCAACGTCTCTATCTCGTCGTTGAAATCTCCTGTTGTCTAGCTAAAAATACTTTATGGAAATTCTTTTAACATTTGTACGATCTAACGTTTGCGTATAATAACGAAGACCTTGGAAAACTCGTGACTTTAGTGTATTCACGCGCCAAAGAAAACTATTAACTCCGTCGCGACAATGAGAGTCATGCAACTATAAAAATGGAGGAAATAATATGGAATACATAATTTATCAGTTATTCTGTGTTGATCCAAACGATAATAACGTAGACAAATATACTAAAAAAATATTAAGAAAGTCAACATAGTCTAATGATTGTCAGATTTTTCAAATAAAACGTAGCAATTGTTTATTCATTGGCACAGTAATAAACTAAAGAATCTTTTCACGTGCATTTAACTATGGTTTAGATGGATGCATTTTATTTATTTTTCCACTTCTGTACATTCATGTTGACACAACCTTCTGAACACGTAGGTATCACAATTTCATTTGTTGTCTTAATATGTTATTACCTTCGGTTTTGACTAATCAAGGTCCCTAGATTTAACTTTATTAAGAATTACAGAATACATTAGAATGTGTTCATAGATATATCTAATTCAAAGAATACAGTTGTAAATGCAGCACAACGAGCAATATTTTCAATAACTTTTGCAGTAATAAAGTGAATTACATGTTTTGTTTTCTATCCATTCTAAATCCATAGTAACACAACATATCATGTTGATGCTAATGATAGTACAGTGAAAACTCGATAAATGTCCTCAAGAGCTGTTCCATAAATGATACATTTTTATCCCCACCACTAGGGGGATCCCCCTTGAACCAGTGAGGCGAAGTGTAACCGGATACGTAGCGGCTTTCTTTAAAAATCTTTATTGCCTTCGTCATCTTAGTTTAAATGTCCCTGTCAGTGTGACCACACTACTGTACAAGAAGAAAGTTTTTTATTTACTTAATTCCGTTTGAAAATAGCTACCTCCCGTTCGATAAATGTAGCCAGCACCTCGATGCGTCGTTCTTTGATATTTCCGAACATAGAAAAGGACAGCACAAGAAGGATAAATAAAGAGAGAAAGACTCGCAAGTACAATATTTAATTCAATATTATGCTACCAAATATTGACCGATTTATATCGTGTTTAGCCTCATTTTAATCAGAGAAATCTCCCCAACATGATAGTAAAATTTTTATTAACAAAAAGTAAAAAATAAAAAACTTTCTTCTGTGCAGTAGTGTGGTCACACTGACGCGGATATTTAAACTGGGGCGATAAATCCGAGTTTCAGTCCCTCTTTCTTCTTTAGCTACCGACTCTTTCTACGTTCGAAGCGTCGGCAAACTACAATCAAATTCGAAAGACGATTCTCCTATTCCGTAAGTGTTGCTGACCGGACCCGGAGTAGCGACATTTATCGAGTTTTCACTGTAGTACTATTTGTATCAAGATCCATCTATCTAAACTACAATTAAGTGCACAGATACTCGGTGAATATTCAAAGTCGATTTTCTAGGCAACGAAACCTCAAGTAAAAACCTGTTATTCTTTATTTTCAATTTGTTTTCTCATGTAGAATCACCAATGCTGGGACACTCCGCATCTCCCTCTTCACGATAATAAATATTGTATATTTATTGTTTGTACGTTGATAAAAAATTGTTGGCTTACTTAAAAAAATATTGATTTAAACCAATTTTAAAGACACCGGCACATATATTCACGCTCTAACGATTTCATTTCGTCCACGTAACGTTATCGTTTTTTCTCGATGCAGTAAACTCGTGTGACTACTTTTCCTCATTCATTTCTGTGTGGAGAAAGGCGAGTTTCGGGACTACCATATTTACATATAAATGCCTCTCTCGACATTTTTGTAAACACAAAGGTGAATATCATATTCAAGATGCGTGAATAATCGAAATTGTGTTCCGAATTTAATTGCATACAATCAAATTACCAATTTCTAATATTTAAGTACAATCAGCACTATTTGATCTAGTTAGATAAAAGTGCAGCGATAAATTACTATTTTTTGTAAAGACGGAAATCATATGCAGATTTTGTTTTCTCGAAGTAGTTATTTTAGCTGCAAAAAACAAGCAATGTTAAATGACTGCCGTTTAGCAACTTTTCAACCTGAAGAGAGCTGTTTGCATAAATTTGCTGTAATTCTACACACACTGCGAATACAAATATAATAAACTGGATGACGTTGTGTAATCCAGTAATCAGAAAATACGCAAATAACTCGAAACAAAAGGAGAACACTTATTAATTATAAAAACAATGACGTCGAATGATGTGTATTTCCGATATTAAAAATATGCAGTGAACGGAAATCGATATTCTTTTGTCAAAATATGATAAATTAAATAAAATAGACACTTGTAAACGGATATAGAAGGATACTCGAACTATGTGGATTAATTAAAATTTCTAGATTTATTTTCATAACACTACCTTCTCTCTCTATGAGTTTTGCTTATTGTAACAATTTTCATTCGTGTTCAGATTAACTATGTTTCCTAATATTTAATCTTTCGTTCTGTAATTTTGGTCACATTTTCTTGAAAACCGCCATCGTCATTGGCCAAACGTTGGAACGAAACTATTACGAGCATCATTTTCTTAGTATAAAAGAACCGTCACTTGTATTAATCTCTACTTCTAATAACATCTCATGAATTACATTCTGTATAATTTGTATTTACTATACATGGGTAATAATACTGACTAAAGTGCGTCACATATATTTTGTATGTGTTGAAGTACAGCACAATTCCTGAAAAGGATATTTCTTCGTTCAGTCTTGCCACGGCTCTGCGAAAGGCAGCATCGTCCTTTCTATCGTCGTTCTCGTCTGTGAAAATCGTCTAACAAACATCACATTTCGAAATTGTTAATCTTTGACTTCCTGTACGAATGCATGCTAATTGCATTCGATGCAACGGTTCTTTCACGCCGTATTAAACGCGCGACTATTGTGTAAGTATCGCCTTATTACGTTTACGAAGTGCATTCTTCGTCCCTCGTCGTGTAATGCATTTCATCGGAAAAACGTTCATTAGCCATGCAAAAAAATTATTCGATCAGCTCGTTAATTGAGAGTACATTCTCATTGGCAACCAAAAACAGAAAGTATTTTTTGATCATTTTGTTCAGATCATAATACAAAGTTGTAGAGTATATTTTCTACACTTTAACAGTTTCCAATGTCGCTTCATTGGAAACGATAACAAACTCTTATTTCATAGGATTATGTAGAGTGCTGGTACTAAAATAAACACTGTAAGTCGAACGTTCTCCAAATGACGTCATGTAGCCCATAAGAGGTCACACACAGAATTCTCCTCCGATTACACCATGTATTATTAAATAATAAGAAAATCACAGCGTTAGAAACTTTCACATATCTTGATATTTATGTTGTCAAACTGTGATTCTCTGAGTATATTTCGCAAGGACGCGCACGGTTTAATGCCGTCGTACTTATTTGCACTTTAGCTACGGAGTTATTATTAGCAGCGATGGATTTTTGAGGCAAATACGCGAACGAACATTTTTCTTCTGAAATAAATTATACACTCGATATTAGTAATTAAAATGGATAATGTAAATGTTATTTTTTATATCTGTCTTAGTATAATATGAATGTAAGATCGCACATTTTATCTTTCCTCTTTTATCTTATCTTTTTTCGCTAACATATTTAATTTGTGCCAATCGATACGTTATTCATTCACAAATAATCAAATTCATCCAAATTTCACATCCAAGTTTTCACATTCAGAAATTTGAAACTTTGAATTGTAGAAACGTTGATTTGATATTCTGTTTCATTGTCAAAGATCTTCTAATCGTTTTGAACAGTCACCATACTTTGTTCGAAACGTTACTCGAAGTAAGTGGATAATTACCTATGCTAGATTTAGTATTTTTAACAATGACTCGCCTTAGCTAATTATTTCTAACATCCACTTGCATATGCTAATTATTTCCAACAGCTTGTTATTGTTTTAGGTGACCTATTCTCCTATTCCTTGAACACTTCTCTTCAGCTCTTTTCTGTTTATCAATACTCAATGTAAACACCGTTCAGTGACAACATTCTTATAAAAAAAGGAATTTAATCTGCATATCACAAACACAATGACAACATATGTACATTCTTTCAGCTGGAAAAAATACCTGTCTACTATTAATGGCTGTTCCTCAAGCCTGCCGAGTTTCATCCAAATCGCTGCTGAACAACTCTACTTATTAATTTTTTATGCGAATGCGCATACTAATTACCATGTTACGTTTTTATAGGCGGACGTAATACTTAATATGCCAGAAGAAAATCAAGAGTCGTCGCCGACAAAAGCAGAAGAGAAGAACATTGGTCCAGTATGTCAAATCGATATTCAGCCGGAATTATTAAACAGTAGAGAGTCAAGTAAGTGGAATAATGGAAACCTAGTCATCCTGAAACGATAGTACAAACAAAATTCTTGTTTAGACAAAAGTTTCGAATAACGAGCAAAAGATAAACTACCTGTGATCTGTTATTCGTTGACTAACAGTTGGAATTTTAATAACAGAACATTTTACATCGTGAAAAAGAATAAAACATTAATCATAAAACAAAATCGTCCTCGTAAGCTAGAAGCTGACTGATATTCAATTTTTTTGAAACGAATAAATAAGTAAATCATGAATTAACATCGTTCCGTGACGATAGATTAAATGGTACGTTTCATGGTTCTTGTACCCATTCTGTCTAATAAGTACATATTACACAACTGGCCGCTTGTTATCGTCAAGATGGTGGGAGCTACTTGGCTATAGCAAGTCGAATAGTTATAAAAATCAGTTGACAACGCTCGATCAAATTAGTGTGTCGTTCGTTTACGTTCGTACAAGACTCAACGAGAAATAAGCTCTCTAAATAAAGCTTGGTGATATTTGGTATCGTTAAAACCCTGACAGAGAAACTGCAATATACAATAAACAAATGTAAGGTGTGTGTGTATATAATTCGTAGATTTATTTTAAAAACGTCATGCTATAGACTATAATCCTCATGGTGCACTATTCGTAAACATCTTGGTCTAAGAAAGAAAACTGGCCTTTGTTTTTGTTTTACAGAGCCAGAAAATAATAGCAATATTTAAAAAATGAAATATCCAAGGGACCATGTCGTAATTAACGTGGAACCATCGGTAAAACCGTATAGTAAACTTAGTGGTATGCATTTCGAGATATTCTGTGTTTTTGCAAATATGTTTGTTTTTTTAGCGCCGATAACGTGAATGTTTGCAACTCAAAACGTGTAAGTGTTTTAATAGACGCACATCGAGCACCAGAAAGTGTTGTTAGGATTTTGGAAACTGGGACAAGCTGTAGCTCTTTTTTAAACGAGCATACATTTATCAAGGAAAAAGTTGTGTGTGTTTTTTTAAACTATGCATTTTTGTTTACATAAATCGATTCTTCACGTCAAAACCATGAATATTTACACATTTTATTACTATCCCATAATTTTTAATTACATTCTCAAACTGTGTAACATTTCAAGACGTAAACCTATTACGAACCGAATGAGATATGTTTATAAATCGTATTGTTTACTTGTGCACGTAACCACAATAATCGGTTTTACGTGATCTAGCGTGATAAATATAATTTCAACACGAAGATATATGAGAAATAAGAGAAATATGAGATATCTCGTGAAATAATGATTTATTTAACTTTTCTCGTTATGAATTTGTTATGCCTTTGCTTAGAAAAGAGTTACTTGTCCCAACTTCTAAAATCATCTTGTGTTTATTTTTACATTACACAAAATACAAAGTTAATATATTTTTATAATATAAAAGTCCTCTTTTTCGATACCACATTAGTTCTTATATCTTAAACAACTATACCAAGTACACAAATCTAAGTGGCAAACAATCTTCTGGATCGTTCTGAGAGAGATAGATAGAATCAAAGTTCAAATGATATTTTATATGCGATCTTTATGCAATCGATACTTCCGAACTAAGGAAGTAGTTTTCCATTCTTCGTCCTAGAAAATGGGTAGGATTTCGAGGGTCTGTCTAATGACCAAAAATTATTGTAATTGACCCCCATAACCAAAAATAATTTTTCCAGAACGATTTAAAATTTTTGAATTTGGTCGAAAAATTTCACACCTGCTCGAATTTTGTTCTCGAAAATGGGTAGGATTTCGGGGGTATGACTATTCACCAAAAATTATTGCAATTGACCCCCGCATCCGAAAATAATTTTTCCAGAACGATTTGAAACTTTTTAATTTGGTCGAAAAATTTTTCACCTGCTCGAATTTTTTTCTCGAAAGTGGGTAGGATTTCGAGGGTATGTCTAATGATAAAAAATGCTTGTAATTGACCCCTGTAACTAAATATAATTTTTTTAGTATGATTTGAAATTTTTTAATTTCGTCTAAAAATTCCATACCTACTCGAATTTTTTTCTCAAAAATTGGTAGGATTTCAGGGGTACGTGTATTCACCAAAAATGATTGTAATTGAATCCTGCAACCCAAAATAATTTTTTCAGAATGATTTGAAATTTTTTAACAACTTTTTAATAAAGCCTCAGTCAAGAAATTGATATCCTTGATTTTCGTCTTATTTTAGCCTCTAGAATCTCCGACTAGAATTTTTCCCAGCCAAACACCCTGTATAAATATCCGACATTCCCTTTCGTTGCTTCAGATGTCACCATTTTGTTCAAGGTGATTCGAAATTCTTTTTTCAAGATTAACAGTTCTAATACCGAATGGTTTAGTAGTTTCCTTGAACGACTCTCTGTCTAGAAGGTAGGCGTCTATTCAGGAAACACACGTCTTACTTCAGCTGAATTACATGTTAACAGCCAATCAATCTGATAAAAAACACGATCACGTCAACATATCATTCTACGTGTCAGCACTCGCATTGTACTTGAACCGATGTTGAAAGTTCGAATTATACATGGATTTCTTCGTACCCACAATTATTATAAATATTAAAATTCTTCGTCACCTGAACGTTGATTCACGGTGAGTCACAGCCAAAATCGTACATCACATATGAAAATATGTTTCATATTAGAAGTATTGGCACTGCTCAATACATTATTAAACGCTATAGAGAAGAAAGTAGAATTACAAATAAATTAAGATCAGCACCGAACAAAAAATTTAATGCGTACGATGAGCGATGGATAGTTAGAAAAATAAAAAAGAATGCTGAGTGCACTTAAATTGTCAAACGAGGTGGAAGAATATTTGCAAATATCTGTTAATCTGTTAAGTACTAATTTTTAATTTAATTTAAATATAAAACAATATTCTTAATGTGTACGATTTTAGCTGTGAGATATTTTCTTCTTTTTCGAATGAAACATATTTTCGTATGTGGTGTACGATTTTGGCTATGACTCACTGCTTTCATTGCCTCAAATCTCAGGAAAGTTAACCGTGCATTACTAGGTATGTAAAATCTAATGTACAATGAATAATATATGTATTTCTTTCGATTCTATAATTCTTGGGGAGGGCGATCTCTCTCCTGGATCCACCCCTGTCTATACCTTGTATATGCATGTATTACATTATATAGTCTGCATACCTTGTAACTGCATATAGTATGTGATTCCTCATCGATAATGGTTCTAAGGTTTTCAAAGCGCAGGAATCGACTTGGTTAACAGGAAATATCTTGGTTAAGGTTATGGGAACGAGCTCTTCCTACAATCTCAGTTCTATCGCTCCTTTCGTCAAATTCTCTTGCATTTTTAACAATACTGAACATCCGAATCGTATTCCGTGGCAGTAAAAAATGTAAGAATTCTTTTCAATGAAGCAACTAACGGAATGTTTCTGAAGTCAAGTCTTTCTCTTGGCGCCAACAAGAGAACTAAATCCGTGTAGTGCTGACATCTGCAAAGAAACATAAATTGTATTCTCCTTATCGGTTAAGTTTACGGAATACAAAGTAACCAAGAGATTGCACATCTCTGTATTCCAGGATTGCCTTTTCAGTCTTTTACCGTCTTTCTCTAGAGTACGAAGTGTAAGTACGCATATCTTATCGGCGCAAGTAAAGTGTTGTCAACCATTCTAAATTTCTAACGTTGTTTTCTGATATCTATGGATGTTTTATTCGTTAAATTGATACGTTTCATTTATAATATTAAATTGTATTACTTTCATTCATCACTGTAACATATCTACATAAATTTACCCAATATATTATATACTTTAAATATATTTCTTGTACCTTATCAGTGATAAGGAAACTGTTAATTTCTTTTTCTACAATCAAGTGAACAGCTTTGTTAGCCCAGAGCGAGAAAAATTGTATATCGTAAATGTATATGTATTTATTTAATAATTATACAAAAGTACATGCATCTGTTGATTCACTTTAAAACATACAGTACAAAGCAAAATTGCGTATCTATCATGTGATGTGTAATAAATAGAATTTCAAAAACATATTTACATTAAATACGCCATGGAATTTTGTTAAAATTTCTAGAATATTTTATTAAATAAAATAAAGATTTGATAATACACGCCTCCCATGTTTTAAAATCGTGATAGTCCCGTGATGTATGCTAATTCCTCGAGATACTAACATCTGGCTACTGTATACGGTCGTAAAAGTTGGCAAGATTAATTGTTATGTTTTTATAAAAAATAGAAATTACTAAATCTAAACAACAAGTGCACAAGTCAGAAATAGTTAACAAATTTGAAGAAAGTATAATCTTAATCTACGAAATGCATTCTTAACAAATTATTTGATATCTTTTTTAAAGACCGTCAATACATTTAAAGTTTCATCGCCTCATTCTTGATCGTTTATATGATGTTGTATTTAATAGTCCACAAATTATTGTTTATAAACTTGAGATTAGGGAATTTTGCTACATTTCGTCGAAATAGGTAGCCTATGTGTCTAACAGTAATCGTATTTTATTGTCTAGTATTCAACAATGATAGGTATGTGTCAACATTAAAACTTAAAATTCTTTTTGAATATCAGATATTTCTGTGAAAATTTGCTCAATCAATAGTGATAATTATATCTGTATAATTTCGTTATATTTTATACAATTTAAATGCATTGTTCTTATTTTTGTTAACTATTTTATGGACAAACAACATTGCATTACAATGTCTTCCTTGTAGTAATTTGCCTTTGAAAAGCACCAAATTTCTTTTCACATATACTCACCACTTGTATTATAAATATTTATGTTAACAACGTAATTTTTCACTTAACAAATTTACAAATTGAACAACATATATAATGATTATTACATTACATGTAAACTTAACATATATTTATACACTTAATTTCATGCACTGCCACAAATGATTCACCCATGTTCATAAATTTCCAAAAAAATTGACTAATCATTCATACTTGCTTCTTTTTTTAGTACAATCTAATGGAAAAATGACAACAGATTATGCAGATGTAAGTATACCAGCTTCTTATGAACGAGGTGTACCTTATGATTATATTTCTTACTATGTATCATATTACACACTTAAATCTATCATTCTTTCCAGCTTGTTGAAAAAGCACGAAATGCTTTTTATAGTGGAAAGACAAAACCATTAGAATGGAGGATAAAACAATTGAAACAAATGAGTCTTATGATAGAAGAATGCGAGACAGATATTATATCTGCTCTTGCTTCTGATTTACGCAGGGTACAATGTTTTATTCATTATATAAATTTACACTTTATATTGGTGCTTAGTATTTAAGTATTTCTCATGTATTATGTGTTTATATTATACATGTTCCTATGTTTAGTGTAAATTTGAAACTATTGCCATGGAAGTACAAGTTATACAAGGAGAGATCAAACACACACTTATGAATATAAGAAAATGGGCAGCTACTGAGAAGGCATGCTTAATATTTGTTTCAAAATATAACTGTGTGAATTAAATACAATTATACGATAATTCTTTTATGTCACATGTTGGATTGCATTTAAATGTACATTTATGTTTCAGCCTTCAAAGTCAATGGTCAATATGTTTGATAAAATTGAAATTCGTAACGATCCGTATGGCGTAGTTCTCATCATAGGACCATGGAATTATCCTTTACAGTTATGTTTAATTCCCATGTTAGGTGCAATTGCTGCTGGAAATTGTGTTATTCTTAAGCCATCCGAAGTATCTCCAGCTACGTCACAAACTCTGTCAAAAATTATGCCAAGATATTTGGATACAGTAGGTATTGCGATATGCAGTTGTCTCTTACATGTGTTATTAAATATTTTGTTTTATTTTCTTTTGTAGGATTGTTTCCACGTAGTACTAGGAGGTGTTTCTAATACAACAGAATTGCTCAAACAAAGATTTGATTATATATTTTATACAGGATCTACCACTGTCGGAAAAATCATTCATCAAGCAGCAAATAAATTTTTAACGCCTGTGACGTTAGAACTTGGTGGCAAAAGGTATAAAATTAAATTATCCAAATTTAATAATGTACAAAAATTTAACGTAAATGAATCGTGACCATTTACAGCCCAGTATACATAGATAATACAGCAGATTTGAATATAGCCGTGAAAAGAGTACTCTGGGGTAAATGTATTAATGTTGGCCAAACTTGTATCGCACCCGACTATGTACTCTGTACTCCCGAAGTGCAAAATAAATTTATAGAAGAAGCAGAACGAGTTTTAAAGGAATGGTATGGTAATAATCCGAAGGAAAGTCCAGATTTAGCGCGTATAATTAACGAGAATCATTATCAGTAAGTACAACATTATAATACATTCTCTTATAAATATTTTATGCTTTCATATGATTTTCATTATATAAAATTCATAATATTTTTAAAGGCGACTTGTAAAATATTTAAGTGGAAATGGTAAAATAGCGATGGGAGGAACCTGTGATCCTGTCGAAAAATATATTTCACCGACTATACTTGTTGATGTTAAACCTACAGATTCCATCATGCAAGATGAAATATTTGGCCCAATATTACCATTTGTAAACGTGAATAATGCTTATGAAGCAATTAAGTTCATAAATAGCCGGTAAGTTCCTAATTCAATTTATATTTTAAAATTATTTTAATATATGTAAAATTTATTCATCATCGTAATGATAAAGTTGAAAATATGTTCCATTTATTATGTAAGTGATATAAGTCTGTTTATCTTTATTTAAGGCATAAAAGGTTTTGCATTTCAAAAGCAAGTATATGAAAAAAAGCGTGAATATAGTTATTAATACGTTTATTTCAATTTTCGAAATGATCTAATTTAGATGCGTTAATTCTTTTGTTGCGAATTGGTAAAAAAATTCTATATAAAAATATTACAAATTTATATGACTATGTAGCAGTTACAGTGATACCATAAACTATTGGTGATATATTTATTATATTTTCATACAAAAGGAACGCATAGCAATTAATATTTTATATTTAGTGAGAACCCACTTGTACTGTATATATTTACCAAGGACAAGGGAGTTCAAGAATTAATAATAAATCAGACTCATAGTGGAAATGTGGCAGTCAATGAAACGATAATGCAATTTATTGGTGAGTCAGGATATTAGGTGATGATTGGTAGATAGCTTGCTAATTTAAAAATCTGTTTTCATAACGCATGAAATACCGATAAACAATCAGTTTCATTATTTTCATTTGGAATGAAAATATATCTGTATTTAATTATAAATGATAGGAAAATTTGGCAAATATAGCTGGCTTCGAAAAATGATAAAAACATTTTTCGGTACTGATTATATTTTTCAAATTTTCCGAGATCTATTACATTTGTTTATATTCTCATGTTTGGTATAAGGTTTTTAAAACAGTTAAATGTTGCTTTTCCTACAGTTGAGTGGTACTTTTAATGTAGCATGTCTAGTTGTATTACAGATCCTTACATGGAATTAGGTTGTTAAGCAAAATACATGCATTGGTTTTATATTGCATTATCGACTTATATTGGTACCTATGGTAATTAAAGATTAGGTGTGGTAGTTTTTATTAAATAAGGTGATGGTGGCAAATATTCACACAAAAAATTCACCGCATTTAAATTATAATTATGTATATACAATTTAGTTATATTGTATTGCATAGTATCCTATTCCACAAATGAAATGTCATTTAATGATTTGAATGGTTTGTATAGAGTTACATATTTTGCATAGGGAGAAGCCATTAGCATTGTATATATTTAGCTCTGATGACAAAAGTATATCATTATTTCTTCGCAATACAAGCAGTGGTGGTACTTGCATTAATGATGTAATGATGCATGCAGCAGGTAATTGTCTTTTCTAGTTTTATGCTCGACAATTTTCACTCATAAATAAAGTTTTATATACCTGTTTAGGTATAGACAGTTTTTTTATAATTATACATACGTTTAATTAACATTTCATTTCTAATTTCACTTTCTTTACAATTCTTGCAATTTTAATATGTAGTTTGCATGACTGTCTTAGCTTTTTATGTAACTATGGCTCTAGTGATTTTGCTTATTTATTTTACATACACACGCTTTCTTGTACTATAGTCTATATTTTAGATTATGTAAATATTTCGTCTCTATTTTGTGTGAAGTTGTACATTACAAATATTGGATACATACTTGTTTAAAAAAAACATTTCCCTATAAGTGTTTTGGGTCTTTAAAAAAAAAGACAAAGCTAGCAAGATGTATTTTAACGTAAGAAATTAGTTTAAATTGATATTAAGAAAATCGCGGGAAAAAATTTCAGTCAATTTCAAAAGTTATCGATTTTTATAATTGCACAAGGTAGATGGAAAATCGTAGTACAACCAACTACATATAAAAACAACAATTATATATGAAACTTTGTTGCTTCAGTTGACACTTTGCCATTTGGTGGAGTTGGATCCTCTGGTATAGGATGTTATCATGGAAAGTATTCTTTTGATACGTTTGTACACAAAAAAGGCTGCCTTATTAAAAATTATAATAAATTGGTAGAAACGTTGGGGTCGTAAGTTATCTTTTCTACATTCATTTGCAATTGCTATGAGGGCCTTTGTAATGATGTAACCGAATATTTCAGGTGTCGTTATCCACCATACTCGGAATCAAAATTATCTTTCTTAGAAAAATTGTTGGCAAAACGACCAGGCATACCAGGAATTAAGTACATTCCCCATCTTTTAGCGTTTGGTTTGGGAATTCTCGTCACCTTCGGCGTTACAGCCGCTTTGAAGGTATATAAATCGAGACGCATTTAATGCGTCATATAACTTTTATTCATAATACTGTAAAAAATATTAATTTCGCTTCCGCACAAATTATCGCTGTCACCATGCCACACATCGTTTATAAAATTTTGTACTCGTAGAATCAGAGTTTACAATTAAAATAGACTTGTGTAGTTTTGGAAAATTTCTGAAAATGTGCCATAATTTTGTTAAATCCTTATATATTTTATATGATACGAACTTTTATATCACATTGTACTTCCATGTAAAGGTTTACTAGTATGAAGGGGGAGAATTGTGAATATTATGCACATTTAATTACAATAATATTCTGTTTAACCTTAACTTATAGTAAATGGAATTGTAAACATTGTACATGCAATACAAATCTTTCTATGAATTTATTTGAGATATAATTCTAGATAATGACTTCTTAAAAGTTTTTGTTTTGAAGTCGATGTCTAAAATCATACTCTATTTGTTTTATTAAACTCACTTCTTTTTAGAAAAGTGTTTGTATCATTACCAAATATATAATTTAAAAGTTAAAAGTAATTACAAGTTGATGTACAAAATTTTCACGGATTAATCCATTCGGGGCTGGCGTCGTATATTAGGGATTACTAAAACGGTATAGACCTTTGTCCTGGATGGGCTAATGATGGCTCAATAAAGGCAATATGATTTGCTATACAAAATTCCCGATTATCTTAATTTTCCTAACCAGTCGCATTATAGTTAATTATTTTATTTCCAAAATAGGATAATAACTAAAAGGTTAATGTATTACTGCAATTAAGTTGTTAAACTTGTATATGCAATAAAGTCTCGATTATCCGAGTCCCAATTAACCAAAATTCCGTATTATTCGAGGTGTTTCGAACTATACGGTAGAGATATTTCTTTCTTAAGACGCATGTGAAACGTAACAACAAAGAGAAGATATGCAATTAAACAAAAATTTTAATTCATGATTTATAAACATCCAACGATCCATCCGTATTATTCGCAATAATTCGATCCACATTATCTCGGATAATCGAGACTCTACTGTAATATGAAATACAGGGTATTTAGCATAATATACTTACTAACAAGGATATGGAATATTGACTAATAAAGCTAATGTCTAAAATTTAAGGAATTTAATAACACGAGAATAACTTTTCCAGGCTCAAGAAGATAATTTGTAGTGGAATCTTCACAATATCGTTACAGAGAATATGTTGTTGAAATGTAATTACAAATTTACGAACGTTATTCATGTTGCTTCAATTTTGTAGCTAGCGTTTTTCTGTTTTTATACACACACTTATAAAAATATCACTTTAATTTTTTTACCATAATGTAAAATATTTGATTGAAAGTGGTTACCTTGCAGCCGCATTTCATTCCTGGAACATCGATTATTTGAATAATACTAAACAGAAATTTGATTAGTCTAAATATGAAGTTTCTTTTATTTATAAATAAATTGCAGTCAGTGCTAAAATAAATATAGGCATTACGTACGTGAATCTATAAAACAATACACGGAACCGTGCATTGTAATGTTCCCTCTGTATATTCATATATTACATTCAAATAGTCAATGTTCGCATTTATATGTATACCGTAAATACTGTACAGAAATATAAGAATTGTATAGTATGATTTATACATGACAAATGTTAGTTTAATAGAAATAGAAATTTAAACAAAATTGTACATTTAAAAGAAATTTGAAACTTCGAATTTTTATAACTACACTATTTTGATTCTTATTAAAAGTGTAATAAAATTTTTCAGAATATATACCACCTGACCATGTTTTAACTATTGAAAAAAACGAAATTTTTGTTATTGTTTCTATGAACGAGCATATGTATATTATTAATATGATTGAGTATAAATCCCTGATTGAATTTATACTCAATACGTAGAAAATAGATTCTGCTCGTGTTCATATTCAAAGGAACCAGAGTTGTTCGTTCTTGTTCGGTAAAGTTCGGGTCGTGTGCGCGAGAACAGGTTCAGAAAAGTTTAAACAAAGCGGAAAAAGAATTTATTTTGCAGGTTGTTTCGACTTTAAAGCCTGCGGTTCGTGCTTGTTACGCTGTGAGAAAGATATTGTTGTCGTAATCGTTTATTTGAGGTTAGATCGGTGAATATTTCCTCCTGCGTATCTCAGGATCGTCGGTAATGGGTTGCATATATTTGTTACGTTGGTGAAAATTTTGGAAAAACAGAATTTATATATTTATTGACATAAAGTCGGTAGCATACATCATATATTATCAAAGATTTGTTCATACATGTTATTAGCATCATTTTGAAAATACTAACTTTCTGTTTCTAATATAATGTGATATATACATTCATATTATGAAATATTTATTAAAAATTAATTTTCGATATCAGCATTTTAAATACATTAATAATGAGTTTAATATGGTATTGAAGTACTTTCTCGTATCTTACTAACCATGGCAGTACATTTGCAGAAACGTATTTATCAACCAAAAGGTTAGCATAAGTCACAGTTCATTGTCTTATCAGTATTGAATTATTATTTCCACGTACCCGACATCTCTCCTCCTTGAGTACTATCGCGTTGAGGGCTCTACAAAAACATAAAAAAATATGCGAGTTAAGCATAAATTGTGCAATATTAGAAAAAAAAACGATTCGCTTACCTTAACATGTATTTGCTGTTTCAACATAGCAGCCCTTAAAATTAACATACGGGTTCGTCTCTGATAATCTTTACCGACGCTCATAGACTTTTCGAACGTTGTACTGCGTTGATCAACATCCTTTGCATACAAAATCTGAAAATACACAACAAATAATGTAAAAACACTACTGTATTATAAAAACATACATGCCGATACTAACTGAATGTTAATACCAATGACGATTAACGGTTAATTACCTTATTATGTGAATCTATACGAGCTTGAATTTGACCATCCAGAATTAACTGCATGAGCTCGTCTTCTAACTCTGAGACTGTTCTATTAAAAGCAGTTGCCATTCGTCTCATGTCCGCGCTCAAGTATGGGCTGAAATATTGTATTAACGCTCTATTTCGAATTTGCGTATACAATACATTAACATGTGGCGCTATGTACATATCCAGTAATATATTATCCTGTATTTCATCCAACAATTTTAAACATGATGCATACTTGGATTCATAAAATTTGAAAATGATATCTCTTAATTGTGGTTCCAATTCTAAGAACAATTTGAAGGAACTGCTGAAAATGACTTGTTTCTGTAATTCATGCCTATCAAATGTAGCCAAAGCACAAAGTCCTCCATATAAAGCTACATTTCCAGGAGACAATAAATCTGGACAATCACAATGATCTAATGATGCCTGTAGAAAGTGTCTTGCAGCCATTTTATATTTCCTTGCTGCCAATTCTGCCAAACCAGCTGCAACTTTTAACTTTGTAACTATGGACTGATTATTATCTTTACCATGAACATCTGAGAAATCTGGTGTACTTTCAGCCTTTGTAACATAACTCAACACATGAGTCCAGTTTTGCAAGTAAACAGAAACTTTGATAACATTTAAACACATATTGACAACATGCTTCCCACTGGTGCAATAATCTCGTGCTCTGGAGTAACATTTTAAGGCATGGACAAGATCCCCACAATCAAGATAATGATCTCCTAAATCGTCGTGGCCCCTTCTGATGCTTTCTTTAATTGAATTACTTCTGTAGTTCTTTAGGTCTGTATCAAATTTTTCTAATTTCAGAGCAGCCTTTTTAGACTTAGATTCTATCCAAGCATAATCCACAGTCAGCATGTCCTGAGATGTTGACTGTGCTGCAACATCTGGTAATCCTGGAGTGCCCACAGCTTGTGCTAGCTTTTTATGTAATATTGCATAAAGAGATACATTGTATGTTGTCATAACATAAGAGATGGCCATTTTTAATGCTTCTATCCTCAATATTGGACAATGATCAGCTATGTATATAAGCCTATATAGTTTGGCAAGACCTGTGTAGCTATTAGCATAGACTTCTAGGTCCTACAGAAAGAAGAAATAAAAAATGTACACAAGTGTTTATTATTTATTGAAATGCTATAATTGTACATACCACTGTTGGATTTTCCACAATATATGGTTCTTCCTCTGAATTGTCATTGTCTTCTGTAGGAGTATCAACTTGCATAGGCTCCACCACATTTTGCTAAACATATAAGATATTATCAAACATAAATTGCCTACTGCATGAAAAGATAAAAATTTACAACATTTAATATTCATAGCATTATTCTTACATATATCAGTGTTTAAGAAAGAATAGTAAAGTGACGACGTTAATAAAATGTAATTTAATGCAATCTCGAAAAGAAAAGATGACAGGTGATCAGATAACTTTTGAATGCATTATAATAAAAATCATTATTATATATTCGATTTACAGATGCAATTGTGCGTTGTTTTGAAATATTACCTGAACATCGTGAACTTGTAACGGCATGTCAACGTTCTCCGCTACGTTACACCTCAGGAACTATAAATGAAAACAAAACTTCACGAATACAGTATGTAATATGCACAGAGAACGAAATATACACATACGATGGGTACAGTGCAGGAAACTGAAACCATCAAAATAACTAAACTTTTTTCGCGACCACGTTCACACAGAGTAATAACGGTTTCTACTTTTTGCAAATTTATATTTCTACCAAAATAAGCATAACTCTTGGATACCGGATGTGCCTAGGTTCTACACTAAATGCGTGTCAGGAGAAAATTGTTTCGTGAGAGTATCTTGATTTTTCTATCGCTCTACTAGTTAACAGTATAAATAAACAATATTTATTTCAATTCTTTACAAAGTATACGAAGCAAATTGTATAATATTAATTTTTATTTTAACATGTTTGCAACTGCTTATAGCGTGAAAATGAACGACTAATAAAGAAGCACAAGCATTTAAAAATTAAACTGAAAGGGTTCAAATAGTATTTGTAAGTATAAGCATATGAATGCGTAATTCGAACGCACACGTAATTCAGAAAATAACTCTTGAAATGCACGTAAATATATTCCATAATGCAGCTACTAAATTTGAATGGCAAAAACATTGATAAAGCGCACATGGAAAACATTAATTAAAGTTACCTAATTTTTTTTTCTGTTTCTAATTAAGATTATTCAATTTTACCAAAATAGATAGGGATATTTATAGTACACACTGTACCAACGAATGGTTCAGTAACATGAAAATATACCAATGAAATATTCAGTTTTCTATAGGAAACGCAAAACACTTGGTAGCAGTGATTCTTGTCGTTTAAGGGGAAAGTTACTAAATTTAATTAGGATACCCTCGATTATATTTAAAATAAATATTAAATCTTGAGATCGTGTTCTCGACAAACTATTTGTGACCTTTATGGCGTTAATATCAGATCTTTGGAAAAATTGTTGCTTCGAATATGGGGTTTTCTTTTCTAAATCTGTCACTGCTTTATGTTTCACAAGCATACATAAACCAGGTCTTGTTCAAAATTTTCGCATGTACACGAAGGATCTTGAATGATCGTTATCCTAATCAGTGATGTAGCTGGATGCATCTAAATTATAATAGTTCGTTCCAGAGATGCCAGAAAAGCACCGCCGGGTGCACACGCACACATGCCAGATACGCGTACGTGAGCTCGTGGAGTTTCGGAAAGTCGACAAAGGCAAACTGACGCATGCCCTCTTTCTCGATTCTCCGAAGCTGCCCGAAGTAATTTCGGATCGCCTCGTGGGAGTCGAGAGAGAAAGGCTCACATTTGCCTTCTCGCTCTAAACAACTGAAATCCGACCTCCCGTCAACGGCATACGATTTGGATTCTCGAGCCGAGATTCTCGACTGCCCAGGCATTTTTACTTTCCGACCTATGTAGGCGCACATAAGCAAAGTACCCATAATGAAAAAAAAATTTTGTAAAATTTATTTTACGGAAATACACGTTTTAAGACCTCCTGATCATATTTTAATTATTGAAAAAAAAGAAATTTTTTTTTATTCCCATGTATGAGCACACATATGTATATTATTAATACGATTTTTGAAAATCAAAATACTTTAAGATTGAAAATTAATAAATTAAAATGAGATTCCACTCTTTACCAGTATTGTGCACGCTGTGGTATTTTTCAATAAGAAGAGTTCTTACTTTTATAACATAAACAAAACAGTAGAATTAATAATTGCAGAAATTAATTAATAATGATTTTCCTCGATTGTTTTGAAATAACCGTATCAATTGGTTATGACGAACTAAATAGAACTAACTAGAAACAAAGGAAAAGTGATCCCGTTTGCCAGTTTAATACAAAGTATGGGTTGTATCTTAAATTTTAAAAGGACATAGTCGAATATTTTTAAAGGTACAAAACATAGCGTTTCATTGTAGAACAGTAACATAAGTTAGCAGGTAATGTCATAAAACTGTTTTTCCCAGCTATATCTGTTAGGAACTTGGCGAGGTTTACGATACGGTCGCTTGTGAATACCGCTATTTTTGAGGATAGCTAATTTCAATTCGCTTGTTAATAGTTACAGCTAAACGAGGAGTCAGGGCCCTAAAGAATCATTACAAAATTGAAGCAATTAGGAAGGGCCCTGCTCCGTCGTCCTCAATAGCGATTGACGTGTCATAAACCTTACAACTAGTCGCGCGGTCGAGTAACGACCTTAGTACCTGGGCACGGTCCCCGGTCGGGTGTTAGGAATTTTCCATTTCCAGGGAGGTCTAGTTTGTACCCCGACTGGTGGGCGGCAACCTAGACTAGGCGGTTTTTGGAAATCCAACCCCCGACCAGGGATGTCGACCGATTGGTCAGGTCCTTTACGCCTCATCGGCAATTTTAGTATATAAGAAGAACATTGGAAGAGTTTAGTTAGATTAGCAACAGAATCATAGTTAGAAACGTTACTGTATTACTTATTGAATTCAATAAACACCAAATACACAACCATTAATTTCCTTCAAACGAAGGTGGTCCTTCGAGTTTGTATTAGTCGGCACACACGTGCAAACTCAACAATTTCCGAACGAGCAACACTCGACCACGGAAAGAACAATATCCCTTTTTACCTGAAGTATAAGGTAAAAAGTACGAGCTACAAGGTACGACTATCCGAAAATCGTTCACATTTTATCAATGTGTTGCGACGCAGGATGACGATCTGTCCGTGGTTCAACGGATCGTTTGCGTTCGCTATTCCTCGTTCAACTTAATGCACGAAGAGTCGTGATGTGATAAGATTTTAGACTGAGGTTAACACACCTTTTGTAACAATGTTTTAATGTTTACTATAAAACAATATATATACAATCGTAGAGTGTAGTGAGTGGTATTTGCTGTTTCTCGGTGAGTTCTGTCTGAGTTCTGTCTGAGTTCTGGTCTGATGGATGTGTGTTAGCGTCGTTGTCGAGGAGGTTAAGGTTGGGATTGGCTGCTGATATTTTGGGGAAAGGTGGATTGTAAGAATTAGGATTGGTCGGTTGTGTTGTGAGGGTGGATCTGAAAAATGGTCTTGAGGCGGAGCTTGAATGTTTAAATATTTTGGGAAATGTTGTTCGGTTAGGGCTAGCAGGTAATGGGTTTATTGCGGTGATGGGTACGTGATGTGCAGCTGTTGGAAAGGTCAAGTTTTTATGGGGCAATACTGGTCGCGAAGAGTGGTAATTGCCGAGCCTAAAAATGCTCGGCTGCTACGACCTTCTGGAGCTACCTGTGTTGGGGCTCAACACAATGTAAATGAAGCGGCCTTTCCATCAGAGTTAAATACAAAATTTTGTAATTTCTGTGAAAACAAAACTTTCAGTAAATGTACGTGGTGCTTGAAATTTTTATGTTTTGACTGTTTTTGTGAAAAGTACCATCCAGATTCATGTACTTCGTACATTGAAAATAACATATGTTAAATGTAATCGGTTAAATTTAACTTTAAAAAAAAATATTCGAAGGTCAGACAAAAATATAATGTCATATTTAGTGTACGCTTAAAGTATGATTGAAAAAATAAAAAAAAAAAGTTCAAGCAGGGTTCGAACCAGCAGAGCAGAAGAAGTTCGGAACTTGCAGGCAAAGACCTCATCACTCACGACACGCTGATTAGTGGTGAACATAGTTCTATTTCTGAAAATAAGTACCTGTAATAACTTTAATAATATCTCAAAGTAAAACCTAACCCAAAACCTGGTACTTACCATTCCAACTTTTCCTTGTTAGAAACGAGTTTTCAATTTGTCTTAGCGAAAATCGCAATCACATTTTGCACATTATTCTAAAACATTTGTGGTATTCGTTTTCAATGCGATTTAAGTAAGCATGTAATGTATAAGATTTAATTTAATGTTTTCTTTTCCAGAGAAGATAGAGAAAAAGTTTATATAATTTTTTTTATATAAAATTTAATTCGTCCTAAGATTTATATGAAACATTTAAAAGATTTTTTATACATTATGTCTATATATCGGAACAACTATGAAACAAGAGGTATAATCTGTAAGGAGTGTATGTGTGTGGCTAGGAGAACCGTTATCGTTTGCGTCGATAGGAGTGTTTAGTCTAAGCTAGAGTAGGTATCGAGTGAGGTGTTTAGGTTTAAGCTGAAATACGTTTTAGAGACTGCGTCTCGAACGTGCGTTTTGTTTAGATCATTATTATAAGATAGGAATAAGGAAGGGTCGACTTTGACTGCAGGAACGTCACTCTGTATCGAACGTTAGTCGAGAGCAATCACAGTTTTACGTTTATGATCTTTTACGTTTACGTTTTATGTCTTTCTTTTATGTTCTTTATGTTAAATAGTTAGTAAATATTAAATAATATAATTACATCGTTACGTTTAGTGTTCACGTATTTGAATCCGTCCACACGCCTTTGAAATGAGAACATAAAACTTAAATGTAAAGTTTCATTTAAATTCATTCAGCTATTTATATTCAATCGTATTAATAATATACATATGTGTGCTCATACATGGTAATAAAAAAAAATTTCTTTTTTTTCAATAATTAAAATATGATCAGGAGGTCTTAAAACGTGTATTTCCGCAAAATAAATTTTACAAAATTTTTTTTTCATTATGGGTACTTTGCTTATGTGCGCCTACATAGGTCGGAAAGTAAAAATGCCTGGGCAGTCGAGAATCTCGGCTCGAGAATCCAAATCGTATGCCGTTGACGGGAGGTCGGATTTCAGTTGTTTAGAGCGAGAAGGCAAATGTGAGCCTTTCTCTCTCGACTCCCACGAGGCGATACGAAATTACTTCGGGCAGCTTCGGAGAATCGAGAAAGAGGGCATGCGTCAGTTTGCCTTTGTCGACTTTCCGAAACTCCACGAGCTCACGTACGCGTATCTGGCATGTGTGCGTGTGCACCCGGCGGTGCTTTTCTGGCATCTCTGGTTCGTTCTAACTTTATTAACATTTTTTGCTTAATGCCATTGGTTTTTCGATCCTTCGAAACTTTATAAGATCATATGCATGCGATTGGGCATAGTAAGAAAGTGGAAGGAGAAATTCCGAGTGCACCTGCACCCGGTGCGCGGTCTGGTAACACTGTGGTCGATACGATCGAACGCGAGATTATGTGGAACGTAACTAAGCTACATACCTGGTTCCAGAAGACGCGTGATATCTGTCTAGCAGTCGTGTCCAATATGGCGTTTGTATTGTGAATTGCATTAACGTGCAGGTAAGACATGGTAAAACTTGATCGTTTTTCGATTTTCATCCGGCAGATAAATTAAACGATGAAAATCTGCATAACTTATGGTCGTGACTTCATGCGTTTGCTGGTACTTCTAATCGCGTTTTGTAGAACTGAATGTTAACGCAACATTTTCCTTAAAATATGTGAACTTTGTCAACCTTTGCACCTTCAAGGTCCGGATATTGAGGTACGTTTTCGATGACAGGTGTGTCTTACGAAAAAAAAGTGTTCTTTATCGAATTATTTCGCAAAAAAGACCAAGTTTTTACAGAACGAAAAAAAAAAACGTAGTTTGAGACAGATTCGTCAAATGATTAAATCCGACGTTGGCAACTGTTAGCGTATTTAGGTCTGAGCGAGGCAGAGCTGAATAAAATTTGCAATATGAGTGTTTTAAATTCCGTTACAAGTAACGAATGTCGAAGCGAATATAAATAAAATAATATTTCAGTGTAAGATGAAAATATAAAAAACGAAGTAGTTTTATTTGAATAATAAAAAACTTAAATAAAATGAAAGGTATAATTGATTGTAAATTAAAGTCGAAACAAAATTTGGAATGGGAGCGTGCTATGGGCTACTGGTTTGTAAAATCTGTTCTACATTTCAGTTGTTTGCTATTGAAATAAATCTTTTGTTTGTATTTATTTTGGCGCTTACTATTTGATGTAATGTTTTAAACAATTAAATCTCAAATGTGTTTATTTCAAGTAAACCAATTTCTATTTAATGTAAAATATTACAGGTATATCCAAATATTAGGGCATTAATAAATATAAAATGAAGATATAGCTTTATGATTTAGAAATTTATTCATCTAGATAGATTTTTATTTACATCAATTAAACAAATATTTAATGCTATTCATACGATTGCATTTTAATAAAAATTTTCGATTTATTTCCACAGGTTCTGCTCCTGCCTCCAGTGCAATTGCTTTTGTAGATAAAGGGAATGAGATAAACATAGCAAATCTGTAGTCAAACAATGTACAATGAACTACGGTGGGAATTTGCCAGATTGGCACCAATTTAATGCCCCACAGACGAATGAAGTAACACCTACAACTCAAAATGTGAACTCTGGTCATTTGACATTCATTCCTGGTGTTAGTCCACCAACGTTGAATGCACATAGTCTTAGCTCAGATGGTTTCAATAAGCATCAAACTGAATCCAACTTCAATTCAAGAAATTTCCAATCCTATAGTAATGTCTCGAGTGGTCCAAATCTGTCTAACAACAGCCCTCTCACGTCCATGGTACAAATGCAAAACTGCATTGGCCATTATGGTTCTCCAAATACAAGAAATCCTATGCTAGATAACTTGAATGTTTCTGTGAATCCTAGAAATAATGCAATTGGAACTATAAATGATGAAATAGGATATAGAAGTAACCAGGTGCCTTTCAATGGACCTATTGGTCACTTAAGTGGGCCAAGTTGCAATCTAAATGCAGCAACTGGGCCTGCTCCTGGCCCTGGGCCCCAAACTAATTCTGGACCAGGACCTGGAACTAATCCTGTAAATGGAAATGGGCCAGGTTCTATGTTTGGATCTGGCCCTAGACATGGACATGGACCTGTATCTGGATCAGGGCCTGGACCAAGCTCAGGAGCGGGAAATATGGGATCAAGGAATACTAATATTGGTTCAGTACCCCATGGAAAACCTGGACCTTCCTCATTTGTGCCTTGTAAGGGGCTGTGCTGTAATACAGATCCTAACATTAATTATCAACAATGGGAAAAATTTGGATCTTATCAAAATAATACATCGTACACGGACAATGTACACCCATCAAGCTACCAAATAGAAAACAGGCACTTCGGGAATAATTGTAATTTTAGAAAGGACAATTTAAAAAGTAAAGAAGCAATGGGATCTGTAATGCCGAATGTATCTGCTGTAGATCATAGAAGAAACTTCACCGATTACAAATACCATAAAGATCATTTAGCACATAGAAACTATTCAGCATCTTCAGGCGTGTTTCATAACTATTCTATACAGAATTACAATTATTCACCCGAACATCAAAAGTACCCTTATCCTGTTAAAGGACATCCAAAGAGGAATAATATGAATATGTCAAATTCAGGAATGCTTAAGCATCAAGAACAAAATTTTATTGCTCAACAAAAATTTAATAATAAACCATTTCATTATCAAAATGAAAATATGTTACCTGAAGGCGTGCCTACTTTAAATGTTACCGGAAACATTGCATCAACCTCCCAGAATCCTTATTTTAGTTCACAATATGCAAGGACCATTCCAACGGAAATATCTCGTGAATGTCAAGAAACTACTGATAATGTTGCAGTAATAAATAGAATGCCAGGTACTTATATGCACAATTCTCCTGCTCAACAACAAGTTTATCAACATAAAATTGCAATGCAAAAGTTTTCAATGGAAAACCATCTTCGGGAATTGAGTAGAATACCCGGGTACCAATCACATCCAAAATACAAAGAATGTATTCTGAGGTACAGAGAAATATTGAAATTACAGCAATCAACGGGTTATCAAAATCCCATTCAACAAACATCGCGTGTTGCAACGCCGGTTAACGCTGTAGTACCACCGATTAATTTACAATTTGATCAGAATGGTATGTTAATAAACTCAAATTTCGTGGCGGAAGGTTTTCCTAAATTGCAGCATACACCGACTGCAGAACAACAGTCGAAAAGTATGGAGAAACAACAGAAGGACCAAGCTATTGCTATAGCCAATGAAAAGTGTCAAGAAACACAACAGTCAGGACAATTAATGGTTCCCTCGCAAAGTGAACATACTTCTTCCTCGTGCGCGCAGAACTTTCAAAAACAGTTTTCAATACACAAAGACTTTAATCAAAACCAATTAAAAGTACAAACGAGCGAGAGTCGTAGGTTTGATGCCCTGAATACGGATACTAGCAACAAAACAATGATGCAACAGAAAGCTTCTAAACAATTTGCCAATAAACCAGACCTTGATGTTCGACAATTTTTGGCCAATTGGGACGAAACTGACGACGAAGAGGGACCGACATCGAATTTGCCAGATACTGTTTTAAGTGATACCACTCCAGTCGTAGTCGTGAGCTATGAGAACGTAGATCTTTCAGCGAAAACACCACCAAATATAGAGGTGTCCAGAAGGGACAGCTTCGATTCGAACGAAACGACGTTGAACAACGAGAAAGAGGCCGAAGTAAACATGGTAACAACGCAAGATTGTTTGACGATATCGTATTCGGCGTCAAAAAGCACTGAAATTGCCAAAACCACTAAACGGACTATAGAAGAAGGTGTGGTAAAACCTGGGAGTATCTTACATTGTATAAGCAATGGTCCTGATGAGATACCCATGATACATATAGTAGATAATTTAGAAATAAGCAACATTTTAGGAGCGTCCGAAGATCAGGTTATAGAGACTTTAGAAAAGCAAAAGACAATATCGTTTTTTAGAGAAGCTAATAATGAAACAAAAGCGGTCGCTCTTAAAAGTGTCGAACAGCATAACAAAAATGAAACTTGTGTATTGTCTACTAATTACAATACGTCTCTTAGTAACGTGAATAAGAATACAAACATTCAGGATTCTAGGATTTCAGAAACAATTCAAACGGCCGCCGCATCGATAAATAATCAAGAACTGAGAGTATTATCAGCATCAGCAAAAAGTAATTTGGACATTACTGACAATCTAGATCTGAAGAAGCAAAGCAGTTTCGCCAGTGAAGAATCCCATAATCCTGATGACATAAGCTTACCAGATCTACCGACATCTGAGTGTACACCGATCTCCACAACTTTGAACACACCTATTCATTCTGATAGCGAGGAATCTTCGCAAAATATCGAAGATCTATCTATATCTACGAATCCGATAGAAGTAATGCAAAACAGTCCGGTAATTAGTTTCACACAGTCTCCAGTAAAAATGGAACCATATGGGCAATTGAGCAGCGGGGATAGACTTAAAAATAGATCTCTTGGTACATTAGAATTGGAATTTCAAAAAGAAAATAGTTACAAAGACAACGACGCTACTAGTACTCATGAGCAAGAAGTAAATCTTAGTAATTTCGACTTCTCTGCAGGTAGTTCTAAAACAAAATCTGCTGAGATTGTTAGAGATAAGCAAGTCAAGAGTCTTAGAACTAATATGATAAAAAGGAAAGTTTTCTTAATAAATAGTAAAGAAAACGATGCAAGAGTTTCAGACACATGTGCTGCTTTAACATCCATCGCGTATGAACTAGAGGTTCAACAGGAGGCAGTAGAAAGTGAAAAGAATTCGGAATGTGGATCTCCTAACTCTGTGCATGACGGAAAACATAAAGGTTTGAGAAAATCAACAGATTCAATGAAATCTGTAATTCAAAATAGTGACTCTATAACAGATGTAAATAATATCGTACATGCCGTGATTTTAACTGATTCTAATGTAAATTTGACGAGTCCTATGGAGTCCGACGACGAAACTGAAGCATCCAAACAAGAAAGAGAGTTATCCAAGAGCCAGAAAATACAACATTTGAATGTATCTATTAATACTATTAACCCAACTCTGTCAGAAGCTGATTTAAACACAAGGAAAAGGATAAAGGAATCTGTGGTTTGGGAAGATAAATGCGCAGATGGAAATGTAGATAAATTATTGAAAGTCCAGAAAAGAAATGCGGAACATTTAACACAATCAAAACATTCTGACATGAAAAGATTCGTTGATGATGATTCAAACTCGTCTAAAGATGATGAACATTCTGTGTGCCATATGACTTCTCAATACAAGAATTATTCCGTTGCTGTGATAAAAGATAACACTATTTTAAGTAATCAGAAATCACACAGTACCACAGAGAAAATTGTAAATGTCTGCTGTGAAAAGTCACCTGAATTTCAGTTAAGAACAAACAATACCAAAGAGCTTTCTGAAGAGGTAAAACTTAAGAAACATGTTTCTAACAAACTTATTTCAACATTGCATGAAAATGTTCATTCTCAACATTCTAAGAGGTCCGAATTACTGCACAAAGATTTGGAAACTGTAGATGGAGATCTTAGAGTTACTACAGACGAAATACGTCTGTTGAATGAGTATAGAAGAAAGAAAGATAGATTGCAGCAAGATAAAAATACAGAAGAAAAATTACAAACGGTAAATGATAATACGGTTTATCATAAAAACAATAAAATGGAATGCTCGCAACTTAAACAAAACAATGAATTATTAGCAGTACACAAAGAAAACCTGGAACAGAATGTTTCATCTCTGGTTAATGTAAATTCTGAGAATATAGAAACGCCAGAGGAAGTAAACAGACATGGGTATTCAAAGAGTTTTGTTAAAAATGTTAACTCTGACTTTGGAATTCAAGTTGCGAACGTGAACTTAAAAATTAAGGACAGCGAACTTGGAAAAGAATTGATCTTAAGAGATAACTGTCAGGAGCACATCAAAGATTCTCTGGACGGGATAAAGATCGAGATAAATTTTTCGCGTACAGAGCGAAATTCGAAAGGACAGGAGCAGAATAAACAGTTATTATATGAGAATTTCAAAGCACTAGATGATCGGAACGTGTATGAAATTGATAGTTCGCTTCCTTATTCCATTCCCACCTATTCTAGTAATACACTAGACTGTCAGCGTCGGCTGCATTGTAAAGAACAAGAAACAATGGACAATTCGAAAACTTTTGATAAAGTTCATAAAGTAATTGAAAAATCTTCTACAATAGTAGACGTTGCTTCTGGTGAAGCAAATAAAACTGAAAGCAATGCAGCAACACCAGCTACAGACACAAATGTATGTACCACTCTCAAAAAGAATGGAAGAAATTTATTAAAAGCAAATGAAGATGCTTTAATATCTGTTACTTCCAAAGCAATGCGTAATTTAACTTCAGAAAGTCAGTGTTTTAATAAATTATTACACAATAATGTATCGTGTAAAGATACATCAAAATCAGAGGTAATTGAGGGTACCAATTATTCTCATGATGTTGATACAATTAAGTCAAAATGTGCAATATCTAATACTGCCATAGTTGATGCAAATAATATGTTAATTAAGGCAAAGACTAATTTTGAGGAAGAGGATAGTTCTATGAACACAAAAGATGATAGTATAAATAGAATAAAAAAACAAAGTTCTAATGTACTAGAGACTTCTTCACAAGCAGCGATAGAAACATTAAAAAAGAACGACGAGAAAGAAGCGATTAGTGTGCCTCATATGTCAAAGACTGTGAAAAAACTACCAGAGCTGAATCTGGTAGAGTTGAGCACGAAATCGCTAAATTCCTTGAGCACTCTAAACTTCAATTTTGATAAGTTGGACTACAAGGAGTGCTCAGGTGTAAGTTTCGATCACGTTCGTCCGTACGTGGATGAAGTCGGTGAGATGGACGACAATTACATGGGAAAGTGGAAGAAGCCAAAGATAGATCACATTTTTGAAGACTGTGAAATATTCCAAAGTACCAGTGGGTACATAAATCCTATTTTTTCAAGCATAGATAAACTGGAGGAGAATATGCATACAGTTCCTGTGTACACTACCAAAGATGGAAAGATATCTTACAGTCCTAATCGAAGATTCGCACATCATGAATTGATGATGGAAACTCGCAAACGAGAGGGATGTTCTACACGAAAGTCTCACTACACTGATACTTGGAATAGCTATTACAGTTCAAAGTTTCGCAAGTTATACAAGAAAAAACGACACCATAGTTTCAGTGACAGGAAAAAACATGAGTTTAAAGACATGAAGTGCCTATATGAACGTAAAAGAAACAATTTGGACGACTTTTGTGAGAGAAATCATGTTAAGTATAAGGACTACATGCATGGCATTAAAAGTAACAATGCAGTTGTATGTAAAATATACAGCAGTAGTGATTCTGATGAGGAAATTGTAGACCGCAATAAGTATCGTATTGTTGAAGCAAGCAATCAGAAGAAGAGTCACACTATCGAGAATAAAGTTACTACAATTACTTCTAAATTGCATAAGAACGAATTGGTTACAGATGACTTAGACCTACAAAATAAAAATAAAGAAAGTACTACATCTGATGCGCACTCAAGCAAAGAGGAAGTCATTTATTTGGAAGAGACACATTTGGTTCAGTCACATACTTGCAATAAAAATAATAACGACAAAAATTGTCAGACTGCTGATAATAATTTGAGCAATATTCTTACTTCAGATGCACATACTTCAATCGTATTACATTCGAACTACGGGAACGCAGATGAAAATATTAAATCAGATGTAAATGAATTCTCAACATCAACTATATCCCAGGATTTTACTTCAGAAAACCTTCAGTTAAGCAAAGATAATGATTCAAATGATAAATATCTTAGTCCAAATCCTATTGTAACTGTAGATACAAATACTTCTAGCAATGTTAAAGAAACGATAAGTATTATAGATAAATTGTCGAATTCAAAGTTTCTGGAAGAAGTAGCTTTATTGAATAAGAATGATCAGATTCTTAGTTCATATTCTGATAAAGAGGACAAAAATGATGAAATGCAGGTTTTAGAAGATCCTGTACATAATAAGGAACAAACAGAAGAAAATAATCTAGAGATATTGGATATCCAAGCTTCCCCTTTGGGAACTGAAGATAATTCTGAAAATATGAACCATACTGAAACTTGTAAAGTCTTAAAAATTAATCAGACTAGTAACACGATTGAACAGAAGTCAGAAGATTTTTTAAAGCCAGAAGAATCCGCAAACGCATCTACCGAAATAATAGATACATCATTTATAAAGGATATGGGCGAAGTAAACGACGAAAAGCTTATAAAATTTGGGGAAAGTAATTTGGTCTGTGAACAAGAGAGTAATATTATTGAGAAAGTACAAACTTTAAATGAAGAACAAAAGCACGAAGAGAGTACAAATAAAGACATAGAAGAGAATATTGAATCTTTGGACTACGAAAACAGTGATTTGCCGAAAGACAGCTCAGAAATAAATACTGATACCTACATGAACCAAGAGGAGTTTGAATCTCAAATAATGAAGGTAGATACAACTGATCAACAAGATCCAGAACATATTTTTGTTGAAACAGTTAAGAATGATAGAAATGTAAATATGAATTGTGAACAAGCAAATGCTGCAACAGTTGAAAAATTTGAAGAGTCGATTTTTGCAGATCTTTCCAAGAACACAGTTTATATTGAGAATGAGAATATCATTGAAAACAATGTGGAAATTCTTTTACCAAATATAAAGGATACTCCAACAGATCATTCAATGGTATTATTTGATAATTTAAAAACGCATTCAAATATAAATTGCCTTAATGAACTTAAAGATGAACAAAAAATTAATCTTAATCAAGATTCTTCGATAGAAAATGAGATGCCAGTTTTGAGTGTATACTGTGCCACCAAAGATTTTTCAACTGAGGATACTGATAGTAGAAAAAATGAACAGGAAGGAAAAGAGTGTCAGTCGTCGTCTTTTAATTCTTATAAAAGTCCAGGCCATTCGTCAGAAAACAATGCAGACATGAAAGCAATACCCAAGCTTGTCATAAAGAAAACTGAGTCATTAAGTTCAAAATCAGAATGTTCATTAGATTATGCAGAATTTGAGAATCTTGCTCATAAATATGATACAAAACTCTTAACTGATGTACGCCAAAAAATACCAAAAATGATAATTACGAAAAACAGGTCTCGCTCGGTAACCCCTACTGTTGAAATTTTGGACAGACCTAAATCTGAAAGAATACAACAGACACCTTCTTCAGAATACAGTGATACCTGCATAGATGTGGATAATAGTGATTCTGAACTGTACACATTAAAATATAATAATTATGCAAGCAAAGTACCAAAAGTAAAAATAAAATTAGAGGATATATCTTCTAAGGACTTAAAGTTATATTTGAAAAGAAAAGCTATTAAACAGAGCGTTTCAAAGGTAAAGATTAAAAAAATTAAAACACAGGAGAATAAGACTTCAACAACGAAATTTGAAACGGAAGATAGTTCAGAAATAGAAACGACTGATACTGATAACGATGAGAGAACTGTACGGGAGTCATTAACCAATGATGCTGAGAAAGTACCAAAATTGAAGTTAAGAATGCAAGAAGAAGGCAAGTCTTCATCGCCAGATAGAACCAAAGAGAAAGATATGAGTATTTCGAAAATGCCTTTCAAAAAAACTAGGAGAACAAGAGAAGAAGATACAAGGCATTCTATAAAATACGATAAAACTAAAATTAATGATGATGAGATAAAAGGAAAATATTCACAGTACATTACTGAAAAAATTCCCAAAGTTATAATAAAGAGAACACAAATTGGTACAGAATTCAAATGCGAAATTAGTAAATGTAAGAAGACTTTAGAAATTGAAACATCAAAGTGGCAACCAAAAGTTAAACTACAAAGACTCGAAGTTTTGGATCATATGGTCATGGATTTAAATCAATCAAAAGTCATATTGAAAGACAAATCTTTTATAAAGACAATGACCAATATGTCTGTACATACTGAAGATGATATTAGTAATAAAGATTTAAATCACAATAGTAAAGTAAAACTATGTAGATCTAGTTCAACATCAAACTTGTCTCCTGTTAAGTGTAAACAGAGAAGATTATCTGACCCTGATTACACGAAAGTAAATGCAAAGTCAGTTGATTTCATTAGTACTAGCCCCAGAGACAATAAACATAAATCACTGAATATTAATGAAATATCTAATCTCAAAGCAGTTGACACTGAGAACAAAAATTTGAAAAGGAACAGTAAGAAAAGACTACTTTCTCAACATAGTAAGGTGAATTATAGTCAAAATGATGAAAGTGAAAATGAGATGAAAGAATCAATTAAATCTAAGAATATTACAGAGAGCTCCTTTGAAAATCTTTTAATGAATGATAACAATGATCTAGTGGTTGAGAAAAAGGAATATTCATCTTTTGGGACCAAGGAAAATACGTCTTGCATAGAAGATAAACTTGTAAGATCTGGTATTATACGTTCGCGTAATTTTGATGATACTGACAATTCCATAATTAAAGTTGACTCTTCAGATGAAAGTCAAACCACTATAGAACTTCTACCAGCGTCTCCCGACAGCAGTGAAGATGAATCAAAAAACTGTAAATTTGAAAGTACAAATAGACTACATATAAAAGATGCAGTACCAACTCAATTGGAGTTGGAATTAGAACTTATTGATAATAGTAATATACAACGTTCAGATATACTTGAGCCGAAAATTAATGAACTAAACTTCATGAACATCGAAAAATGCGATCATCCATCACAGTTCAGAAAATACACTAACAAAGAATTGGCGAAAGCATATTTCAGTAATCTTCAATGTTCTTCACGAAATACCTTCGACCAACACAAGGCACAAAGTCCAGAAAGAAATTCAAATAACTATTTTTATTGTAATGACTTGTTAGTTAAAGAAGTATTAGCTGCTAAGGAAACACTAAAGAAATGTCTAACGCGATCTATAGACGAAAATACAGAGAAGAAAATATCGAGACATAAAACAGTAGCAGAAAAGAAGCAAGGTTTAAGTTTCAATTTTAAGAACCTTGAAAAGTCCTATAGTAAGTCTGAAGATGTACACTGTAACAATGATAATGAAAATGTGAAGATACATAAAAAATCTGGAAGTCCAGAAAAGAATGACCATAAATCTATTCTTAAATTAAACATTGGGGAAGTAGAAGATAAATTACCCTCTGCAGGGAAAAACTTAAAATCAAAATTAAATGAGTTACAAGATGAAATACCTTACTCTACAGAAAGCCCTACAGCTTCAACCTGCGGATATATTGGTGTATCCGAGTCAACTACCATTTCTTTAAAAGCTACTAAGAAATTCGGTCGAATTACAACAGATGAAGAATCCTCAAATATAACAGCAGACAGTTTTCATCTGACGAATAAGGAAAGTAACATACATGATACAGAAATGTTACAAGGCGAAATATCCGAAGAGAAAACGACTAGTAGTACTAAAAATCAGAAAGATAATAACAGTAGAAATGAAACAAAAACAAACGAAGACAATATGCCATTATTAGTGCCAGAGTCTGCTTTAAATTTTGATTCCAGTTCAGATAGAGATAGTTCCAGATCTCCACCTGTTATAACGAACCAAGAAGAAGCGGAAAATGGGACAGAAGATGCAGAAGATATGAAGAGTAAAGTAATAACTCCAATTGAGAAAGTAGAAGAGAACGAGAAACATTCCTACAAAGACTGTGAAATGACTATCGCTGATATTATTACGCAATTGGCTTACCATGAAAAAGTAGATAAAATTTTATACTTTTTATAATTAAAAATATTAGACATTCAATGTTTTCAACGAACCTAACAATTTTAATATTATGTTGCAGGCAACAATCAAACATAGAAGATACTGCAATTTATGTGAAAGATGGTTTCCTACAACTTCACGACATCGACGACATTTAGCTGGATATCAACATCGTTACATGGAATTGGCACAACGTAAAAGTATCCATGCTCTTTTCATTCTGTTCACTGGCAAGCCCTGTCCAAGACTCTTGCCAGCAAACATTTTTCGCAAAGATTGTTCCATAGGAGAATTAACGCCTTTACAAATCGCTGTTCAGGTATAATTATATAATTCGTTTTTATTTTATTAATACTCTACGGCCATGTAGAATAAGGCGCGAGCTCTAAAAATGGTTTTTACGATTTTACTTTTTCTAAATCTGTGATATTCGGTTCCTAATTTTGTTTAGTCTTGTGTTAATTAATTTTTTAATCACAGAAATTATATGTTTTACATACTTAAAGAAAAGTGAATTACTCGTCGATATAAGTCAACAATGTGTGATATTATTAATTATTTGTTTCAGGATATTGCAAAATATGTAGAACATACACAACAGGATTTTAAAACAAAAGAGTGATAGCACCAATCACTGCAAATTATTTTGGCTGCGTACATACATTCCCTGTGATTGCCTATAGTGGAAAAAATAGTGTGAGTACCTCTAAAAATAAAGTACTGTAAAGAACAGTAAGTGAAAAAGTCTGTGACACTTTCAATCTCAATTGAATTGTACATGTTCATTATATAATTACTTCTAGTAGTAATAATATTACTATTGTACAATTACAAAAAGAAATTAACATCTATGAACTGTGCAAAAATGCGTTGTTGATCGATGTTAATTGTTAAAAGTTACTTGAAAAAAAATTATTTTGAGTAGTTAGATATTTAGCCAAAGATTTTAGCTACAAAGTACATGTTAGATTATTTATAGTTTTCGAAGACTGCACAGTCTTTTATTTGTACAAATGAAGTTTTATGAGTAATATAATAAGTGAATGTGCTCGTTATAAATTTTTATTTATATTATGAAAAGACTTATACATATGATGTATAAATATACATATATATATATACACACACACATACACGTATATAAATTTAAATATATATGTATATTTATTATTATTGTTTTAAGAAAGATATTTACTCTTACAACGTTAAACAGACCTAAAAATATATACAGTTATATTTGTATAAAATCAAATATTTTAAACAGGGGTAGTCAATGTAAAAGATATCTATATTGTATGTTATAAGATAAAATTAATGAACTATGAAATGTTAAAGTTTTTTAAATTAATGTAATGGGTATATATGGCTAGTAAAACATTCAGTTACTGTTATAAATTTCAGAGTACACAAAATTTATAGAAAAAATTATCTCAGTTATTATTATTCCACATCGAATTTGTATTTAATAATATCACTTATATTATACAGGGTGTTCTGCCACCCTTGGACAAAATTTTAATGGAAGATTCTAGAGGACAAAATAAGACAAAATTTTTCCCAGGGGTGGCCGAACACCCTGTATATTAATATATTTCTATTTGTATATTTAAAGAATGTTGAATCTTCAAACTAATTTATTTCTTTTTAATATAAAAAATATAAATATTTGTTTTTTTAATTCTCTTATTAAATATAAGTAATTCGCGTATTTTGTAAAAATAATATTAATTCAACAGTAACATCTCATAGTTCATGGAAATATTTACACATAATACAGTGATACCTGTTCACTCCCCCTGTCACATGTTTATGTTTGATTCAAACTATTTAAATGTGCCTAATAAGTTACTGTTCATAAAGTAATGAAATTTTTAATTATTTTAAATGTTATTAATGTTTTTCTTTTTATTATATTAATACACATGTACTGGGAGTATGAAAAATCCTTAAAGAATAAGTTCCTGAAATAGAAAGAAAAGGAATAGATATATTTCCTGTTAAGAGGCTAAACAGGTATTAGTACAGGGTTTTAGACTATATTGACAATCGCTTTATAGTTTTCTTTTTCCTGGTTTATATTATAAACAATAAAAAATATAATGAAAATCACTTTAACGATACGAAAGATCTAGTTCAATCGTTAAATTTAACCAAATAGAAAAAAAAATATATATATATATATGTAGTAATATATATATATATATTTTTTGTATATATACATATACACACATAAGTTTATTACTTGTTATTCCACTTAATGTTTCGTTTCATAAGTTTATTTCAACAATTTCATATTTTATTCGCACGAGTGCCTTAAGATACACCTAACAGTATTTGTCGTATCGTGTTGTATATAAGATTAAATGAAACTATATATTTTATGCGTATTTCTAATGTTCTTGTATGAAATGTGCATAACGTATGTTACAATTATGGGAACATATAATAAAAAATGTACAGTTGTTTAAAATATATAAGCTATCTTTTTGTAAATTTATGAATCAAATTTATGTTATTTATATATCTTTTAATGCAATTTTAATATAAAGGTCACTTTCATAGATGTGTACTTTAAAAATCGATATATGTATAAAGTAATTGATTAATTATATACAGTGGGATAAGTGCTCTCATAATTATGCTTTGTTATGCACATATTTTATATCAGCGTGTGTTCTATGTGCCTAAATTTTAAAGAATTTATATACATTAAAGTTCAAACATGCATAATACTACTTATGCACATTTAACATAATATAATAATGCATCACATGTATATTTTGTAGAGAAAAAAATATGAAAGATTTTTATAAATACTGATAATTATGTGGTGAAGAATTGTATCTGTTTGGTAGCATGTGTGCTATGCTTTAAAATAAACCTAAAAATTTTTAAATATCTTAGTTATGGATATATAATATCCATGTAAAATAAATGCAACAGAATTACAAATATGGCATTTTTTATCCAACGTTATAATAATCGACCAAATTTGAGTATTTCAGTTTTTTTTTCATTTTAATATAATTAGTTCATTATGTAAATTTAAAAAACCAACATATTCTTGAAAAATCAAATTATATTCAACACATACTTTATTTGGATAAGCAATGGATTTTTAGTACATTTAATTATTGACTTCCATTAATATAAATTAATGTAAGATTGCACTGATTCAGATATTTTCAATAAAAAAATTTATATTTAAGAATATGAATAATTATTTTATTCTTTGATATAGTTATATTGCTATTGAATTCGAAGATCAAATTTTCTGTACAAGTTAAGAATCAATTTATAATACTACTGATATATAGAGGTGTATAATTTAGAAATTACGTATTCTGCTATTTTTTCAGTAGAATTTATTAAGAATTTTCAAATTATTTTTAACAGAATTTCAAGTTAAATAACATTCCATGCATTAAATAACAAACTAATTTTGATGCACCCATCTGACTGTAAAAAGTAATGTAATATCTTTAAAATGATCTAAATATCGAACTTTAATTTGTAGTTTTTTTATACTTTCAAAAATTTCGAGTTCATATTACATGTCAGATACGAGTCAAATGCAGCACCATTTGAATGGGGCAAACCTGTATAGTAAAATAAGAGCAATTGTATATTTTTACAATGTTTACAATTGATCATTTCATGAAAAATATTAATTTTTTAAATAATTTTAACTATGCAATTTGGAATCAAGGGGAGAATTTATACCAGTATTTTTCAAAGTAAACGGCAAGATAGAAAATTTTTAATGTAAAAAAAACGTGGAAAATTTAGACATCTTTTTTCGATAATGCATCGATCATTTAAGTTAATGATTGCAGGAGTATATTTTTCATATATCATTTTAAATATATCACTTACTCCGGGTGCAGAAATCCTCTTTCTTCTTAGGGTGGTGCCTTCTGAATAAACTTAAAAAAACACTGGTTTATATAGTTCTGTTAGTTTTATACACTGCGTGTGGATTAATATATAATAAACGTATGGCATATACAACACTAAGCTGCAAGTGTTTTAGATCTGTAACATCCTTTCAATTTTAATATCTCTAATGAATTAATTTAATTTTAAGTGGCAGTTACAGTAAATTTCAAACAGTTCGTGATTATGATATAATTAATCATGATATGTATTGGCAACCAAATTTAACGGCTATTTAAATTTGTGGTGAAAATTTTTGTAAGAATTCTATGACAATTTAAATTTTAATTGCAAACAGCAAATTTATATATATTTCTAAAAACGTTATGTAAATGTTACGTATCTAAACACAGAACCATTCCATAAATAAGAATAAGAAATTTTATTGGTAGAAATAAGAATTGTATGAATCAATAGAATATTATCTGTTATTGTGCTTAGGCTACAAAAGTGTATACAAAAATCTAGTTAATATATTAAAGAAATAATAAATATTGAAAATTATCGTGTATCTTTTAATGTATTTATACATCCTAAGTTATAATTATTTCTTTAATCAATACTCCTATTAAATTATTACAAAATGTATCACTAGTTCATAGTTTCTAAAACACTGTTAAAGCTATCTGCTGTTTTCATTCTAGACAAGGAGATAAATACGTAGTAGTGCAATGAAAAGATTAACATTCTAATATTTTATAGAGTAAAGAGACCTTCTGCGCGAGTGGTATTGGATTAAATGTTATAATCATCAACGTTTGTAAGGTAAAATTACTCGACGCTGTTCACATTTTGTTTACTCGTAGTACCTATTACATTTCCCTTGTTCCAGGACTGTTTTTTTCACTAATTGAATATCTAAAAAATTATTAGTTGTAGATCAGAAGTACTATGCTTTGCTGAGAAGAAGTCCACCGAAAAGAACGGACGCATCTAGTTTATCTTGAGCTGTGACCGATCCTCGCATTTACAAATATATGTATATATTCAGGAAGATCTCGCTAATTTATTGAAACTTCCCTCATTAATATAAAATAAGAATTATACAAAATTTCATATTTCATACAACGGAGCGACGATTTGTGTTGGCCAGCGGCCACATTGGGCAATTCCTGGAAGACGAACTCGTTGCGGTTTTGGGTATCAGTGTTAGTATGTCACCAGGCCTAAGCAACGTGTAATTAACGAGTCCCTACTGGCTAATTCTAAATGACAATAGAAACGATAGTCCCAATAAAGAGAAACAAAGAGTTGAAATGGACTCGCAGATATAACGCGCCAACAATACGAATTTATATTATTGCGTGCAGGTCATGGATATATAAAGGTAAAAATAAAACATTACACAAAGTTCATTTTTCATTAATGGATGACTCATTTGGCAAGTGCGTGCCTTAGACCTATTTTAGACAGAACTTGTACTTTATTTGACTATATTTTTGATGTATTATTAAATAAATCATTTAATAACTTATTGTAGGAATCGAAGGGAAAACAGGGCACGGACTGCTATTATTTAAATAGTAAAAAACGCTTTTTCCTACTCGGTTTCAAACAGCGTGACAAATGTACAGTTATTTAAAGAACAGTCCTTTGGTAGTCAGAAGAGGACAGAAATAATTTATTTTACATCTTTCATGAAGGGTGTTTGTTTTAAATATTAATATATGAAAAATATGAGAATGATAGAACAATATTTTTGTTTTTTCAGCTATAAGACATTCCAGTGAATCGTATAAGTTTGTTAAAGGCAGACAATTTATTGTGCGCATTTTAATCTTAATAGAAAAAAATTCCACAGTAATAGGTACATTTACCGTATGACTGTGTAACAGTGTGTAGATATCTATCTGTGCGAGGCCATATGAATCTGTGTTATCTTTATGTCTCTGTCAAACGGAACCGCGTAAGTGAGTATAATTATTTTTTTCTCGTGCTTTATTCCGTTTGTTGTCTCGGCTCATATACTCCCCGCCGTGCCAGGTAGCTTATGGTAAAATAGTGTAACTGTGTATGTTTGCCTGTGTGAGGCTGTAAGAATCTGTTATCTTTAAATGACCAGGGTAAACTCGTCGAGGGGAGCGTGCGGTGATCGGGTCCTCGCACGCAGTGTGGGAGAAGCGCTTTCCCTTCCCTCAGGGAATGTGCAAGCAAGTGACCATACAAAACAATGTGCGAGAAAGAGACAGTTACATTCGCTCATGCGCTTTTCTCTAAAAGAGAGCGTAAACCAAAGGGTCGCCTTGTTCCAAGCAGCTATTAGGATTGGTGGGGATAGAGACGAGCAAGTTGGGAGTCTCCCAAGCGACATCTTTCGGGGCACTACTGTATAGAAGACTTGCATGAAAGGAAACCGAACGCTCTCCAACGAGTTTTGGATATCAGCTGTTATTCGTTCGGTGTGCGCCAAGAATTTATTACAAAGATGGCAACTGGTAAAAGAAATAATAAGTCTGTGTTCTCGATACAACAGAGATACGAAATTGTGCAACAATTAAAAAATGGCGCGTCAGCCAGACGATTAGCTGCTAAATATGATGTTCATCCTACTACTATTCGACGCATTCGGCAAAATGCAGCGGCTGTGTACCAGTTTGCAAAGGAAGGGGTCGCAATGAGAACGCGGAAAAATACACGGAAGCCGGCGAACGAAGAATTGGATAACCGGATGTACATGTGGTACTTGGAACGAAAGGCGATTGGCAAACCGATTACGAATTTATTATTGCTGGAAAAAGCAATAGAATTCAATAAAGAATGTGGAGGACCATCGAAACCTATCTTCAAAGCGAGCAAAGGCTGGCTATGGAAGTTCAAGAACCGTCACGGAATCCGTTTAATAAACGACCCCAACAAAAAGAAGGATACAACAACCGCGGAACAATTTGTAAATGATTTCGCGCGACGAATCGAGCAAGAGGAAATTGAATACAGGAACATTTACAACATGGACGTGACTGCTCTCTTGTGGAAGGCTCTTCCTACGAAGATTTCAACAAATAACGGAGAGAGAAACATGGAAGGAACAACGTGTGAAGAGGATCGGGCAACTGTGGGTTTATGCGTTAACGCTACAGGAAGTCACAAGCTTCCACTTTTATTTATTCATAAAATAAAAAATCCAAAAGAATTAAAACACTGCAAAGATAGTCTACCCGTAATTTATAAAGCACAATCACAAGCTTGGATAGACCAAGAAATTTTTTCCGACTGGTATCAAAATCATTTTATACCGGCTGTAAAGACGCATCAAACGGAGACCGGCACTAGCGGAAAAGTTATCCTCCTTTTAAATAATTGTCGGCATAAACTGCAATTAGCTGAAAAATTCCAGCAGGATGATCAGTTTCACATCATGCTTTTACCCCACAATACAACCCCTTTTCTTCAACCCATGAACCAGGGGATAATTGAAAACGTTAAAAAGTCTTTCCGTCATAAAATGTTGCATCGTGTATTAAGTTTTCCTGGTGGGGCACGGGAATTTTATTTAGATTACGACCTTAAGGATTGCATTGATTTGTTGTATGATGCGTGGACAGAAACAAGTGCCACGAGTATCCGAAACGCATGGAAAAATATCATTAAACGAATCCCCGAAGAAAGTACGATAAAAGAAGAGCCAGGGGATCCGTTGGAACCCAATCTGCAGGAAATCATTGGCGTAATCACTGGAGAACAAGCGTGCGAACAAAGCGTAAATGAATTTTTATCAAAATGCACGGAAGCGGAAAACAATATGGCCGAAGATGAGTCGTCATTGCCGAGATCGGATACTCTGCCTAACGAAGAAGATATGAAAAAGGCTTTTAAAAATTTGACAAAATGGTCCGAACAAGAACCAGATTTTATTAGATTACATGTACAGTATCTGAAAGGCTATTATGAACAAAAGCAATGTTTATAAATAAAGGAAATTTAATTCCAATACGAAGGGTTACTCGCATCGAGTAGTTCTCGGAAGTAATGGAAATAGCAACGTAACAAACTTCATGGTCGAGAAGAAACATCTTTCGAAGCATTGCTGTATATACGAAGCTAGAATAAAAGATTTTGGTTGTTCAAGGTCACCGAGCAACATATAAACATTTTTCATCGAAAACCACAAAATCGAAGAACCGTAAAAAATAAACGATCTCTACATTTAATAGATCGACATCTGATAGATTTCTTCAGATTTGAATTTATTGATTTTTCGGTGTTTGACGTAGAATATATATTTAATTAAATAGTAAAACCTGTTATCGTTTTGAAAGTTTTGAATATATTTTAAAAAATTGATATATTATTTGCAATAATCTTGATCTCGTTTCAAATGTCTTTATTATTAGTTATTCTTACTGTAAATACAAATAGTGTTTGTTAATAAATGCATTTTCAGATTGTCTTGGGCGATTTACCGCTTTAATAAGATAATGCGTGTAGTTATTGATTAAACTTGGAACTCCGGAAAGCATGCGCGACTTTCTTACTTGTAAATCGTAGAGCATGATGTTTTACAGAGCCTTGCAAATCTTTTTCCATTTTTTTACAATCTTTTACTGTGTAACCGGTGAAACGTTAACGAAGAAAAATGAAAAACGTGTCGGCGTTAGAAACAATTATCAGATGTGCCTCGACAGCTTCGTCATTCACAGGGATAAAATTATTCGAACATACGAGTCTCGTGATATGGGTGCTAAGTATTTAAACGAAAACGACGTTGATTCTGAGGATGAATGTCAAAAATTTTGTTGTAGTACGGAGGGTTGCGACGTGTTTATTTTCGAGGAAAAGGTATATATATATATATATATGTATATTTTAATATTTTAAAACAATAATTTATTTTGCTAGAAACACATTCAAAAATGGTATTTAAGAAAAATCTTATACAATGTACTACAGTATTTTTAAATATTTAATTAATAAAATACAATTACACTTCTGTAATACATTTCTTATCATGTACTATAATTTTTGTTTAACTGCAAAATAAATAAATGTTTAATAAAAACCATTGTATCTTATATTAATTTTTGTATTATTTATATTTTACTAATAATAAATTTATTGTATGTTATACAGAAACCTGGAAATTGTTATCTTTTTCAATGTGGACCGTTGCATAATTTTAAATGTAAATTTACCAGTCATGCTAATTACAGTAGTGCAGTGCGTACCAATTATAATACACAAAGCAATACACAACAGGAGGAAGAAATCCGAATTTCTCAACAAGAACATGAATTAAAATCTCTTAGGTATGTAATTGTTGTATTAATGTTTTTGATTTTAATAAAATGGTAAAACTTATGCATAGGAAATTGGCAGACCCAGCACAAGCAGAATATTCTTTCACAGAATCACCTCTAAAATTAAGTGCAACTTTAACTCCAAAATTATTACCAACTACACCACCGCTTGTTAAGCAAGGTATTTACTGATTGAATAATCGTATAATAATATAGTGTAAAAAAGTACTAACATATTATTTTACACACTAGCATGTAGTCGCAATCAGTACGAATGTCGTTCATCCGGAGATTGCATAGCAGTGTATAATGTCTGTGATGGTATCCCACAATGTGCAGATGGATCTGATGAAGCAGCAACAGACCTTGTATGTCCTACAGAGAAACCAACAATTTCTCCTTCTGTGATACAAGGACCTCAACCACCTCAACCACTACTACCTGTTGATATTAAAAAATATCAACAAATGATTGATCAACATAAATCCCTTGCTCCGTTGTACGCTCGTGTTCCAGAAGTTAATCCTAAGCCGTGGGAATTACCGAATTTAGGTCATCAAATGATACCACAACAACAACCTCTTTTATATCCAGCACAGCAAATGGAAATACCTCAATTATATAAAAGTTTTGGAGTTCCTAGATATCAATGGGATCATCAACCTATGTACGAGCAAAACAAAGACATTTACAATCCTGTTAACTCTTTTCACGAACAGAGCAATTTAAATCCTTATGAACGTAAGTAGTTCATAACTATGATCACAGATAAGTATATTTATTATGTACTTACATTACGTTTTGTGTTTTAAGAGGACCAGTCGCATATTTTCAATCACAAGGGATCTAGTGTAATTGGAGAAAAAGAAGCAGACACGTAAGATATTTCAATACAATGTAATTTAATAGTAAAAAAAAGTATTAAAACTCTTAAAATAATTAAAATTATTAAACATTTTCTGTTAGTGGTACATACTTAGATTTAAGGTATCCATATGCATCACACTTTGTATCACCAAATAGAGCTCCATGGCAAAATACTCAAGTTTTTCCATCTCCGTCTCCAATACCAAATGTACAACAGAAACAGATTAACGAAGCCGACAAAAACGTCGTTAGTACAACTACACCTCCATGCGATGTAAGTTCATTTCTGTTTTATAACTTTCCCAATTTTATTGTCCTACTGATACAGTATAAGTTTAGGTGTCGCACGAACAAACAGATGCGCCAATAAAAAGTCAAGAAATTGAAGAAGTTAATCGGCAAGGAGAGGAACATGTGGTTCATGAAAAAGAAGTTAATCAAAATAATATTAAACAAAGTACACTAAAAAATGAAGCTGTAAACTTGAATCAGATTCAAGTAAAAGAATCAAAAGGTATGTTGCTAATATTACTTTCTATTAAAAAGGATACTCATACTTTATTTATAAATATTTTATTTAAGAATTTCGTTTATACAGAACATAAAAGTTTGATAGTTATTAAAGATCATAACAGAGAGCATGGTAGGAATACTTTAATGGCAGAGCATTTGAAACAAGTAAATGAAAATGAAGTTTTAAGACCTAGAGGAGCGGTTATATCGTTGGCGTTAGGACTTACAATAACAGCTATTACAGCCACATTAATAGCTTGCCGTTTGCAAGTAGTTCGAAGACGTGGAAGACGACATGGACCATACGCTCATGATCCAGATTATTTAGTTAATGGAATGTACCTTTAAGTAAGTACGAATTTGTTTAGTCAACGGAATCTAATAATATTTTCATACTACTTTAAACAATAACGTAATACAAAATGCTTTAATTGTAGTAATTTGATTTTAATATAATTTGGAAGAAATAAATCGATATTTGATATTTGAGGAAAGTGTTGTTCTGTGTACAATACATTTTATGTAAGCATAATTATAGTGAATTTGTGAATGTACTATAAAATTTATATATTCATAAAAAATATTAAAATATTTCATAAAATTAATTCTTATTCGAATAATTTACATTTCTCAAATTGATATTTTGATTCAAATATTAGAATCGAGTTTGAATAAATGTTGACAATACAAATTAAAACATTTTTTAATAGCGTAACTTTTAATATAATGTTCGATATAAAAATTCTACATTATAATTTAAGCAGGTTTGGTGCAATAAAATTGTTGTCATCTTATAAGAAAACACAAACACATGTATAATTCACATGGCCTTGCTTAAAAAGAAGTACTAGGAAGTTTATAACAAAATTATATTTATATATAATTTTTATAATCATATAATACATTTAAGTCTTCGTGATTCTTAATAACGGAATCATTAATTCAATCATTATACCAAGCACTTTCTATTATACCTTAGTTTGTGGTGGTATGATTATATAACAAATAACATATATTTTACGCTATTGTAAGTTTCTAGTTAGTTGATTTGTACTTATACTATTAGATAAAGTACAAACATAAAATTCTTATGTAATGGAAACTGTATTATGTGTATAAGTTTTTTAAATACTTGGTATTGTTTTACTTTTAAAGGACACAGTATTTTACTTTGCCAGTCAAATTCTGTCTTGCCCAATGCTTCTTGTAAAATGTGGATAAAAAAAATGGGAGTGTACAAATTATAAAGCTCTATTTTATTATTATTATTAAACATAAAAAAATATTTAATTATCCTTAAAAGTACGAGATAATAATTTATCTGGAACTTTCAAAATGTTTTGTATCTATATTAAAGGAATGATATTTTAAAATCGACATATCTCATTGATAATTAATCAGTTATTTTATTAATTATTACAAGTTTTTATCTTAAAAAATAGTTACTTGTTATTGAATTCCCAGTCTCGCATTGTTTAAAGATCGGTTATCTTTAATGTACAACGAACGAATATAAAAACAATTCTAATAAATGGAATGACAGGTATTTTCCAGGATACCTTTAACACACGATATATTAATTGCAAAATGTTAATAATTGCTTTATTTAATCATTATTCCAATTATTTTTTCTATGTGTGTATTACAGTGCAATTTTTTCAAGCACAAATAATATACATATGTCAGAAAAAATTGTAGTTGGAAATACAAAAAATAAATTTATTTTTATTTTATGAAACGAATGGTGTTTATTATATACATAATTATTTAATTCAATTTTTATTTAAAAGGGATAGACAAAGTAAGTACGATGTTAATGTATGTAAAATAGTGGTATAGCGATGCCTTGGATATTGGCAGACGTTCGGACCGAGTGTGTTTCTTTCTGCAAGTGTAAGTGAGATAGAGACGGCACATCGATATCTCTAAGTAGATTTAAAAAACATAACCAAACTTGACTACTGGGAACAAGCAGGTAGCCAGTTCTAAGAACTGGCGGGGATAGCAACCGGCCAATTTCCAAGGCATTATTGTATCACTATCAATACTCATACTCTAACAAGTGAAGATGGTGAAATGTTTATAAATGGAACTGTATGTTTTGTTCGAAACGGAATTAAATTATTGTTTAATTACATGTAACATTGTACTGCTACATGCAACTACTGACGGCCGCCGGTGCCTACTCCTGCATTTTGCTGTGCTTTTATAAATTCAGGATAATTAATATACCCATCATTATTAGTGTCATCTACAGAAAGTATTGGATCTATTAAAATAACCAATTCCTCATCCTTGAATAAGTTTTTCCTAGTGTTGCCTTCACCTGCTTCTTTGTTACCTTGTTCTGAATTTAAGAAAGTATTTATGCATAAGCTTGTCACAGTATTAGCAACAATGTTTCAATTAATAACTAATTGATAAATACATACCATGCCAATGCATCAATGACTTTATTAATTCACAACCATCTAACTTGTTATTGTTGTCTGCATCATGCATTTTGAAATAATGAAATTGCAATTCCTGCTCTGTCATTTTACTAATATCTATTGGTACTTCCATATGCTCTGCAATATGTCTATTTAAGAAGAAGAATTTTGAAATAATTGAACTTTTAAATTTTCAACATTATAATATAAGTTACCATAACTTACGCTTTCTCATTAACTATTTTGTTGTGGTCAAGTATTTGTTGTGGATGTTCATGACCATATCCTTGTTGAACTGGTACTTGATGTGTTGGCATATGTTGTTGCACAGGTACTTGTTGAACTGGAACGTGATGCATTGGTACCTGCCCTGGTACTTGCTGGAACTATTATGTGCAATGCCACATAATGTAATATATTATATTATAAATTATAATTAATGGTAATAATTAAAAAGTAATCAATCTCTTGTATTACTACATGAATCTACCTGTTGTTGTGGAATTTGTTGTGATGCATGATGTACTTGTTGAACAGGCTAAAACAAATTTAATATATACTGAACTATGAATTAAACAACCATTAAAAACATGAATTTTATGCCATTTGAAGTATCATTTAAATACTTCCTAATATTCTACTTAAATATTATTTAACATTTTCCATAAAGAATTGAAAAAATTTTAGTGATACTAGTAACCATATGTTTAAGAATTTTAAAGATCAAACTTACTTGTTGATAGTGTTGTGGTGATACACCTGGTGGAACTCTTTGCATTTGAGCATGTATATATTTACAGCAAAAAGATCCGATTATAAACAACCACAAAGTCCAATTCATTTTGTATTATTATTGTTCTACAAATGAAAACACACGCGCAATTACATGTGCAAAAAGTAGTGGAGAGACAATACGTGTCTTACTATGCGGTTGATATTGCATTCAGTGCTAAGTTGTGAAAGTAATGAAACACGTACAAATTTTTTTAAATACCTTGTTTACGTTTAGGGATATACGCAAAAATTGACACGTAAGTAAATGTCTCGTTCATTGGCAAGACTGAATGCCGGATCGCAGAAGGTTATGTTACAAAAGCCATATAGATTGACGGTGGACAGATACTTTAGGTATTACAATGGTGTTTCGTACCAGAAAGTCGGCGATGCAAGAGAAGATATGAATGAAACAATATGTTACTATGTTTTCATTATAAATTCTACCATTTTAAAATAAATAACTTCTCCTAGAAAATATTGAGCGTAGCTTTAATTCTTTTTGTTAAAATATATCTACGAATATTCCAAACATATTCGATGAGTCTTGTATGTAAAAATTCGAGAAACCCTAGATGAAATTGATTCGGCAAGAAAAATTATTACAGAATGTTTATACATTTTTGGATGCTAATAATTTAAAAATTATTACTTTCCAAGCTTTACTTTAAAATAATTTAAAACCAATTTCCAATATATCGCTTTTAAATGTACGGTAGCCATATTGACCAATCGTCTCGCGATCAAAGCTGACGCATCTTTGATCCAGAATGCGTTTATGCTTATATTATGTATTATGAAATTCTATTAATTTGTAACGGGTACTAAAGATAATTTTAGTTTTTAAACAAAGCTTTTAAATTGTTAGACCAAAATATCTGAATTCCTTTCAATTGCCTATTTAGTTAAATTTTAGTAAATATTCATTTTTATTGTCTGGTTGCGTAAGATTTAAAAAGATTCGTAAAATTGATGCATTCGTATACTCTGTAATTGTATATTTAATACATTTTTGATATTTAACATATCTAAATGTGATTCTAATCAATGTACCCGCCACGCCGTTATGGAGTTCATGCTTTTACAATGGCGGAAGTATACTGCTTCGCTCGGTATAGAATTATACGAAATAAGTGATACGATTGCACAAGTTTAAAGAACCACAAAGAACTTATTGTTGCATTAAACGAGAAAGGTAGAATTTTATCAAAATATTTGCAGATTCGAAGACCTAAGGAAACCTGTTCGTGTTGATAGGTACGTATTAGTGTTGTACATTTTGGTTCATTTTTACGCCTTGTATAAGCTCCAAACAATGTAGATTCTTTCTCTGTATCTTTAATTCATTTCGTAGTGTTATTTTTATACTCCAGTGAGTTTTATATTCCATTATTTAATCTTGTAAACACTTCTGGTAGCCAGAGTATTTATGTTTCCATACTTCCTTCTTTATTCAATTAATATTTGTTGAAAATCACATCTGATTGCAAAGCATCTGTAATATAACTTTACAGTATTTTTGTCCAATATTTGTTTTACCTTGTATTACTTTGTTACTTTGTACTTTTCTTAACCCTTTGTTTTTTAGACAAGATAATCAATGGACAATGCCTCAAATACAGAAACATCGGAAACCTAAAAGGGCTAGGGTGGTCATTAAAAGATCACAATGTTTAAGAAACTTCCCTACAAATAAGTCTTATAAACCATGTGAGTTTTTACAATGATGTAATTTTTGATACATTTGGTATATAGTTTTGAAGCTAGTAAAGTGAAATTTAATGTTTTATAGTATGTCAGAAGTTAAGAAATAATAATAATTCATTGGCAAAAGCATTATCTAAAGAGAAACAAGAGAGTCAGTTTTTATTTTCACAAAATGTTGCTTTGAGAGCAGAGGTTCAAGATTTAGGATTAGAATGTCATAAGCGTGATGTAAGTATAATTTTTATAAGTAAAACTAATAATATGTAGCGGCATCATATAAATGTATGAATATATATTTTAGAATGCAATAGTAAATATTTTGAAGAATGCTAAAGAAATGCTTAAAATGCTGGTAACAGTCACTGGTTACTTGACAAATACAATTTCATCGTGTCAAGAATTTGCAGCATCTTCTACTATAAATTTAAGGATGTCTTGCAGTTCCGCTGGAAGTAAGATTTCTGACGTATTTCCGTTATCGTTACATTTATATTTTAATAGTATAGAATGTTATTTTAGGAAGAGAATCATATAGGAGGCTGTCTACAAAATCTCCAACCAAAGGAGTTGTGAAGCCTATGGTGAGCGGGCACACCATAACAAAACCCACCATTAGTTTAAGTAGAATTAATATGCGGCATATTAATAATCCTCCCAACTTAAGCATAATAGAAGAGATACCCTCACCCATCAGAAATCAAGAATTAAGCAATTTAATGTCTCCCATTGCTGTTCCAGCAGCACAACACAGATATGTATGTATCTCTTTTGAAGATCCCAAGTTTAAATTATTACATTTGAAGAACAAACTTATGTTGAATGTTGCAGGAGAGTAGCCATACATGCAGAATGCCTGAGAGACTAACTATTAGTCCAACAAGGAATAGCGGTATGTTATATTAGTATAACACCGAATATTAATATATTTCATATAAGTTAGTTATATGGTTTATCATTCATTTGTAGAAGAAAATGAACGAAGGTTAAGTAAGAGAAGTAGTAGACATTCTGGACGAATATCAGGAAGGCGTTCAAGACCTAAATCGGGTAGACTCTCTGGAAGAAATAGCACTCGATCTAGTACCGATAATTTAGGACGCATAGGAAGTCCTACAGTGAAACTCAACGATGTATCAAAATTCTTGCAAAATTCTCAAAGCATTAACATTCGAATGGTTTGTGTTTTCAATCAGTCTTTTGTCTTTGTATAAAATTATTGGTAATTTAGTAAAGTTCATTTCTCTATAGTTAGCAGAAACTCGAAATGATCAAGGATCTGTCAGTTCAGAGAGTACTGATAATATAAACAAAAATTCTCAGATAAATGTTATATTATCAGAAACATCACCCTCTGATTCTACACAAGATGAAAGTGATAAGAATATTGAAAATAAGAATAAGATCGATCATGAATCTGACAGTATGAACGATCAAACGGTAGAAAATGTTAACGAAGTACAAAATGTTACATCAAATTGGGAGGATCCTCTTGAAGGACCAAGTTGGTTGTTTAACGATCTTCAAACTGTGCCTTGTATTATGGATAAAGAGAAGACTGATGATGTAAATGTTTCTACCAATGGTAACACGTATTTAATGTTAAAAGCGACTGATACGAATGATGAGTCGGATAATGAAGAATGTTCGGAATTAATTTCCCCACTGCCAATATTAAACAAACGTAGAGGTCAAGTGAACAATGATAAAAGAGATAAACAATTATATAATAAAAATGATAGCACAGTTTATCGACAGATTGCAAACAACGAGAATTTGTGTGATACGTCTATGCCAGCTGCTACAACAGATGCAGTTGAGAATGGGCATAAAAATGAGGGTGAATCCACAGTGAGTTTATCAAATTTTGTTACGCAAAGACGAGGTTACTTTGAAAACGATGACGATGATGACGATTACACTTTAATGTTTGTACGGCAACCGCATAACATGGTTTTTGACATAGACGATTTGAAGTTGCCCAATTTAGAAGAGTCTGAGTTAAAATCAGTAGTTCCAGGCGAACTGGAACCGGAAGTAACAACTACTCTTCGAAAGATATCTCACATTTGTACAATTCCGTCTATTTCAAATAATAGACTAGATGAATCTATCATAAATCAATCCACAGTAAAACTGCCACTACTCATAAATAACGATTATGACAATAAAGACCAAACACAATTTAATGATAGCTCGCAATTCTTGTCGCAGAAGAAAACAGGAAAGATAATTATGAATAACTCTACTACCGAGTTGATTGACACTACATCACCATTAAATAAGAGGAGTAATTCAAGAAAGAAGAAGCCTCTAAATAAAGATCCGAGCTCTGTTAAAGTAGTATTGCAGAAATTGAATGAATCTGATGTAAAGTCGAGGACGCCCTCACCCGAAGAAACAATTCATAATTCTAATCTATCTACGTACGTACAATAAATCGATATTAACGTATGAAGTATACACGATTATAATTTGTACATTTATTCGTAGGAGTCCAGTTTTTTCGCGTATGGACCTTGTTAGCGATTCCGACAGCAGCAGCACAAGTGTGAGCAGCAGTTTGAATCGTCCTAGACGGAGAAGAGCTCCGACAAATTTGCAGGAACCCAGTTTGAGAAAGTAAATATTTTTTTTTAAAGATTCTTTTTAAGATTTATTATTTTATAATTGTATAATTTAATATGTAATTTTTTAACCATAATTGATGTTTATTTCAGTAAATTGCGGAGAAAATTTTAATACGAATATAAAGTATTCGTCCATATTTGAAATACGAATGACAGAATACATTACTTTGTATACAATGTTTTGTTATTCGTTTATCGAGTAGCAACAGATTGTTTCTTATTAGAATAATGTACATAATTACTGAGGAATACAATAAATTCGTTGAATAGTTTTGAAAAGAATAGATATTAAAATAATTTTCTTTTTCACTTTGAATCTCTTTGCTTCCATCGCTGCGCACATCTTTGTTAAATCAATTACTGTTAATTATTTACAGAAAATCGGTATTCCTTGACATAGTCATACCTTTGTTAATTCGGCTTCCTCGTAGTATTCGTATGTTCTACTTTTTGTACCATTATCTCATATTGCAAGAAATAAATATTTAAGTGTCATCAAATATTTAAGGATGTTTTACTCTTTTACCATATTAGTTCACTAAATACAATAAAATTAATAATATAAGAACTACTCCATCAGCAGTATAGTTTGCGTCGTTTTTAGGATATAGTACATGAATTATGTTATATATATTTAAATAACAAATTTGGCAAACATTTATTAAATGTTTATTTCTCTTTTATATTTACTGATTCATGTTTCGTAATTTCTTTATCAAACCGTTCAAATTGGTATCATTTTTTCGATTGTGGTGTTTATCGATAATCGATACTATGAAGTAGGCAACTTTCATCGATTTCGATAATTCAGTCGAACTAAACCGTTATTCGTTAAATGTGCTGGGTGGAGGTTGAAATGTGAACACGGGAGAATTGAAAAAAAAGATGTTTATGTTTCAATGATTCTGCAATTTTCTGCATAAAGGTAAGGATAGGATAATGTATTAACAATTTTTAATGTTATTAGATAAAATCAACCGAGTAATTTGAAGTGTTAAAGTACTGATACTGTATGTAACTTTGAATACCTCAAAAGTTTCAAGTAATTCGAATAAATGTTAACATTTTAATTATTCGGATTATTAGTGAAGTGAATGGAGTATTGGACTCGACTTGGTAAACTGAATTTTCTTGGCTTGAAATTCTAGTCAGTCGAATATTTCATAAACCCGAATGATGTCAGTAAAGAGTTGTCATTCTTGAAACGTTCAACGATCGATGAAACGATTTGAAAATCGATCAGTGTTACTGGCCGTGTTCAGAGAGGTCGCTGTAAAGCGTAAATAAAAAAGTTAGGTCTCGAGCAAGAAGTGTTATGTATGTATAATGGATTTAACCTTCCCTATTCCCAGGCTGAAACCTAGTATCAGCTAGTATGTCTATAGAATAACCGATGTAGAGACGGAAATTAATTATGTTTGTTTAATTTCATGATGGTAGAAGCAGCTGGCATTGCCTCGCCCACACAGAAAAACACCTAACGCGTGATTTCGTTCATTTGGTTTATCTACTCCGTGCGTTTTTTTTTAAAACGATTGGCGACGAAATATCAAGTAGCAATGCTCGTCATTATTCGAACAACAATGTATTCCAACCTCACCTCAATCATGTAATTATTTCTTAAATTTATGATACGTAGATTCGTTGAAACAATTTATGAACGTTCAATCATTAATAAACAAATTGCTAACAATCGTTAGCAATTTTTGAAAAGTAACGAATAGCAATTGTTTATAATTTTTTAATATGAAATTTTATTTCTGTTCTTTTTTTCTTGTTCCATGACATTGATTAACATTCTTGTAATTTTAATTTCAGATAAAATTGTGATCTTAACAAACAGTACTTCGGAAGGAAAATTTATTTATCCATTCTTTAGCTGTTATTTAAATATTTTAAATTTTTAAAAGAAATAATTAACGTTGACAATTTGGGGGAAACAAGCTTTCTGAAATGTATGATGTTTTTTTAAAACTTAAAACAGGATTGTCTTATCATTTTTATCGCGTACAAGCTTGCGGCTTTTCCTTCAAATTATGCAATTTTGTGCAAAGCGATTAACTTAAAGTAAAAGTAAACAAATTTTGTTTAAAAATAAATGAATAAACGAGTGCGATATGGTTTGTCAATTAGCGAGCTAATTTGCTACTGTAAATTAATTGAACCGCTACCTGGTGGCAATCGCAATGTGTGGGTGTATACACGCAAAAGTTTCTGTTGCTAAATGTTTAAACTTGAGGTCAGCGACTAATTTGCGTAACAGATATACGTTACGAGACTGTTTTCGCATTGGTATTTTCCTGTTTTTTGTTTTATTTCTATTCAAGAAATGATTATAAAAAAGTATTAAAAAATATTTTAGTAATATAGTATAGTAGGTCAAATCGTGTAATAATATATACAAACAAAATAACAATATTGCATTACGATGTAACATCTTACTTTTCTCTGTTGATTTATTACAATTCAGAAAGTTCACTTGCCCTTTTGTCCAAGCTATGAAATATTAAAGGACAAATACGAGTATTGGACATAGTAAACAAAGTCATAATTCATTAGCATTTACAAAAGATGTTTTTGGGTTATAGCTGATTCCACGTATAATTGGTAAACACATTACCTGAAGATTAATGAGGGACGATGCACGCGGAAGCAAACATTTTACCTGAGTCAACCGGACGAATACGTAGCTGAGACAAACAACAAAATTATCTCCTTTCGTAAGTAGCACTCATTTTATTGATTTTCAATATTTAAACAAGCGTCGAATTTTCTACAAGATTTCAATTAAAGATTATTGATATCGTATTGTAAAATTCCAACGAACCATCATCAATTAAGATCGTGGAACACTTTACCCAAGATGCAAGCAGTCAATTACAAGCATCATGCAGTGAATGCGAGATAGCGCGAAACAATCATGATTTGTGTATTGACTTTATAGCTCGTTGATACGGATTTATGTAATGGATGTTGGCATTAGCATGTTTGCATGCGCAAGTATATTTTCAGTTTGGATATTAAAACAGACTGGCGGATTTATTAATTTTTTTATTAATAAATTATAATTTCCCCTTATAGAAACGTAAAAATAAACAATTGTTAAACGAGAAGGGAATATCGAATCGGTATATAAACTACGATGTTTTGAAACATGTAACGCGAAACGAGGTGGTTTCACAGCACGCGCTATGAAAATGTAAAAACACCAATGGACGTGGGAGTAGAACGGTGAATTTAAAAAAAAAAAAAGAACAACTGCGCATTAACGTGCTGCAATTCAGAACAACATATTAAATCTCAAACAGTGTGCACGACAGTGATATTTTAAAAAATTCAGTGCTTAATAGCGGTGATATTATTTATGCCCATCATAGAGTGCCGTTATTATCAGGGCTCGAAAATAACAAGCGAATTTCAACAAGTAAAAGTTGTCGCCTCTTTAACGCGCGCACCGGCGTTCAAACTCTCCCTCTATGGGAACAACGTTGCGTCAATGCGCATGCGTTAGCCATTTCCTAGTAGTGCCGATTGTCCGGCCAATGGGAGTCGGCCAGTGACGACACTGTCAGCCAATCGAACGTCGCGTCGGTGGCGACGAAGCTATTTTTAGTGGACGTGAGTCACGGGATATAAGGCAGTACATTTAGTTGGGTGTTCACAAGTTGTCGAGACATCGTGCCGTACGGCTGAACGATATCCGTGTTCAACGTTACGGTTGCAGACTGTTCTAGAGGTGCACACGCGCAGAACATCACGTTTGTCGGATTGCGTGCTGTGAGTCATTGTTGTGTTGACAGTTGAACCAGGTCGGTCCTCGTGTCACCATCGGCCGCTGAAACAGAAGCAGACGGACGACTCTCGCATTTCTCGCGGCGCGTATCGGAGTCGCGTAGTAGGTGGACGAAACACACCTTTTGCGTCTTAACTTTCGGGCCGATATCGTGAGGCGCGATAACATACGCCGTGAGTGGTGTCGCAAACGGACGGACGTGGTGATACGTGATCGTTGTCTCGAGTGTAGATCGAGAAGATCGCATCTGGTGACGGGAAACTGACGATCCCAGGGAGACCGTGACTAAAAAGAACCGTCAGTGAGTTTCCAAGTCGAACTGCACGGTTATGTAATGACGGTGAAAAAGTAAAACGAGTGTGTTCGGTGGAAAAAACGGACGTTCGCGGACGAAACTTGTGCGATCGATCATCGAACGCAACCGATCATCGCGTTCTACGACTACGTGCGACGAGCGACGGCGGAGTCAGCAGTGAACTGCTCCAGTAGCGCGACTATACTTTCGCACGCTAGACAAGTATCAAAACTTTCGATTGGCACGCAATCAGTTCTGCGGCATCGATGGTGCGGAGTTCGACGATGGAGCCGACGTTCTACGAGGACACGAGCGTCTACGTCGCCGTGAATCGCGAGAACAACGTGGGCCAGCTGAAGCGTAATCTCACGCTAGACCTGAATGGATGTCAGAGACAAGGCCCGCAAGCGAAGAGGCCGCGACTGGGGCCCCTGCCACCGGCGCTGAACAACATGTCACCTATTTTGAGCTCGCCGGATTTGAACATGCTGAAGCTGGGATCCCCCGAGCTGGAGAAGTTCATAATCTCTCAACAAGAGACCCTCGTGACGAATTTACCAACGCCTACGCAGATTCTGTTCCCGAAGGCGGTCACCGAAGCCCAAGAACTGTACGCTCGCGGTTTCGTGGACGCTCTGAACGAGCTCCACCATTCGGATAGCTCTCAAGAGCCGGGTAGCATCCACGGAGCGACGTATACAACTTTGGAACCACCGAGCAGCGTACAGAGCACGGAATCCTCGGTGAGCCAGGGTCTGATACAGATCAAAGACGAGCCGCAAACGGTGCCCAGCGTGTCGAGTTCCCCGCCAATGTCCCCGATCGACATGGAGAATCAGGAAAGGATCAAGCTGGAGAGGAAACGTCAGAGGAACCGCGTGGCGGCGTCCAAATGCCGCAAGCGCAAGCTCGAGCGAATCTCCAGGCTCGAGGACAAGGTTAAGCTGCTCAAGGGCGAGAACACCGAGCTCAGCGCCATGGTGCACAGGCTAAAGGAGCACGTGTGCCGATTGAAGGAGCAGGTGATGGACCACGTGCATTCGGGTTGCCAGATCATGGCCGTGTCCGGTCAATTCTGAGCCGACGGACCGGACGAGACTCTTTGATGTGTGTTTCGTCTGGTGACTGGCCGTGCGGCTTCCGTGAATGTGGTGACGTTCTCTCGGCCGGGAGAAGCTTCCACGGATGAACCACCGACGGAACGTCGCCGTCGACCGTTTTCTTTGTTGTTTCTATGGAGCAAGGGGACGGTGGAAGTGTTACGGCGGTGATAGGAAGGGAGTGCCTTGGTGTGCCGCGCGGGGGACATACGTGCTTTCCGAAGGGACACGGTACGACGATGAGATTAATATCATCTGCATCTCTGCGTGTGGCTTGGTGGTGGCTGTACGCACGTGAAACGCGCTGCACGAACGCTCGCAGCTCCACGTACGGGGGCGCGGTGAAGGGGGAGAGCGTGCTTGGTTTGATACAGTGCGCCACGAAAAGGAGCGATGGAGTCGCGGCGGCGATGGAGAGAAAAAAGGAGAGTGGGTGGGACTTGACGGAGAAGAAAGAGAGGGACCTCACGGTGCGCGGCCATTTTGGAGAACCGCGAGTACTGGCGGGAGATTCGAATCTCCCTTGCGCCAAGAAATGTTCCATTTTAACTCTGTTCGCCGAGGGAAACTCAAATTAACGTCGACGGTCTATCAAGGCCAGCCTTGTTTTCGTTCTTTCATAACACTTTGTTCTACTACGCGAATCTTTCCTTCGCCGGGGAATAAATATCTCTTTGCATTGTTTGTATTCGATCCACGGAGATTTGTGATCGGTTTCGCGTAATTTTCTGTAACGAGAGCGATCCACTAGCATGTAAAATCCAATTATCGTCGTTACCGCGCAATCTTCCGAATCGCTTTTCGTTTCTCTTGTTAGGAGTTTCGATTCTCGATGCGATCGGGAAACGATCCTCGCTTGGTCCGGGATTTCGTGGCAATTCGCGATCGGAAATACATACGTCTTTTTGGCAAACTTTTTTATACTCTCGCGACGCGAACTTTAGGAGCGATCGCGACCGCTGTTTTTCCTTCACTTTGAATAACGATTGATTTTATTCAAACGAAGCAAGCTTCTTTCGATGATACGTAGGATGTACATAACGCTAATATACGTATTCACGCGCAGAGTAACAATTAATAGCCTGTAAGGTTCGTTTTGGGAGGGACGAATGTGTCGAACGTAACGCGAAGAGGCGAAATGAATAACGAAAAAGGAAAATTTTATATTGCTTTCTACGATCGGAATCTTTGGTGCGTAAGCGCGAATCGTGACACGAATGCTAATCGTTAGGTAAACACGGTGCTGTAAAAAATTTACTCGAAATAGACGCGTTAAATGTAACGTTTGCGATCCATTTTCGTTTTCGTTTTAATAGAACAACGCGAGCTTACGGGATTCTTCGATACTTTCGACCGACGATTTCTCGACCTCGTAACCCCAATTTTTTCAGAGTACTACCATTGTTTTAAGGCTGTACAAATAGAATAGGTGACGGGAGCAGTTGCCGGCGTTGAAATCACCGTCATAGATCATCTTCTTATCGCGTTTGAATGCGACGTACCGATCCATTATCGACTCGTGGTCGTAAAATATTTTTAACAAAGATAGTTTAAACCTTTGGATGTTGTGGACGCGTTTACGGAACGTTCGTATTGATAAATCTGAAGGGTTACATTTTCTTTACACAGTACGTTGCATTCGAACCGCAGCTTTTCGCGAGAAAGCCCCGACAATCTTTTCGTTTTAGCTTTTAAGCCGGAGACTGGTGTGTAACGAGTTGCGTTCGAGTCGGTTCCTCGACATCTCCGTGTGTCTTGGGGCCTCTTTTGTTTCGTCATATGTGCATCTAGTCTTGTCCAGTATGCCCTCGTAAATTATGCGCGACGCGTGCTCACGCGCGGATCTGCGTAAAATATACACACAAGTGCACATGCTTCGATTGTGTTATCACGCGCGGCGACGACGCTCTGCAATTTGAAAAAGGATACGTCGCGAACGTCGATCATTCGCGGGAATGGAGAGGAAAGAACGTCGTGAAGTTCTAGCTTGGTTGAGTTTTCTTTGATCCGTCGAGAGCCACGTGGTAACAGAATCGCGCAGCGTTACCGTTGTGCCATTACGTAAGGAATCCCCGATGGAAAAAAAGGAGGTTTTCCCTCGGAGTGTCGCAACACTTCATGCCCGTTCGATGGCAAAGATAACTAGTTTGCGGCGATTCGATGAACAATAACGTTCTCAAGCGACTCGGGGATAGAAATGTTCGATTCTGAATCGATTTACTAGAAAAATCGAACCTGACGATGTTCGTATCGACACTGTTCTTTGTAACAGTGACTTTTTAATTCTCTTTGCGATAGAAACTAATATTTTACCTGCAGTTTCTACATTTCTCTTATTCGATGTTAGAACATGTATAGAAAATTATAAGTGTCGTTGCCAGACAATACAATATTAATTGTAGCAAGTCGGTCTCGAGCGTTTATTTTTAAAATCAGGCAATTTTTTGTTAATGTTTTTCTTTGTAATGCCACAAGTATAAACATGCAGTTCTAGCAAAAAAATTTCAAATCATATCTAATCAATTTAGAATATGCACATAAAATTACAGGTATCGTTACCAGACAATACAATATTAATTGTAGCAAGTCGGTCTCGAGCGTTTATTTTTAAAATCAGGCAATTTTTTGTTAATGTTTTCCTATGTAATGCCACAGGTATAAACATACAGTTCTAGCCAAAAAAATTTCAAATCATATCTAATCAATTTAGAGCATGCATATAAAATTGCAAGTGTCGTTACCAGACAATACAATATTAATTGTAGCAAGTCGGTCTCGAGCGTTTATTTTTAAAATCAGGCAATTTTTTGTTAATGTTTTCCTATGTAATGCCACAGGTATAAACATACAGTTCTAGCCAAAAAAATTTCAAATCATATCTAATCAATTTAGAGCATGCATATAAAATTGCAAGTGTCGTTACCAGACAATACAATATTAATTGTAGCAAGTCGGTCTCGAGTGTATATTTTAAAAATCAGGCAATTTTTTGTTAATGTTTTCCTATGTAATGCCACAGGTATAAACATACAGTTCTAGCCAAAAAAATTTCAAATCATATCTAATCAATTTAGAGCATGTATATCAAATTACAAGTATCGTTACCAGACAATACAATATTAATTGTAGCAAGTCGGTCTCGAGTGTATATTTTAAAAATCAGGCAATTTTTTGTTAATGTTTTCCTTTGTAATGCCACAGGTATAAACATGCAGTTCTAGCCAAAAAAATTTCAAATCATACCTAATCAATTTAGAACATGTATATCAAATTACAAGTATCGTTACCAGACAATACAATATTAATTGTAGCAAGTCGGTCTCGAGTGTATATTTTAAAAATCAGGCAATTTTTTGTTAATGTTTTCCTTTGTAATGCCACAGGTATAAACTTGCAGTTCTAGCAAAAAAATTTCAAATCATGTTGCTAGTAAAAGGACTCCAAATTGGTTTTGGTCGCTTTTATTCAGTCGATTGCACGATCGATCGAGAATCGAACATCTCTAACAACAGCCGAGCAATCGTGGTATCTTCGTTGTGTGCACGACGAAAGTGACGGTTTGCGGAATCTCGTGACTATTGCAATCCCGTCGAATCGCCTCGATTTTTCGTTACGTAGCTTGTTACGTAAACACTCAGGTTCGAAGACTCTGAATTCACGGTGCGTGCGACCGATAACGTGTCGCGAATAGTCGTCGGAGTCCGGTTTTCCTTTGCGTTTCGCGGCTCGTTTTCGTCGTAGAAGAAAGGTACCCCGGACGATTGCTCGTCCCCCGGAACGAATAACTACGAAAAGCAGATATTCCACGAATCGTTGCGATGCTCCGGCGTTCCGTTGGTCACGAACCCGTTCAGCACGAGGTATAGATTTTAATCGTAAGCGGCGTACAATAGGCGAATTCGAGAGACTCGCCCATCGGGAGACTGCAATTCGAAAAAGGAAAAGAAATTCATTTATATTTTTACGATACACGTATTATATCACGGGGTCGTTGGAACAGTTCTCTTGTTTCTATCTCTAGCGCGCGAACGAAACAAGTTTTAGCCGCGAAAGATTTCAGTCGTTCTCTTTTTTTTTTTTGTTTTTCATCCGGGTCGAAGAGAAACTCCCAAACGCCAGCAATGAAATTTCCAACCTCTGTTCCCCTGCGCCTTCGTGACTTTCACAACAGAAACGGGCAGAATTTTTATTCACTGTACAAGCTCGTAATTTTTATTGAACAAACAACGGATATCAAAACGTTATTCGAATATATCACTTGTACGGTGTCGTGAATTTTGCCCGTGTCTGCTTTCATGCGCGACTTTCGGCACACACAACTTGACAATTTTAACCTGTAATTTATTTCTCGTATTAAGTTAAGCGTGCGCTGTTTTCTCTTGCGTCGTTCTTTTATATTTTTTCCTTTCTTTTGTTTTCAAATTTATTTGTAACGATCACCGTCGCTGGCGAGTACAGCGTTCCCACGACGAGCCGCCCTAGGAATTATAGCGTTTGGCGTCGGCTCTCGGTCAGGCGGAAAGGAGCCAGCGGGGATTTTTCGGATGTTTGCACGTTGTTGTTAGCCCGGCGGTCTCCTTTTCGCCGCCTCGTGCCACACGATGTGTTTTGCGACGGAGACTCCTCGACGTAGCGGAAAAAAGAAAATTCAAGAGTCCCGAGGGACGTTCGTTCGCGAAATCGGCCATCACGTATTGCGTGCCTTTTTAACGAAGTAATAGAAACACCGCCAAGTAGGCGATTACGAGGACTTCTCGTTGTCACGGTTCATTCTCCCTTTCCCTGACTCTGTTTCCTTTTGAAACGAACAAATTGTGCACGGGGGGCCTCGAAAGAACGCCGAACGTACTTTAAAACTCGGACTCTTTTTAGCGGCTGAGACGACGGCGAACGAAAAGTGATCGAGCTTTCGTTGGTTGCGATCAAACGAATAGAAAAAGTATAAATGCCGGTTTGGAAACGAGCGAGAAAAGCGGCGGCACAAAAAACGTATGAAAGTAAAGAAAACCACATGTGATTTAGTCTGTAAGTGAAATCCCCATTAGAGTATATATATATATATATATATACACACACGTATATATGTACTCTATATAGTTGGCACAGTGATAACGAAACGACGATAAGCGCAGCATATATAGAGTTATATATAACACTATACATGAGAGTAAATATTGCTATTATAATGTAATATTATATATATATGTATATATACGAGTATATACATATGTGTATATATATATACATATGTATGTATTGTCTACCGACGAGAGCGGAAGAATCTTTTTTTACGAATAATTTTATTTTTGAATGAAATACGATGAAAAATAAAATTTCATTATATTGAACGTACAGCAACGGGTGTTCTTTTCGAACCATTCCTCCCCTTCAACCCCTTTCCGTATATAGTGATCAACAATTTTATTAATTCGATTTTTAATCATATTCCTGAAACGACTCAATTTTTTGCTCATCGTTTTTACAATTTTCAATTATTACTGTTTCTGGTAGCCTCTAACCTAACTTAGAAATTGCAATTACTCCTTCACTGCCTTTTAAATTGTTTATCGGGAAGTATTTGACGTTGAAAGGTTATTTATCGATGAAGGTTTAATATTATTGGTATTAATTCTTGGCAAGGAATGTGATTATTATTTAGTAATAGAAGAAACTATACATATTTATTTATCCACGTTTCAAGTAGTTTATTATTTATTACTTTGTGCGTAGTTTGTGTTACTGTATGTGTACTTATGCGTGCTAGCTATTTTAAACCCATAAAATTTCTATGCGTAGAATATTTAATTTAGAAACGTAGTGGTTCTCTGTAATGGTGAATTTTTCTTTGAAGAGGACAAACTTGTTGCCAAGACGCAAAGAAGTACGCAGTAATTCGCTTTATATAGTTTCTCGTGTTACAAAAGAGTACTCGTGTACTTTGTTTAGTTTACTGTTGTTTATGATTTAGTCAATTGCATGGTAATATTAAAAAGATCGAGGCATTCAGGGTCCATTGACATCTCGTTCTCTCCGTGCATGTTTTATCAAATTTTAGATAATTGTATACACCTCCAGGAATTTTTAGTTTGCAGTACAGTAAAGTCTCTTAGTACCTTTTTCGGTCCTAAAATTTGATTATTCATTTTTTTCTTTACGGAATCGTCCAAAAAGATTAATTCGGATTTCTTCTATTTATTTCGAAAATACGATTTTAAACGTGTTTGGATTGAAAATCTACCCCATAAAGCGTCGAAACACACTCCGTACAACCGAGGGGAGAAACCGGAATTCCAGCTTCAACTCGCATCTCATCGTGCGCCGCGTTAATTATAGCAATTGGCTAATTGGCTCAATTGGGAAAGTTCTTGGTACGAATTAAGATCGACGCAACGGCGATCGTAAATTTTTATAAGTCGTTTAATAGTCGATTCGACGGTTCGTTTCGGATCGTCTATTTCTCGGGATCGGAAACACACCAGATCGTCTGTAAATCTTAGTAAATAGCGAAGATCGTTATCGAACTTGATACTTCCTAGTTTCCTAGTTCGCTTTCCAAGACATTTGCGAAATTGGTTTGGCCGTTCGTGAGATAGTATCTAAAGTGACTCATTTAGGGGCATCGTTATTAACGGGCACTGTCAACGCCAGTGTATACGTATGTGGTGTTCAAAATGTAACTATGAAAGTAATGAAACTTCCTCAACATCTTACTCGTCATTTTTTAATTTAATTATTTAGAAGCTTAAAAGAAAAATTGTTTTTCTTCTTCAGAAATGGTATGGTCCATGGAAGTAATCTCGTAATTTTTCCTAATACACGCTTCTAAAATTGTAAATAATACTACTTTAATTAGGACTGCTGTAAATTAATATTTCCATGTTTCACATTATAATTTGAACGGATGTCGAGGACAACTCGTTATCAACGTGTTAATTGTAGAAACGTCTCTCTCCTTAGAGCGTTTATTTTTAAAAGTATACACTTTATCTATGTAGTAGGTGCTATTTCTAGAATCTATTTTGAATTTCTCTCTTTTTAGCCTAACAGATTATTAATAGAAGAATATAGCATACAGTTTAACAAAACCGTTAATTCAAGCAAACCTTGAATTAAGTTTGAAAAATGGAAGGTAAAGATATCGCTTGTTAAAATCATTAAAAAATTCTTCCCTCGAGTACTGTCATTTTGTGAAGTCAGTAGTTTAAGCGTTATGTCAACCGGAACTTGACTCGGGGCAACCCGTATATCTTTAACTCGCTTATTACCCGGAGAGATTCGCTCAAAGATAATATTTTCGCATAACGAGCGTCCCGAAAGTATAATGGACAACTATATCTTAACATTCTGACCTGTGTTTTAACTCGTTCTGTTGAAATCGCAGAAATACGATCATTAGCTATTTTATTGGCAGTCGTAAACGGGATGTTATGATATACAATAAATGATGTTTGCAATTGGGTTAGGTTTATTTCTGTCTTATCATTTCTATGTACATATATGCTTTCATATTAGACGATACCGTCGCATATTTGCGTAATGTAAGTAAACAGAAAAATAAGTATTTAAAATATTTATCCTCATAATAAAGTAATTTTAATCTTCGAGTAGGTGGACAAAGACGACAAAATTAAAAGATTTCAAATCGTTCTAGAAAATTATTTTTGGTTGCAGGGGTCAATTACAATTATTTTTGTTCAACAGACATACCCCCGAAATCCTACGCACTTTCGAGAAAAAAATTCGAGTAGATGGACAAAGTCGACAAAATTCAAAAATTTCAAATCATTCCGGAAAAATTATTTTTGCTTGCGGGGGTTAGTTACAATCATTTTTGGTGAATACACATACCCCCGAAATCCTACGCACTTTCGAGAAAAAAATTCGAGTAGATGGACAAAGTCGATAAAATTAAAAAATTTCAAATCGTTCTGGAAAAATTATTTGTGGTTGAGGGGGTTAATTACAAGCATTTTTGGTCAATAGACATACCCCCGAAATCCTACGCACTTTCGAGAAACAAATTCGAGTAGATGGACAAAGTCGACAAAATTCAAAAATTTCAAATCATTCCGGAAAAATTATTTTTGCTTGCGGGGGTTAGTTACAATCATTTTTGGTGAATACACATACCCCCGAAATCCTACGCACTTTCGAGAAACAAATTCGAGTAGATGGACAAAGTCGATAAAATTAATAAATTTCAAATCGTTCTAGAAAAATTATTTGTGGTTGAGGGGGTTAATTACAAGCATTTTTGGTCAATAGACATACCCCCGAAATCCTACGCACTTTCGAGAAAAAAATTCGAGTAGATGGACAAAGTCGATAAAATTAAAAAATTTCAAATCGTTCTGGAAAAATTATTTGTGGTTGAGGGGGTTAATTACAAGCATTTTTGGTCAATAGACATACCCCCGAAATCCTACGCACTTTCGAGAAACAAATTCGAGTAGATGGACAAAGTCGACAAAATTAAAAAATTTCAAATCGTTCTGGAAAAATTATTTTTGGTTGTGGGGGTCAGTTACAATCATTTTTGGTGAATACACATACCCCCGAATTCCTACGTATTTTCGAGAAAAATATTCGCAGGTTGCCGTTCTACAGGCGGAACTCTAAACGTTAATAACTTTTTAACGAAGCCTCAATCAACAAATTAGTATTCTTGATTTTCGTCTTATTTGGGGCTCTAGAATCTCCCATTAAAATTTTTCCCAGGGGTGGCTGAACACCCTGTGTAACACTGTAAACGGTTTTTGAAAGGTGTTTCTTGGACTTCGATAATATAAATAATCTATGAATCGTCCAGTGGCAAAAATAGGAAACCTTTTTATATCGTAATTTTGATTTTGCATTTAGTTTTACGTTCGCAGAGCTACGTCCTTTGTTTCTCTTTCTCTTCGATCGAGAATGCCGCGTTCTTTCTCGATCGAGCGAACAACACGGTTACGCAATAATTTCAGAACCGCTCGAAAGTCGAACTTACGGCGTTCCCAATTATTATTCTACAACAGCAGGATTGTTCGCCGATGCGGGAGCTGCGGATTCCCGTGCAAGCTGTATCGCAAACGTTTACATTAAACTATCGAGTTATTTTTACGCGTCGAGGACGATGAGCGCGCGAAACAAAGCCGTTCGAATCTGGATATCGCAAGGTTTCGCGAAAGAGGAGCGCGAGAGAGAATGTAGGAAGAGTGTTCGCGACCCTGAGCGTTTGCCGCGAGAAAAGATTTCGTTAAAAATCTAAAAGGTGTATTATTCCATTAAAAAAAAACCAAACAATCGTGGTACGCAACTTCTTGGTTTTTGCGATCTACGAACCTGTTTTTTAAATGGAACCGTGCACATATTTTTGTTTACGTTAGTCGAATCTTCTTGTCGGTTTGTACACAAAAGTATCCAGGCATGACCCTTGCAAACGTAATATGTTCTTTATGAGATGTTTTATACTTTATGTTCGTATTTTCGAACTTCACCTTTGCGTGAGAATTGCGTTCATTAGCACCCGTTGGCTGCTACGCTAGTTTTCCAAGTTTAGAGACGTCCTCGACATTTGTTTAAGCTGTAGTGTGAAAAATAGATAAACTCATGGTCACCAGTGACCACCATGGCAGTCAACGTGTTATTGATGGCGTAAATCAGTAGCATTTTGCTTCATTTGGTTAAATGAAAATTAAATCATAAAGTACGAATTATTTAAAGTCTCAAGTTGAATTTAAAGCCTTGAAGTGTTTCAATTAGTCTTAAACAAGAAAACGAGAGGGGAAAAAGATAGAAACGTAAATGCGTGTCCTTTTGTCAGCTGGTTTAGACTCTGGACGAGCTATTCATCTTCGTACATCACAAAATATGTATGTTGCGCGTTAGTAAATACTTGGAACATGAAAAATGATCATGTAACCGTTCGACGCTTATGAATTATTCATGATTCCCTCGTGAGTCACCTTGATTGAACTCAAATTCGTGGTTAATTCTTAAAAAGTTAGAGTTTCATGAAATGCCACGATTGGTTCGATGCATATTGACTTTCAAAGGAAAAGAAGTTTTTGTACGACAAGCACTAATTTATCCTTAAACGTTCGCAGAAAACGTTTGCATCGAGTTTGAATTTTTCGGTCGATTCAGCGACGATCAAAATTTTCGAGTTATATTGCATTATTGAAACGGTTATCAGCGAGCTATCGTCGATATTCTCAGAACGTTATCGCTCTGCCTCTGTCGGGCGTAACTTATCACTCGAGGAAAGATAAACAGTTGATCCTTTCATGTTGCGATGCT